ATCAAAAACACTCACCTCCAATTTTGAAAACACTATTGTTCACTTGAAGCAAAAATGTTTAAAATTGCTAAAAACATTAACTAAAATTATACTGCAACCACAATACACACAACTGCAATCAACACTCGTATAAAAAAAACTTCAAGCTTAAAAAACAAACTCTTAAAAAACGATACTTTTGTACATTATATTCTTTTCAAGAGAATATTTAAAACCCGTTTACGCGACCATTTACGAGCGCGGCTAAAACAAGACTGAACCTGCAAACTCTCTTTCTCTCTCACCGCGGGTCTATTGCCGAGTGAGTGGTATGGAAGGAGTGGGGATGAATTCATGTAATGGCGTTGTAAGGAGAGGCGGACCCAAGGCGGGCCAATAACATTCCCAAGCGTCTCGCTCTCTGTCTCTCTCTCTCTTTTGCGCGATTCGAAAAATGGAAACACGCATAAGGGCATGTCACTGGAACATAAAACGATAAATCGCCTTTGAAATGTATAGTAAATTATTAAATGTTGAGAATTATTTTTAACCTGTTTAAAAAATATTCAACAGGTGTTTGTTTTTAGAATTCATGGAAAATATTTGAAATCAATTAAATGAGGCGTAATAATACTTATAATTAATAATAATAATAATATTATTAAAAATAAAAGTATTATAATTATAATAAATTATCAAGATTATTATTACTTGTCAAAATCTATATTATTTTCAGCCGAAGCATGAACTGCGGAAGATTATAAATGTCTGAACTGCAATAATTTTAATTTCAATTTGAGTAAATTATTATTAAATTCAAGTTGTATTGAAATTAATCTTGAAGTCCTACCTATTTTTAATTTATAACCGAATTGCAGAATGCGGTTGAATCGTTAGAAAATGAGTAATTTTGCTTAAAAAATGTACCTAAATGAATTTTTGTTAAAAAGAATAGTCGCTTGAAAGAATTTCTACTTATTTAAACTTTTATCAAATATAAAATATTTATTTAATTAAAATTTTTAAAACATACTTAATAAAAGTTTAAACATCAAGTATAGAAAATCTTGCAAGTGACTATTTTTTTAAGAAAATTTATTCATTTACATTAAATTTCTTTTAAGCAAAATTACTCTTTTTCTAAAGTTTCAACCATTTTAAATTTTTTCAACTTCATGTTAGGGTAAAAGTGGGTATTATCGCGGATGTGGGTATTATCGCGGTATTTTATATTTTAATGAATATTTCAAAGAATATAAAAAATCACTCCTTGAACCTGACAACCTAAGACATTTAATATGCATCATATTTTTGATTATTTTTCTATTAATCAATTTATTAAAAATGTTTTAAAATTTGTTGTCTGAAAAAAGTTCAAAATGGCTCACCTTGGTTTGAGATTCAACTCTACAGTGGTGTCAAAAATTATTGTTTTTATATTGTATAAAACTCTAAGAGATGATTCTTTTTTTATATTTTGGTAAATTTATTGTTATTCTTCATAAAAAAAATTTGTTTAGTTAAAAAAAATTGATTTTTATTAAATATTTACAGTCACGATAATGGAGACATCTTTTTTTTAACATGTGGGTATTTTCGCGGCTCCTATTGATAATAATTGCTTTAGAATATTTTATCAGAGTATTATTTTATATTCTGAGACTAATTAAATTATTATAATAAAACCAAGTATCTTTCTTCTTGTGATACTAGTTTACTATTGAATTCGTCCATTTATCATAATGCTTAACATTTTTTTTAATTCAAGTTCTTGCGATATTTATATTTTTATTTTTAAAAACTATATTATTATTCCTTTTAATTTTTTACATTTACTACATTTTAATTAAGTAACTATTACAAAAATCCAAAAAGCAATAAATAAATTATCCGCGATATTTACCACGCGATAATACACTCATCCGCGATATTTGACACGCGAAAATACCCTCAAGCCATTACAAGTCCCGCGAAATTACAAGCAAAGGAGTCTTCTATTTAATCATTTATTTAACGATTAAAACTATTTTCTATAACATTGGCAATTTTTTTATAAAGAAAAGAAAGCTTAAATAATCCTTTAAAAAAAACTAAGCCATATACATTTATTTATAATTTTTAAACCACTTGGATGTATGGCGTATACAAAATTCCTCGATAATACCCACATTTACCCTATATGTTTTTACTATTCTTGTACGATAAATTTCTCACATTGTGCAATTCGGTTATAAATTAAAAATACTTGAATTAAATACATCTGCGTATTAAGTTGCCGTCCCATGTCGGCGTAAAAACGTCAAAGCGTCGGCGTTAAAGTATGAGAGTGAACGAGATAGTGATATAAGGTTGTTTCTTTCACTCTCATGCATTTACGTTTTGACGCCGACGCTTTGACGTTTTTACGCCGACATGGGACGGCACCTTTAGCATCATAAATTCAAACTTGCTTGCAAAATTGCTATTAAATCGGTTAAAATTTGTAATTAAGAAATGAAAAGTAGATTTTTCAAGCAATTACAGAAAAATGTTGTTAATTTTTCGTCAGAGTTTCAAATACTAAAATTCAACACGGAGAACAGTTTAAAAAAAAAGAATATACATATTTGTTTATACTCGTATAGCCAAAATTTGCTTGCATTTTTAGAAAAAAGTCAAATTTTTAAGAAATTAGAAAAGATGAAAATTATTTTTCATTTCGGATTGCCGAAAAGATCAACTTAATGAATAAATTAAAAAGTAAAAACTGTTTCAAGAAAGTTTGTAGTTTTTGTTTGACCGTATTAATTAATTTGTTGAGTAATGAGAAGGCCTAGATGACAAATAAATAATAATAAAATAAAGCTTCTCCGTCCCATGTCAGCGTAAAAACGTCAAAGCGTTCAAGCGTCGTCGTTTTAAAGGCGCACTCACAGCTAGTACACTCGTGCTCATTAATGCCTTCTCTCAGGGAAGGCACTAATTTGACGCGTTTTGCCCACTTTCTATATTTTTTATAGTTCGTGCCAATAATTCCATAGGAATTTTACTTTTCCATTGGTTGATTTTTTATACAATATAGATGGTAGGCAAAGTTCGTGAAATTAGTGCCTTCCCTGAGGGAAGGCATTAATGAGCACGAGTGTACACGATTTTAACGCTTTCGGTTCACATTTGTGACTACACCCTTACTCTGCTTCGGACTTGAGGTTTCGTCACGTGTTAAGATGCTTACACAGCTCTACTGCCTGCCTGCCTGCATGTCGTCATGGTAACACATAAGAGTAAGAGAGTCAGAAAATGCAAATTAAATGTTTTTTCTCCCTTACTCTCATTGCAAATAGGCAGTAGAAGTGAATAGTGATGGGATATCGAAAAAATTTGATATCGATATTACGCTTATCGATATTGCATCTGTAATATCGATATTTAAAAATATATCGTTATCGAAAATAAATATCGATATATCGTAAAAACGATATCGCGCATGCGCAGAACTCTAAGAAATTTTTGAATGTGTATTTGATATTATTAATAATTATTTATTTAATATTATTTTTCAATAAATATAAAGAACGTAAATAAATTAAGTCACTTTCTTTTTAAAGAAAAAAATAAAAAAATTTTAGAATAGGAAAATAAGGTTTTTATATTAATGTATATTTTATAGATATAATATATAAAGAAAACGTTTAATTATTAATTAATGAACATAGAAAATTTAATTTAAGTATATAAAGACTGTTTATTTGTAATAACCGAAATAAATAAAAACAAACTTTATATTTTTATGTAAACAAAATGATGACCTTTAATGCTTTAAAAATGACAGCTTTCAATAAAACTTTCGAACTTGCATATATTCAAAGAACAGGGATAACAATCATAACCTCAAAATTTACATTATTTTTACCACATAAAGGCCAACGCAGAATAGATCTTTAACCGGAACCGTAATCGTAACCGAAAGCATAGAATGGGTTAGAGAAGGATAAACAATATACCTTTCCTTCTTTAACTTATTCTAACCGTTACGCTTACGATTATTAAAGATTTTATTCTGCGTTGGCCTAAAAATCAATGTAAAAAATGGTTTAAAAGTTTTGTTTACGTTATAAATATTTTATAATATAAGAGTTTTATAATTAGGTACTTATATTTAGTACTTCTTAATAGTTACTTAATTTCTTAATTAAAAAAAAACTCAAAACGTGTGACACATCGTGTGGTCGTTACGCGGTTGCGCGCTAGAATTATCGATATTAAAAATTTTATCGATAACGGTAACGATATATCAAAACGTTAATATCGATATTAAAATATCGATTATCGTGACATAGATATCGATATGTTCCGATATTTAATATCGATATCCCATCACTAGAAGTGAAAGAGGTCTGAATGCTCCTTTAATGCACAAAAGTGGCTTCGTAGCGCGAAAATTTAAAGTCGATTTTAAAGTGCTGTGTGAAAACACCGAACAATTTATTTTTCTTTCATTGTTTATACTATTATTATTATATTTAAATAAATTAATAATTCATTCTAAACACTCTTCGAGTTGGGGATTTGAAACTGTTTCGGAAAAATTAAGTACTAGTATTTTATTGACAATAATAATAATTTTAATTATTGAAAAATACAGAAATTCGCATAATTTTTAAATATTTGAACATTTTTCCAAAAAAAAACTATTTCTTAAGCAGTTTTCTTTTTTATAAAATAAAGTTCCAAAATATATTATATTTAATAGTTATTAAAATTATTCGCTCACTGTACAATATCTAACAAAATATTTAAAAGTACATAAAAATGTATTGTTTTTATTAAAAAAAAAGTAGTAGCGAAACAACATTATTTTCTAAACAAAAAACAATATTGTATATTTTTGGAATTTTTAGCTTCATTTCCACTTAAAAGTATTATATTGGCGGCAATTGCAAAATCTTTTTCTCAAATAGTTTGCAATTTTTTTTGCATCTCACAATATTATTCTCAACATTAATCAACTTTTGTACAAAAAAAATATTTTTTTTTAGATTTTCTTTCTATCCATTTATTTTACAGCAAGTTTTTCACAAATATCCTATGTATTTTACACCTTTTTTTAAATTCAACTTTTCTTGGCAAAAAAATAAATTTTCTTAATATTACTTAAAAATCACATCAATTAGAAAAAATGATCAATTAGTAAAGAGTTTTTAACAGCTATTTTTATATATACAGTTCTTACGAGAAATTATGTACACGGATTAAAAGTTACAACATCCTTCCTCCTGCTGTACACTGACACAAAAAATTTTAATTTCTGTTTTATATTATAAAATTAATTTTTTATTTGCCGAATAAAAATTCCAATTATAATTCATCGATATGTCGCTTGTTTTTCGTTTTCTCATTCCGAAAGTCTTCTATAAACTTTTCAACTTTCAACTGTTCAAGCCATTTTTCAGCGCTTCCAAAATTTTCCATCAAATTGTCAAATGCCCTTTTATTTTCCATACCTACGATAAACTTTCCCAATTTCTCCAAATTTTTCAAGCGAATGTCGTCCATGTTTTGATTTTCCTGATGCTTATTTGGATGTAAACTTGAAATTCTTTCCTCTTCTTCTTCCTCTTTCTCATCATCATCATCATCATTATTATTAAAGGGGAGCTTGGAATTTTTGTTGAAATTATTTTCATTTTCGTGAGATTCGTTTTGCTCTTTGTCGGTGAATTTTTTGATAATATTGACAATTTTTTTCCAATCAAGAGACAAATGTTCTTGTTGAATATTCTTCCCGGGAAAATGGGGAATTTGAGTTGGAAGATTATTAATGTTTATTAAATTGGCAACTGTGTTATTATTATTTGGCTCAAGTTCACAGAGTTCCTTCAAGAACCACACGATACGATCGTATAAACTTAAATCGTTAATTGACTTGTATGTTTGCTCACCACGTTCGAGCGTTATTATTGTAAAGTAATTCATCAATAGTTCAAGGTCGAAATCGACGCCCGAGTTGATGCGCTCAGGTGAATAAATTAAATTCACGAGTATTTGACGTAAAAAACGGAAATGAATTTCATTGGGGGAATTTTTTTCTTCGATTTTCTCTGTCGCAATAATGACGCCTGGTTGAGTCTTGAGTTTTTTTGCTCTTATTCGAAATTGATTTAAAAATAAATTTCTTGCCATAAACGCGTGTAAATTGCCAAAATCTGCCAAAGGAATTTCGCTCAATGTTGAGTCATCATTTTCACTTTCCTCCGTCGCTGCTGTTGCTGCTGGTACTCCAATCATTGGATTCTGCTTTTAGACAAAAAAAATACTAATTTTTCAACAATCTTCCCCTTATAGGTATTTATAAAAAAAGGGAAAATAGAATGCAGCGCATTAAAAAAATGATAATTATATTTCATGCAAGAAAATTAAATTTTTTTACTTATAGAATACAATAATCTCATGCTTTGAAAATATTACTTTAATCCTTCCCCGCCAAAAAAACTGCGAGAGTTTTCCATGTATTTTAAAAAATATATTTCATTAACGAAAAAATATATTTCACAATTAAAAATATATGTATATTTTTATTTATGCATAAAATATTAACAATAATATTCTGAAAATATTGATAATCATTCATCGTTAAAAAAAATATATTTTCTCGAGAAAAAAATTAATTTTACAACGAATGACAATTAATAAAAATACACACACACACACACTCATATTTGACAAACGCGGGTAAAAGAAAAAAACAAAAAAGGAGCATTTGCAACAATTAGGCGCAACAATTATTATTTGTCGATGTAAGGAACAAAAGCAGTAAAACTAAAACGAGAAAAAAAATTGTTTCCAAGATGAAAAGTTTCAAAAAAATAGTTATTTAAATCAAAAGCAAAGAAATAAAAACACTGCAAAACAATAAACCAGAAAATGAAGAAGAAACAAACAAAAAAAAAAAGATAATGAAGAAGAAACAAACAGAAAAATTGTCAATGTTTTATTTTTAAAAAGTAAAAAATATTAATAATAATAATAAATTTCGCGCACCCTCAAAATTATTACTAAAAAAACCTTGAAAAATATTTATGAGAAATTTTAGTCTTCTTTTTTAAATAAAATTTTTATAATTAATATAGAAAATATAATGATAAAAAATGAAAAATTTGAAAAAAATCATGCATCTCATGCGCGACTTTTTATTTTTTTTTTTTTTCTCAAAAATATCAACTTGAAAAATAAAATTTATCGAGATAATAAACTACTTTATTGCACTATCTTTTAACTCGTATCCAAATCCAGAGTATAAAACTCTCGACAACAGTAAGTGCCAAGCACCAACAAATACAAACCTGAGACAATAATTGTTGTTTGAAAATTTCGTTGAGCGATCCTTTAAAACGTTCGAATATCGATTGTTCAGCAGTGGGCGGCGACTTTAAGAGGACATCGTCTTTTCGTCGTCGTTCATAATCGCCTGGAAAATAAATTTGTTTAGATTCAATTTCTTTTCATTAATTTGCAAATAATTTTACTTTAACAAATACATTGAAATAATAATTACAGGGGGTCTTTCGTTCAACAAAATTCCCGGTTTTCTTTTCAACATATCTACAAAATGGCTTCCAAATTTTTTTTTTATTAAAGTTTTTATGAATAATTAAATTCTTTTGACACGAGTTTCTTTAAATTTTTTGAAAATATTGGTTTTTTTAATAATTTTAATTAAAAATTTGAAAAATAATTGAATTAAACAAAGAATTTGCTCAATTTTTTACAATAATCTTGTATGTTTATAATTATAATTGAAAATTTGATTAATTCAATTTTATTAAAATATATTGATACTAATTGAATTTCTGTAAAGAATTTTACTATTTATAAAAAAAATTGAAACCTTTCAAAGAATGTAAGTATTTATGGAAATAATTAAATGTTTGCGTAGAATTTTATTAAAAAGTTTTGAAAATAATTGAGTTGTGGAAAATAATTTAATTATTTATTAAGATAATAATCGAAATTTTGAGGAGAATTTCAAAAAATTTTGAAACATGATTGAATTTCCCCAAAAAATTTTATTACTTTTTGAAAATAATTAAATTGTTTTTTAGAATTTTATGGAAATTTATGAAAATATAATTAAATTCTTCTGAGGAGGTTTTTTTGAAAAATAATATTCAAAAGAATTTTGTAAATCTAAAGAATTATGCTATTTATGGAAATAATTGAATTCTTGTGAAAAAAATTTTTTAATGTAAATTTTACATCGAGTTTTACCATTTATAAAAATAATTGAATATATTCCAAAGAAATTTTTAAAAATAAAATTATATAATTACTGTGACTAAAACTTTCCTAGATTATTTTCAAAGAATTCAATTTTATTTTTAATAGAATGTAAAGAAATTCCAATTGTTTCAAAAATTTTCATTTATTTGTTTATAAAAATTCAATCATCTTGAAACAATAGAATTGAAAAATTTCAAAAATCTTATTGTTCAGAATTGTCAAAAAAGACTTTGCGAAAATTCAATTTTATAAAGAGTCATTCCATTATATTTCGACTAAAGTCGTTGCTGACTAATTTTAAAAAATTATAATATTTTGCAGGAATGATGTTAAAGATATTAGGATCACCGAACAAAAAGAATTTTTTAAATATTTTTTATATTTATTGTAAAATAAGCATCTAAAGTATATGAAGTCGTAAAAACTGTCACATTTTCATCTATTAGAAAATATTAAAGAAAACACATAATTTACTATAAAAATGTAAAAAAGTTATAAGAATTTATTAAGAAAGAATTGTTTTATTATTATAAATTGATAGAAACAATTATTAATAAGAAATATTAAATAAAAAAGGATTTTTAAGTTCACCTGCCAAATAACCTAATTTTGCAAATTTCATTCACTAAATGTGAGAAAGAGAAATCATTAAATTAAATAAAACCTTATGAAATATAAAGTACCTGTGATTAACTTTTAGTTTTTCTTATCACTTTCTTCCTTTTTTCTTCATAAATGTTAAAAAATAAGCAATTAAAACTGGCACTTTGCTTATTTTCACGATTTTAAAATGCAAATAACTTCTGCCCAGAAAAATGAAAAATTACGAAAATTGGGCAATAATTATTTGATCACTAGATACACTCACTGGAAAAAGATTTTCTTTGGTCCCGAAGCTATTTTCCGAATTCATTAACTTTAAACTTTTTACTATTTTTATCAGGTTAATACATGTGTTTTTTAAAGGACGAAGTTAGCTCTTCTTGTTTAATCGTTTTGAACCAACTTCAGTTTTAAAAAAATCACATGTATTAACCTGATAGAAATAGTGAAAAGTTTAAAATTAATTATTTCGGAAAATAGCTTCGGGACCAAAGAAAATCTTTTTCCAGTGAGTGTATTTAGTGATCAAATAATTATTGTCCAATTTTCGTAATTTTTCATTTTTCTGGGCAGAAGTTATTTGCATTTTAAAATCGTGAAAATAAGCAAAGTGCCAGTTTTAATTGCTTATTTTTTAACATTTATGAAGAAAAAAGGAAGAAAGTGATAAGAAAAACTAAAAGTTAATCACAGGTTCTTTATATTTCATAAGGTTTTATTCAATTTAATGATTTCTCTTTCTCACATTTAGTGAATGAAATTTGCAAAATTAGGTTATTTGGCAGGTGAACTTTAAAATCCTTTTTTATTTAATATTTCTTATTAATAATTGTTTCTATCAATTTATAATAATAAAACAATTCTTTCTTAATAAATTCTTATAACTTTTTTACATTTTTATAGTAAATTATGTGTTTTCTTTAATATTTTCTAATAGATGAAAATGTGACAGTTTTTACGACTTCATATACTTTAGATGCTTATTTTACAATAAATATAAAAAATATTTAAAAAATTCTTTTTGTTCGGTGATCCTAATATCTTTAACATCATTCCTGCAAAATATTATAATTTTTTAAAATTAGTCAGCAACGACTTTAGTCGAAATATAATGGAATGACTCTAAAAAAAAATTAAAGTGTGTATCTTTTTTTAAATTAAATAATAAAAATTTGAATTATTAATCTTTACACAAAGAAACATGAATACATTAGAATGTGACTCTTTATAAAATTCAATTGTTTAATTAAAATACTTTTAAAATTTAATTTATTATCAAGGTTTTAATAAAATTTCTTTAACAAAAATTTAATTATTTTCAATTGAATTTCACAAAATTTCTATATCTATTTCTATATAAAAATTGAAATAAAAAACAATTTTTTAAAAACAAATGAAAATAATTAAAACTTTTTTAATTTGGTGAAAAAATTCCCGGTTTAGCATAAAATTCCTGGCTTACTCCCGGCTTTTTCCCGGTTAGTAGACACCCCCTATTTAATTTTGTAATTGAATAGATGGAAATTTTCCAATTTTTTTAAATTGAATGTATATTGCCTTTACCACCAATTGTTATAGTGAGGAAATCAGCTGGCTGATATAGGTTGAGGCGATGAAATTCTTCAACTGCCTGAAGAAGTTGATTTGTTTCAGCGCTGAATAAAAATACAAATGGAATTTTTACATCGTCATCGTCTTTCCCATCGCCTGACATTGCAAACATTGGCGATGTTTTCGCACTCGATTTTGAAACATTATCCAAAACAATGCCTGCCAATGCACCAGCTTTTTGTAATCTTCGTGCCTAAAAACAAAACATGCAAATATAAACAAAAAATTCAAAAACACATTATTGCACGAATAATAATAATAATAATAATAATAATAATAATAATTATTATTATTATTATTATTATTATTATTATAATTATTTAGGGTAAGTGTGCCAATTATGGCGCGGTTCTGGTTTAGCCGTCTTTGAAATAGAAAATTCAAAAATTATAATGAGAGAAGTAAATTTATGGCTTATTAAACAAAAAGCTAGTGTCATTCAGATAATAAAACATTAGTAAAAACTTTATAAAAATTAATTGTTTAAACAAATTAAAGCAATAAAAAATAAAATCAAAAACGTCAATTATGGCGCGATTAAGTCAATCTTGGCGCACCAATTACGGCGAGAAAAATAACGTGTATTTAGAGGTTGTGTTGCGCGCCATAACTGAAGCACGTGCATTCAATAAAAATGTGCCAGTTATGGCGGGGCGCAATTTTTGTTATTAAATAATTAAATTAATAATAGTTTAAATGTGTTTCTTTTCGTACAATGATATCGAGTTAGGTCGAAAATAACTTTTTCAAACATTTTCAAATAACTAAATTATTCTAAAATAGTAAATAATTGTATTTTTCACAAAGTCGCCATAATTGGAGCACAATTGACGCACTTACCCTACTAAAGAAATTCTCAAAAAAAAGATGCAAAGGAAAAACTCACTTTTTCAATAAACATACAAGTACCACGAACGACGAGAACAATTCTTCCCTTAAGTTTATCAACGTCATTGAGTTCCGCGCAGGCAGAAAATGGTTGAGCAATGACAACTTTTCCTGTGACTTTATTATTGTTACCACGTAAATCAGTTCCAAATTGAGCTGGACCCGCCAGCAATGTTACTCTCTCAGCTGGTTGAATTCCCGGCTTTACAAAGCTAATCAATTGTGGTTTTGTTTCGGCGATTTGTTGAGGTTGAAATTTACTCAATTCAATCATTTCTTGCATAAATAAAAGTCCCTCTTCCGCATCATGCGTAGTTTTTGCCTTTTAAACAAAAATAAATTCATTTTTTTTTTTTTTTATTTTTTCGACAATTTTAATTTAGGTATTATGAAAAGCTTTGAAAAATGAATAATTTCCTTTTCTTATAATAATAATTTTCAATGTTATAATTTTACAGTAAGAAATGAATAAAAGAAATTATCATCATTATCTTTATAAAGAAAAGAATTTTTTACGTGAATAATTAATTTGCTAAAATGAAAAATATTAAAAAAATAAACTTACATTGGAAAATGTGTGAAGAAATTGAACACGACCATCAGCAAGTGTAAGAATCGTTATTCCCATATCGCTCAACATTTTCAAATGATCGATATTATTTGCCTGGAATTGAGAAGCGCTTAAACGTCTCTTAAAGTTTCTCCTCGGACAAACATCTTCAACCATATTTCTAAGTGGTTGTCTCACTGACGCTGGGAACAAATGCAAACTATTGGGACAAGTTCTGTCCATTTCATCCACCGCCGCTTCTTGAACCGTGTTGTCCCTTTCAAAATCCTGGAAAATAATTAAAAAAATAAATAAATAAATACACAAGGAAACTAAAGAAATGGTAATTTTTCCATTTTTCTTTCTTTCTTTCTTTCTTTCTTTCTTTCTTTATATTCATACTCACAGATGATGAGGCATTATTCGTCCTGACTGATGCGAGTGTTAATGGCAATAAATGGCCCTCGGTGGTGAATAGAAATTCATCCAAGTCGAGAACAAGATCCGCACTTGGTTCGGCGAATAATAAAAATAAATATTTGAACGTCTCCGACAGAACAAAACTATCCATTGTGTCGTCGTGTTTATTCGTTCTGACATCGGAAACAGCTGCATAACCACAAGGCACACGTGCGTATGTCTGTAAACTTTTCAACACCTTACGACCAACACCCAAGTAATAATGATCGCCAGTCGCGCGATACAAAAAGTATGTTGACTCGAGAAACTCGGGACGCAATGGATGATGTCCCCAGTGAACCTAGAGCATTTGTTTATATTTTTTATTTTATTTATTACTTTTCGCTAATAATGTTTAATATTTTTTTTTAATATTACGCACTTGAAAATCAGTAGTGAAAGCTTCTGGAATGAAATTGTGTCTCTGCATCACTTGATAAAGCATTTCGTGTGTTTCGACCGCGGGTTTTATGTCACCTTTCAGCACCTGTTTGTTTTTTTTTTTTTATAAAATATTTAAACAAGACTGAAAATTAACTTGTAATAAGAAATAAATTATTATTCAATAATTTAATTTCTAATCAAAAATTAAAAAAGAAAAATTAAATTAATAAATTAATCTGTTCAATTATTATACCTGAAGTCCTGGCCAAAAAGCCAACAATGCGTCCATAAAATTTTTTGCATTTGTATTCGGTCGATGCATATGAACATCTAGTAACATTGGTCCTTGACTAACGTATTTCATCACAGCTTGGTAATGCCTATTAAATCGGCCCAAATATTTTTCATCACCTGCGAGAAACAGAGAACAGTAATTATGAATACATACTGCCTAGTGTTTATCAAAGAGTAAAGAAAAGAGTTTCTTCTTTTATATAAATTGACAGAAAGATTGTACCTAGTAATATATAAGCTTTTAAACAATATTCATAATAGGAATCAATTCCGGCGCCAACTCCAGAATCGCGTCGCACCCAATCTCCGGAATGAACGTTCAATACTGAACCCATTAAATCAGTTCCACGATGTCGCATTTTCCATAAAACGTCCATTGCCTTCTGCGCTTTATTCTAAGGAAATATTTATTACAACATAATTAAAAAAAAATAATCACGTATTGCTTTTAATACTAATTAATAAAATTTTACTTCGAAAATTGATTCTCCAGTCAGTCTTGACAAAGCGGCCATTTCTAGAATCATACTTCCAGCACAGGCAGTGCATGTTTCGCGTGAAACCTCCAAGGGTACTCCTTTCATTCCATATTTTAAATTTATCTGAAAAATGAGGAAAACAATCAAAATTTGTTTAGAATTAGAAAAAAATGTCATCAACTTACACGACCGTACGGAATTCCTGTTGTTGTATTAAATGCGGGCAAAAAACGATATCCTAAATCTTTGGCAAAGTTCAATAATTCGCCTCTGTACCATGGCATAATGTCAGCTCTTTGCTGTAAATATTCCGCCAAAATATGACCACTAAGAAGTCCCCTAAATTCCAAAAATAAAAACAGATTCAAAATAGACAAAAATTAAATTTTTAAACTCTTATTTTCCAAACAAACAAAAATAATTATAAACTAAATAAGAAAATAATACAATTGAATAAATATACTTCAATTCTGAAATAAGCTATTCAAATAAAAATTTATAAATATTATCACACTTATTAGATTAAAATTTTATTGATTTCACGTAAACTTACAACTTAACAGAATAAATTTAGAAAGTCAATAGAAATAATAATTTTTACTTTTTCCTTGTTCTCTAATATTCTTAAAAAATACTCTAATGAAATCAATAAAAAAAAGTAAATAAATTAAATAATCAAGACTTTTTATTATTACGTATGTACAATATAATTAAAAAAACAATTTTTACAAAAACCAAATAATGATAAATAAAAAATAGTGATAAAAAATATAATAATAATATTATTAATAAATAAGACTACAGTTAAATACTAATTTAACGACAAAATTGATAAAGAACGAGGAAACAATTTTTTTATTATGAAAAGAATATAATAAATAACAAACAGGCGAAAAAGTTCGAAACGCATTTAAATACTTGGACAATTTTATAAAAGAATATTTAAAATTATATTGTAATAAAATCTTTCAACTTTTTCTTAAAAAAAAAAGACAGACAAAATAAAGAAATTTCACATTTTAATTTATTAAATTTTAATTCAAGTATAATTACCCCAGCATTCTGATGTTGGTTTCAAAGAGTGAAACAATAACGTCAGTGTCAAAAGTAACATCCTTGATGACTAGTTTAACTGCATTTTCAAATTCCTCAAAATCGCCTAAAACCTAAGAAAACCAAAAAAAATATTAATTACCAAAATGAAATACAAAATAAATTAATCGCAGGAAAACAACTTTTTTCCAACACCAGAAATTTTCTTTTCTTCAATTTCATCTCTTTTTGTTATTAGAATAGAAAAAAATTGCAAAAAACTTACGACTAGAGTGTCCAATGTGTCGACTAAAGTCAACGAAAAACTGAAAATTAAAAGAGAAAAATCTTCAATTTTTTATTTTCCCAAAAATAAAAATGTAATAAATTGATTTGTTTTTTTTTTTTTTTTTAAGAATTTATAATTCGAATCAAGTAAATTTTTCTTTGTTTGAGAAAAGAAAAAACTCACTTTCCAAGAGTTGAGTCAATGTCTCCTCTATTTGGTTCTGATCCTCTGTATCTTCCTTTACAACTCAACGGCATTAATTCATCGGCTGGATAAGCGTTGGCCTTTAAAAATAATGTAAATTAAATAATAAAACAAAAACTATTTTATTTTTAAAACGATTGTAATTGATGAAGGAAAAAAGAATTACCATATACGCATTATAGGCGTGATAAAACATATCTCGTGCTTCCTCTCTGCAAAAAAAAACATTTTTCAAAATAATTCAATCAACAAATTTAGTTGTTTCTTCTTGAATTATTTAAAACTATTTGCAAAAATTCAAAATGAATTAAACTTAAAACAGTTTATTTTATTGAAACAATGAAACTAAAAACCAAAATAAATAAATAAAATCCTCTCAATGTTAATTTTTCGTTTTGATAAATTATTATCAAGTAATTAAAAAATGATGAATATTTACTTTAAACTTTCTCGCTCCTCCTTGCTCATAAATTCAATATTATTTTCCTCGATGGCCAGAGTATTGAAAAGAATTGAATTACATCGAAAAATGAGGAAAATCCCAAAGAATAATAAATATCTCGCCATTATTGTTGAGATTAAATTTCCGTCCAAAAAAAAAATATAATTCTTTTTCTTTTGTCAAGATATGAAAAATTGATGCCTAACAGTTATACATTGTCGTCGTCGTAACACTGATATTAGGCATTCTATATATTTATTGATAATTTCAATAAATTGCCTTTCGTACGTGGCATTTTGTTGTTGTTTATTCAACACGACAACATCTGCGCACATTAAAAGAAAACAAATTATTTCTCACTTTCAAATCATGAGTAATTTACTTGTAAAGAACACAAAAAATTCACTTGGTAGTTTTTGTATTTTTCTTCTCAATTGTCAAACATATGCCAGAGAAAAAAGTAAATCATTGCAATTTCGAACCAGCGAAAATGACACTTGATTCCTTTTTTTTTTTTTTTTTTTAATGTAGAGAAAAGACACTTTTCACAATCACACAATAGAGGAGGGCGAGAAAAAATTAATAATTTATTCCATTTTTTATTATTTTTTAAGAATATTTGTTTTTTATTATTTTTGTACTCTAATAATTTATAGAATTTTGAAAAGGACGGTTTTTAGGTTAGAAATACTGCAAGATAATAATAATGTAAAGAAAAAAGGGGGGTGATTGTTGAGACGTTTTCTTTTTCGCTTTCAAGTAAACAGAGTATTTGATAAGATCGTATTAATGACGTATTTCGAGGAGATAATAATACGTGTTTTGATAAGATTAATTGTTTCCATCAAGGCCAGATGATGTGGCCATTTGACAGAGCTGAATCTTCCACCACCACTTCAACGATGATAGAAAATAAAATTCTTTACGGCGTTTCATTGGAAATTCATGTTTTTTTATCAGCGTTAGTCCATTTTTTTAAACGTCACGTTGCTTAATTTTCACTCGCGTATTTATCGATTTTTCCATTCTTTCTTTAATTTTTCACTCGCAGAGAATTGCCTTTTTTGAATTATTAATATTTAATATTATTATTATTATAACTATCAATAAAAAATTTGGTTATTTTCTTCCTAGTTGTGTGTCATCTGATAAGTTTAGTTCCACTTTTTGACACTAGATGATGATAAAATTGCGCCAACTACTCAACCCTGACACACCTTCTGTAAAGGTGCATTTACACCTTTAGGCTGGAGTCCCATGGTAGCGTTTATTGCGTTGCGTTTTGTAACTAGGCAATGAGTGTGAGAGAGATAGAGATATATGTTTGCTCTTTTTGCACTCATGGCCTAGTTACAAAACGCAACGCAAAACGCTACCATGGGACTCCAGCCTTAAGGGTGGAGTCCCATGGCAGCGTTTTGCGTTGCGTTTTGTAACTAGACAATGAGTGTGAGAGAGATGGAGATATATGTTTGCTGTATTTGCACTCATGGCCTAGTTACAAAACGCAACGCAAAACGCTATCATGGGACTCCAGCCTAAGGCGCTTGCACACTTCCAAAATTTTGGGCGAGCAGCGAATTTTCATGGCCTTGAAACTCACATTACTAAATATGATTGGCTCTACAAAAAGCTGCGTGAAAATGTACTTTGTCAGAGCCAATCATATTTAGTAATGTGAGTTTCAAGGTTGTGAAAATTCGCTGCTCGCCTAAAAATTTGGAAGTGTGCAAGCGCCTTTATTTTAAAAAAATTTCGGGAAATTTGTTCTTAGGATCGTATTGGAAAAGGGCCTTAATGGAACGGTCTAACCCTGATTTCCTTTTTCTCAACCCTGACCTGACATATATAATCATATTTTTTAAATTTATGTCATCGAAAAATGTAAACATGATGTAAACACAGGAGAACCTAACCTTATATATTTTTCAATATTTTTCGAATGGAGCTGACAAATTTACTGCAAAAATGTTCTCTCGTCAACAAATGTAAGTAAAAATATGGAAAAATGTCAATACATTTTAAAAGATTTGAAAATTTACTATTAGCTTTCTTTTTTGTGAATTTTTATTTACATAGGTGCAATACAAAAATACAATAATCATTTGAATAACAACTAATTTTTGACAATATTTAAAAGAACATTTTTCAATCTTTTTTTTACTTCCAAAAAGTAAATTTTCCCTTAAAATAGGCTTCGCACTCATCTACTAAAACCTACTATTTACAACTTTTTTACGTTATGCTACTAAATTTGGGTACTTTTTTCGAATTTAGATTTCAACCACTAAAAGCTACTATTTCTGTTTTTTTAGAATTTACTATTCTTAAAAAATATAATCAAATTCTTTAAAACGATTCAATTATTTTCAAAAAATATTCCAAATTCTATTTGTGATATCAAGTACTTTCATCAAATTTCGCAAAAGAATTCAATTATTTAAAGTAAAATTTTCATAATATTTATTATATTTCGAGAAAATTATTTTGAGGCTTTTTAAATAAAATTCTTTTCAAAGTTCAATTATTTTTAAAAGTAAATAAATTTTTTCTTGGAAATTCAATTATTTAAAAGAATTCTAATAAAATCGTTGGCAATAATTCAATTATTTTCATAAATAATAAAATGCTTTTTAGGAATTCAATTATTAGGTACTTTTAAAAAGATTTAATAAAATACCACACAGACATTTAATTATTGTCAACAACTTTAATAGAATTCTTTGCAAAATTTAATTATTTTTAAAAACTTTCCGCAATTCAATTATTTTTAATTAGATTATTTTAAAAAAATTTTGTTAAAATCTTCGTAAGAATTCAATTCTATTCATTAGTAATAAAAGTTTTTTGGAAATTCCATTATTTAAATTAGAATTTGCATAAAATTAGGTCCATGAATAATAAAATTCGTTTCAGAAATTGAATTTATTAGCAGTAGGACAAGAAAGAAGTAAATATTTTTAATGAAAATTAGGAAAAAGTGAGGAAAATAAAAAATGTAGAATGGAATTTTTGTTAGTTTTGTCAAGTGTTTAAAACGAGTTTTTTTTTTTTTTTTTTTTTTTTTTTTTTTTTTTTTTTTTTTTTTTTTTTTTTTTTGGTAGTCAAGTTTAGTTTTTCGATAGCTATACTTTTTTACTACTTTTTTTTTTTTTTTTTTTTTTTAGTTTGAAAGCTACTTTTTTCTACTTTTTTTAAAAAATTAATTATCGAGTGACAAGTCTGTTGAGGCTTTTTAAATTTCCATTTCAAGTTTTTGTTTCTCTTTGTTTTAAATTCAAAACATTGCGCATGAGAAAAGAAATAAAATCTACTTTCGCTTTTATTTACATAAAACTAGAATTCAAATTTCTTTTAGCAGACAAAGTAACCAAAGAGAACGATAGACAAGAGGATGAAAAATTTCAAAAAATCTATAAAAAGTGGAAAGGAACTGACGTCAAGGACAAAGATATCACCTACAAAGTTATTCCAAAATTTTACTTTAAGGTAAAATAAAATTATTCTACAAAAAGAAAAACTTTGTTAAAATGTACCTAATGTTTTTAAAAATTGATTTTTTTTAATCAGTTGCCAAAAGATGACGAAATATTACCGCAAAAACTACGCGAGGAGACACGTGCACTATTTTTACAACGAAGATCTCGTCAATTGTTGGACAATAATGAATTGAAGGCACTTTGGGTGCTGCTTGATAAACATCACAGTCCACCGTTGTCGGGCGATGAGCAGCTCATTAATTATGAGGATTTTAAAAAAGTGGGTAAACTCGCTGGCCAAAAGTGCAGTTTATATTTTACTGCCGTTGTTTTCGCAAAATTGCAACAAGGCGATCCACATGGACGAGTGAGTATAATGGCACTGTTCAATTATGTGATGAGAAAAGTTTGGCTCCACCAGACGCGAATTGGACTCTCGCTGTACGACGTCACTGGTCAGGGTTACCTTCGAGAATCGGTAAATTCCATTTATTTCAAATCATTATTATTTTCATTTGCTTCTTCTCTTTTTTATCAAATTGCGAATTGTGTAATTCTTCAACTATTCATCTTTTTGCAGGATTTGGAGAATTATATATTGGAATTAATTCCAACGTTGCCGCAACTTGAGGGTTTGGAAAAGTCGTTTCATTCGTTTTACGTGTGCACGGCTGTGCGAAAATTTCTCTTCTTTTTGGATCCATTGAGAACGGGACGTGTTCGAATACAAGACATTTTAGCGTGTAGTTTTCTCGACGATCTCCTTGAATTGCGCGATGAAGATTTACCAAAAGATTTGCAGGAGGCCAATTGGTTTTCAGCGCCGTCAGCACTTAAGGTTTATGGCCAATATCTTAATCTCGATCGCGATCATAATGGCATGTTGAATAAAGAAGAACTTTCCGGGTAACTTTAATTAAATTATCTATTTATACTTTTACTTTAATTAAAATTGTAAACAAAATGGAGACATTATTTTCTTCTTTTTAGTTACGGAACTGGAACGCTGACTGGAGTTTTCTTGGAACGCGTCTTTCAGGAATGCCTTACATATGAGGGAGAAATGGACTATAAAACTTATTTGGATTTTGTACTCGCTCTCGAAAATCGCCACGAACCACAAAGTCTTCATTATCTGTTTCGAATTTTAGACATTAATAATACCGGATATTTAGACACATTTTGCCTAAATTATTTCTTTCGTGTGAGTATAAAAAGAAAATAATTATATTGTAAAAACCAATATTTGTAGTTTATAATTTGTTCTTTATAAATGTAGGCAATTCAAGAACAAATGTCGATGCACGGACAGGAGCCTGTAACGTTTGCGGACGTTAAGGACGAAATTTTCGATATGGTGAAACCGTCCGATCCTTCGAAAATAACTTTACAGGATCTACTCTCTTGGTGAGAATAGGAAAAAAAAAAAAAAAAACATTTTCCAAAATAACCATTTTAATTATTTACATTTTTTCTTCCAAACTTTCGTTATTTGAATTTTCTTAAACTAATTTTTTTTTTTTTTTTTCAATAAGTCTACTAGCCGCGGGAATTTTATGTCAAACCGGGAATATTAATTTCACCAACTTGACAAGTTTTATTATTTTAATTTGTTTTTAAAAAATCGCTTTTTATTTCAATTTTTATATAGATATTTATACTGTTCTCTACATTTGAATTAGTTGAAGATAATGAATTTGATGGTAAAAAATCAGTCACTGATTCAAATTTAGTATGTAACTGAAAATAATTAAATTTTTTAAAGAATTTCATTAAAAACTTTTTAACAAATCGAATTTTTCAAGTATTTTAATGTAATAATTGATAAATAATTGAATTTTATATATTTTTTATATTTAATTTAATATATATTTTATATGTATTTATTATGATTTTTGAAATTTTTCAATTCTATTGTTTCAAGATAATTGAATTTTTATAAACAAATAATTGAAAATTTTGAAAAAATTGAAATTTTTTTACATTCTATTAAAAATAATTGAATTCTTTTAAAGAATTTTTAAAAAAAATTTTCGAATATAATCAAGAAAAGTTATAGTCACCATACCTAATTATAATTTTATTTTTAAAAATTTTTTCGCAATATATTCAATTCTTCTTAAAACTTCAATTACCTTAATAAATAATAATTAAATTGTTCTCCACAATTCAATTGTATTCAAAAGTTTTAATAAAATTCTACGCAAACATTTAATTATTTTTATAAATAATAGGTAACATTCTTGGGAAGGATTTAATTACATTTTCTAAACGTTTTGGATGTGCTCTTTTCGATTCCGGTGTCAAAAATAAATTTCGTCCAAATAAAAATTAAATATGACGGTTTTAATGTCAGAAAACACAAAAAAAAAATTCATTTCTTCAAGTTTGACATTTTTTTTCACCTCGAAAAAGTGTAAGAATAAAATTCTATTTTCAACCATCGGTGCATAAAAATTATACACTTTCAAGAAAAGTAAAGTAGAATTTAAAATTTCAAGATGGCGGACCAATATGGCGTCAAATCTAAAGTAAAATTTTAAAATTTTGGGCAATATTCTTCATATTGCCGAAAAGTCAATGAATTCGCCTGAAATTTGTTACTCGGGGGTTTTTGGTGTCGCTGATTACGAATATGAACTTTATTCTCAAAAATTCAAAATGGCGGATCCAATATGGCGGACGAGTTTTACAAAAATTCATCGAATTCACTTGAAACTTGTCACTCGGGGGTTTTTGGGGTCGCTGATTACGAATATGAATTTCATTTAAAAAAATCTAAAATGGCATATTCAATATGGTGGACTTATTTTTTAAATTGATCAAATTCACTTGAAACCTGTTACTCGGGGGTTTTTAAGGTCATTGATTACAAACCCCCAAGTAACAAGATTTAAGCCAATAGGAATGAAATTTGAAGTTTCATGTTTGCCATATTGAATCAGCCATTTGGAATTTTTGAAAATAAAGTTCATATTCGTAATCAGCGACACCAAAAACCCCCGAGTAACAAATTTCAGGCGAATTCATTGACTTTTCGGCAATATGAAGAATATTGCCCAAAATTTTAAAATTTTACTTTAGATTTGACGCCATATTGGTCCGCCGTCTTGAAATTTTAAATTCTACTTTACTTTTCTTGAAAGTGTATAATTTTTATGCACCGATGGTTGAAAATAGAATTTTATTCTTACACTTTTTCGAGGTGAAAAAAAAATGTCAAACTTGAAGAAATGAATTTTTTTTTTTGTGTTTTTTGACATTAAAACCGTCATATTTAATTTTTATTTGGACGAAATTTATTTTTGACACCGGAATCGGAAAGTGCACATCCAAAACCTTTAGAAAATGTACCTCTGGTATAAATTGTCCACCGTTTTATTTATAATTACGTAGCTTGAAAATGACCAAAGAATTTTCATGAGCTGGGCGTTAATGGGTTAGTATAAATACATGTTTTAAAAAAATGGAATTAATCAAACTTTCAATTATAATTATAAACAGACAAAATTATTTTCAAAAATTGAAAAAATTCTTTGTTTAATTCAATTATATTCCTTTAATTAAAATTATTATAAAACATTATTTTTAAAAAATGCAAATAAACTTGTCAAAAGAATTTAATTATTATTCATGAAAACTGTAATAACAATTTTGGAAGCCTTTTGTAGATTTATTTATGTTTAAAATCAATTAAATTTAAATTTGACGAGAAAAAGAAACCGGAAAAAATTAGGACAAAGCCGGGAATTTTGTTGGACAAAAATAGTAGACCCCCTAAATAACAATAATAATTAGTTTTTCTTAATACCTAGATTATTTTTTTAAAAAGAAGAAAACAAATAGTAAAATTTTGGGGAAAAAATGGAAAATTTGAAGAAAAAGTAATGAATAATTTTTAAAATAATTTTAACAGCGGTCAGGGAGACACTATGGTTAGTATTTTAATAGAATTCCACGGATTCTGGGCATATGAGAACCGGGAAGCAATGGCTGCCGATTCAGGAGATGAATCTTCGCATGTTTGATAATTTTTTTTCCTTTGCCTGCGTAAATAACAATTCAATTATTCAATAGTATTTGAATTTTTATTGAATAGTATTTTTATACCATTTTTAAAGAATGAACAATAAACATCGAATACATTTTTTACGTTTTACATGGATTGTACTTTTTCTTTTTAAAATAAAAAAACAAAAAATAAAACAATCAAATTTAAAATAAAAAGAGATTTTTAAATTACATACGAGTTTTAGGATTTAAAATTTGTCTTTAATTCGTTTTTTATTTAGAAGAAACGTTTATTCAGTTTATTTATTTTTGATATAATCTGAAGTTTTCTTAGTTACCAAAATGAGAGTAGTGTTTGTTTACAAATGGTGGTCGCGTGGTCGCGCGTCATGGCAGAAATTAAGGAAAATATTCTCTCACCGTGGGAAATTGAGACTTTCATTGAGAATTTTCAAGCTCTGCCACTGGATGAATTCGGAACGAAAAAGTAAATATTATGTAAAAAATAAATTTTAATTTCAATTTTTTAGTTTTCGTAAAAGAAATGAATGTTTTTTTTCAGATGGTTCGAACATCACAAAGCATTGATGCTTCTTAATCAGCAAAGTATTTTAGAAATTAGTTCAATGAGAGAGGAAAGTGTCAAGGAATTATTTATCTCTTTCCAAAAAGTATGTTTCATTTTTCCCCTCCTGCTCATAAAAATGTTTAACTAAATAAATTATGCAAAATTTAAAAAAATAACATGAATTTGAATATTTGAATAGGTATTTGAATTTTTCTTTTCTTTTTTTTTTTTTTTTTTTTTTTTTTTTTTAAAGTCGTTCATGATAATAATAATTTTTTCAGATTCCTGTTTTAATTTACGAAGCAATACAAATTGAAATTTGGAAGCACAAAGTATTTCCATTGTTAATCGAAATAAATGACGAGCCGTCAAACACATTTATTTTGTTTAGCGTTTTTTATCACGAGGAATTATCCGTTTCTTTATTGGAAAATGTTCTCTATCACGCTGAAGCAATTGAAACAATGAACGATTGTATTATCGATCTTATTGATTATGCAATAAATAATGTTGCCCATCTTTTATTTGGCAAGAAACACGAATTGGAAATTACTGACGAAACGTAATATTTATTTTTTCACGCAAAAATTTGATTTATTTTTCATAAACAAGCAAATATTTTGTATACCTAGTTTTATTCGTTACTTTTTTATTCAATTGTATAGTTCGCCGTGTTTACAAGAATTATTGGAAAAGTGGTCCGAATTGGAATTTGACATTGGAATAAAGTGCATTTCAATTTTACGCTATTTGGCGGAATTCGCAGACAATCTTCCTCTTTGTGCACTGTCACGTTTATTGAGCACTCACGATTTACCTTATTTATTGTGTCAACTCATTGAGATGAAACCGTGGATAAAATTAATTAATGGTGAGTTAAAAAAATTAGTTAATATTCATTTTCGTAAACAAGTATAATATTTTATTTCTTATGAAAAATTTTTTAAAAAAAATGATAATTATTGAGAGCAGGAGATAAATTTTCTTATAATGGAAAATGGGAAAAAAATGATTCATCAATGGAGGAAAAAATTTCTAAAATCGAGGGTCAAGTTTGGTTTGGATTAAGGGAAATTCTCTTGAATCCAATTTGTTCTTCATATTACGAAGTAACTGAATTTCGCCTCTCACAATTCCTCAAGGTAATTAGAATATAACGAAAGAAAAAAAAGGAATAATTAAATATTATAGCAATAAGAATTAAAAAACATACGAATACATAATATTATGTTTAGAAATAATGGATAAATAAAGAGAAAATTTTAAACAATCAATTTAAACTTTGAAAAATGAAGAAAAATTTTTGATTAAAAATGAATATATTAGTTATTTATCGTTATTAAATTTGCTGTATTAATAAATACATTTTTCTAATTTTTCTAATGAAAAAAATAGCTACAAAAATTCCTGTACGAACATGTACTCGATCAAATTCCACCTCTTCTGGATTTAAGAAGATGGCTCAGTTATTTAAATGTCACATCACAAACTTTGAATGCTCAACGACCAGTAACTGTTGAAATAATACCCGAGGTAAAGACAAACAACTTTTTTCAACTATTTATAATAATATAAATTAATTTTGTATCATTTAGTCTTCTAAATATATTAAAAATTAAATAAAAATCTTCCTTTGCAGATAAGAACTGCAATAATGGAAAAACACAATAAAAAATGGAAAAGACTGGCTAAAAATCAATCGAAAACACTTTTTACAAAAAATATTGATGAAATAAAAGCAACGGCTCAAATTTTAAGTGAATCGTACGACATGAATAAAATTGAAATTGTCGATGGGAAAAAATGTTTTCTTTGTAAAAATACAGCAAATAAACGTTGCTCCAAATGCAAGGAAGCTTGGTATTGCGATAGGTAAGTTTTTTTTTTTCTTTAGAAAAAAATATTTTTTCCATAATAAGTATATTCTCAATATAAATTCAAAATTGAAAAGAAAAAAAAATCAAAACTACATAATTAACTTTTAATATTACATATAAGAAAATTTCGCATTTATATTTCATTTTTTTCCCTCTAGAGAATGTCAAGTGAAAGATTGGAATAATCACAAAGATTTTTGTTCAAAAATCGAGAGTTTTAAGGAAACGAATGATTAAGAAAAGAAAATATCTTAATTTTTTTTAATAATAATAATAATAATAATAATAATAATAAATTTACTGATAATATTAAATTATTACAGGGTTTCCACGTTTTTGCTCATTTCAAATTTCCTGACTTTTCCAGAATTTTAAAAAAGGAAATTTTTCCAGGTTTTTAAAACTACATTTACATTTTACCAAATTAAATAACTCTCTGATTTCCAGACAAAACTTTGACGAATTTATTTAATTGTTAAATTACCTATATTCCTTTTGAAGTTTATCTATTTATGAAAATTGTAGACGCAACTCTTTTAAAATTGAATTAATTTTTAAAAATAAGTGAAATTAGATTTCAAGAATAAATGCAATATTTTTTGGGAAACAACAATTTTCCAGGATTTCGATCATCAAATTCCCCGATTTTTCCAGGTTTTTTCAAGGTCTATAAAATTGTTGCGTGCGGCAACCCTGCATTGATATTATTATTATTTTTTAATTTATGCGAAAAAATAAAGAAAAAAGAGTTGAATTCTTTGGAGCAGGTTTTGTATTTCACTAGTATTTCAATAAAAAAGTCAAGAGAATGAACTTAAAAAAATTTATTCGACAACTAATGTACCGTATTTTGTTTAAGGTATTCCATAAGAACGTCCTTGGCCTGTGTTTCCTCTCCAAAGTCCTGAAAAAATAAAGAAGAAAAAAACAACGCGATTAGAAAAAGTAGGTTTAAAATTAATTTGATCAAGTTTTCTTTTCACAATGTAATTTATCAGAAAGGCGTGAAATCTGCATTTTTTATTAAAAAAATATTGGGTTCGTCTCAGAAGAGGGAGCCAAAGTTTCATCATGTTAAATTACATCCTTGCGGAGGAAAAAAGTGAATCAGACAAATAATAATAGGTATTTTGGAAATTGCACAAATTTAAATGCAAGATAAAATGAGTTTGTCTGGCTCTTTTAGAAAATAAAGGGATTGAAAATAAAATTACCTTGATGACGACGCAAGAGCAGCCAACGACTTTCCTGGCCTTGCCGGTGTTGTCGATTTTACAAAGTCCAGCCCATTCGCCTAATTTCTTATTATTATCCACTTTAATCAAGGGAATTTGATGCTCATTGCAAAGTGCCTGAACGAGTTTCTTGTACATCACTTCGTCGCAATTTTCCGCCAAAATGCACAGCATAGCTTGCCTCCTAGAATAATTTCAATATTTTTTATAAAGATATTATCGAAATATTCAAAATATTATACTAATGTTTAAATGGAGAAGGAGGATAAATTACTTGTCGAGAGATTTGGCGGCTTCATGAAGTCCATGAACAACGCCGTCATGAATGAGGGCATTTTTTAAAACTTCCTGCAGGGCAGAGTTAATATCCATTGGACCACCAGCTGTCACCGCTGAGGGAACATCATCACTGAAAATATGTTTAATTATTAGAAACAAGTAATTTTTAAGTCAATTTGTTTCAATAAATTTTCCATTTCAAGTAATTTATCAGAAAGGCGTGAAATCAGCATATTTTTTAATAAAAAAAAATATTGGGTTCGCCTCAGAAGAGGGAGCCAAGATTTCATCATTTTAAATTACTTTCTTTAAAAGTAACATAAATTTGTAATTTATTTTTAACATTGTCATAAAACGGTACTTTTAAGGAAATTCTTTTATAACCTAGAGAAACAATTATCAATTCCTAATAAAATATTGCAAAATTCACTTTAACAATAAAAAAAAAGTTGAAAAAATTAATTTTTAAAAGTTCAACATTCATTTTTTTTTTTTTTTTTTTGCTACAAAGTTACAATAAATTACATACATGCAATTTTTATCGGTGTAAAAAATTGAGGTTATGTTTACAATATATTTCTCTGGTTTGTATTTTGGTTAGCATGAAAATTACAAAAAAATAACAAGTTTATCAATATCAGATTGACGGTATTTAATAAATTACTTTTATATGCTTTAAGATGAAAAAAGATTCTCATTTCATATAAAAAATGATTAGAGAGGTTATGTTAAAATTTTGACATATCTGCAAGTTTTGCATTTACTTACAATAACAATGTTAAAATACTTTGGAAAAACAAATAAAACGATAGAAAAAATGATGAAAAGTTAAATTTAGTGCTTTTAAAATGGGAAAAATGTATCAAGTATTGAAAAAAATTGTACTCACTTTTCCGTGTCCGACATATTTGCGGATATTGTGATAGAACTGAAATAATAATTTGAAATTAATATAGACAAATTAAAAATATTGTTTTTGTGTTAAAACTTTAATAATAAAACATGATGTTGTTAAAAATTTTCGATTAAAAAATAAAGCGTGTTTAATGCCTTACATTCACTTGAGAGGAAACGGGGAGAAAAGAGATTGGCAACGCGTTGTTCATCTGCCATAATGGAAAAGTACGCAGGTTAGCCAACATTTCCAGGAACAACACGACGGGGCACCTGGCACACGGTTGGGAAACATGAGCATTTCTCCAAGAGCATATTGTAGAAAGACCTTTATTGTATATTTCCATTTCTCTCCTCTTTATTGTCTCAGTTGAACGCAGACATGTGATTCTCCCTGTAAGCTAATTTTTAAAGGACATTCTTCACCCTTATTGAATAATTTCAACTCTTCATGTTTTTTTAACGAGAAAAGAAGATTATAAACAGGAGTATTGACAAAAACGATTTGTCATTTTAATAATTAGTGGAATTTACAAAAACAAGAGTATATTATTTATACTATTAGTTGGAAAATAGACGTACTTTTGTATTTTCTCTGTGAGAAAAGCACAAAGGAAAAAGATTTATACATTTGTTAGCAGACGACAAACAAACAGTCATTTTTGAAGAATTGTTTTTACTGAAAACAAAATAAAATATATTTTTGACTAAAAAATGAAACTCTTAACGCATAATATGTTGACTTCCAAGTGTTTGAAGGGTGTTTCAGTTGGATATCCACTTGCAATTGTGGTCAGTATTGTCTATTTTCAGTAACCTCTCACTCTCACTCTCTCTTTCTCATTGATTTTCTCCTGTTTCTCTGTAATAAAATAATTCCACACTGACGAGAAGAGATTTTTTTAATAAATATAAATAAACAGAAAACGGAAATAAATTGGAATTGAATTCTATTCTTTGACAATCTTGCGCAATTAGAAGTAGGAAATATAATCATTTTATGCATAATTTTTATTTCTCAATAACAATATTGTTTACAAACTCATTTTTTCTTTTGAGAAAAATACAGTAGATATTTTTAAAAAATAAAGGAAAAAATTTTATTAAAAAAATGTTCTGTTAAATTTATTTTTACGAATATCTTTAATTGTAAAATTGTTTGAAAACAATAATTTCTTTTTTAAATGTTTTAAATATTTAATTATTATTATTTTTCCATAGGAATGAAGATTTTAAAAAATTTCAAAATGCAAACCTTTTTGAAATTAATCAACTTTAAAAATATTTGTTATAAAACATAAAGAAATTCTGCGATAAGTTTTTTCATTTATGAAAATAATTATTGATTTATTGGGAAGAATTTTATAAAAAATTTTAAATAATTGATTGATTTGTGAAAATAATTGAATTAACTAATTTTAGAACTGATTTTGAATTATTAAAGTTTTTCAAAAATCCAAGTTTATTATTACAATTTTTAATTAAGTTCATTCAAAATTGAAATTTAAAAAAATTTCAATATGAAACCGTTTGAAGTTGAGTTATTTATGAAAATTGTAAACGTAACTCTTTTAAAATTGAATTAATTTTGAGATATTTAAATATGTAAAATTATTCATTAAATAATTTACTTATTTTATGATATAGTTGTTCAAGATTTAAGTTAAATGTAAAAAGAAATTTGTGCCAGAAATTAAAAAAATTGAAGGTTTTGTAGTATTAGAATTCGTGGTAATTTTATAGTTAAGAGTCAAATAAAAAGGACACAAAAATTCAGAATTTTCTTATATGAATGTTAAAAATGTAATATTTTTCAGTACTTTTTATAAAAATTCCTGACTTTTCCCTGACTTTTCCCTATGTCAGAATATATTATGATTATTGGAATTATAATAATATTAAAACTATATAGTTCAATTCATATTTTATTTTTATAAAAAAAAAAAATTTGAATTACAAATTTTTACATTCAAATTTTTTTTTTAAATTGCTAATTTTGTTTAAAAAAGTGAGTGAAAAGTCAGCCGCGCGAATTGATGCTAGTAATAATGAATTTTTAGACTAAAAGAAAATATTGAATTTAATGGTGAAATATCTATTGCAGGCAAAGGATATTAAACTTTGCGATGTGGACTTTAATTCAGAATTTATTGTTAGAATAATTCCAAAATTGGATTGGTCAGCTCTTTGGAAAGCCGCAGAAAGTGTAAGTTTTTGTTGGTATGTAAATAAATGAAATTTGAAATGGAATAAAAATATTGAAATTTTCTTTTGGTTTCTTCATTTAGATAGGACACGTGGGCGAATTGCCACAAACTCTAGTCGACGATTTTGAATCGAATGAAGATTTCTTGAAAAAAGTCCATCACGTTCTGATGGAAGTTGAAGTAATAAACGGCGTACTCTTGTGTCCCGAAACCGGAAGGAAATTTCCGATTAGTGACGGAATTCCAAATATGTTGCTTAACGAGGACGAGGTATAGATTCAAAGAATTCCATTTTCCATAAACATCGCATTTATCACCCACTTCACTAAATAATAAACAAATATTATTTGTGTCAAAAAAAAAAATTAATTGCTTTCGAATCAATTTTTCTAAATTTTTAGTTTATAATTGCGTTTCTATCTTCTTTATCGAATACAGAAATTTGATAGTTTCTATTTTGTTATGACATTTTTAGATTTAAGATACGACCAATCGATGTAATATGTAGTCGCTAGTTTTTAAGGAGAAGAAGAATAATTATGTACAATTAGAAAATTTATCGTTATTGTTTTCAATATAATATAGTAATAGTAATAAAGAAAAAAAGAATAATTCTTAGGGGTTAATTTTATTCATTTTATTGCACAGATATGTATAGGTACAATAATAGATACAGTACTTTTTTTCTTTATTCACACTGGACTATTTCTATGAATATTCTTTTTCTTAATACTTTTTACTAACTTCACTGGGATTATAATTTCAGTTTTGGCTTTGGGTTATTTTCCTTTCTCCAATATTTTTGTCGGTTCGGAATTTGTTCATATATATATTATATAGTAATACTTAATTAGAGCGGTTATCTAAATATATTTTTTCTGTTTTATTATTCGCCTATTTATAAATAATTTTCAATATTATTGTTTCTGGCAAAATATGTCGAAGAGTGAAAAATAGTCAATTTTCTAGGGATATTGTAATTGAAATATTGTTCGAGGTTCGTTTTTTTATTTATATAATTTAACAAGCGACCGACGCCAGGACTTTGTTATTCTAAATCGTAACTCGAAATAAATCCAGCCTCTACTATAGAGAAGTAGAGAAGAATGAATGGTTTTGGCAAGAGACTAAATCTAACGTTTTTTTTTATTGTAGAGACACGGCAGATGAGTAAAAGGGTGTGGAGGTAGAAAAGGGTAGAAAATACGTTACGGAATTTGTGGATGAAGATTAATTTTTTGATTTTTTTTAATAGGATTTCTTCCAGAATTACGATTTTGATCAACAAATAATTCTACTAACACGGTAGATTCTTACAAACTATTAAACAAATAATAGTAATAATAATAATAATAATAATAATAATAATAATAATAATAGTTACGCCACGAAAGAATAAACAATGACAAAAATTACGAGACTAACGAGCACAAGATTCTTAAAAACTAATTTTCCTATAAATTAGATTTTAAATTTGGTTGATTTTTTTAAGACATTGAAAACTAAATAATAATAATAAATAAGGTGATTTAATATTAAACACAACCTCTAAATTCAAAATTCTAGAGTTTAAGGATTTTATGTTAATTATAATTAATGAAATATTGTAAATTTAACTATTTTAAAAGATAGATAAACATTTGTAGATTTACAATTATTATGCAATATTGGAAATAAATCAAGTTACAATAAATAATTTATATTTTCAATATTGATTTTACCGCGAAAATTTTCAATAAAATAATAATTGTTTCGAAAATTCGGTTCTTTATAATACAATGCCTTAAAGTTATTTTTAGTCTGAGGTCATGTTTCATTACTGAACCTCCTTAAGTTTCCAAACTCTCAGGGGACGGCATTAAATTTGAATCTAATTAAAAGGGGTTAAAATTCTTTTGAGACCCAAAAATTGTATCATTAGTTTTCTCTTTACAGAGATTATAGGAATTTTTTTTCTTTAATTTCATTTTGGCCACTCAATGAGAAATGTATACTAATATTTTGGCCTATTTTTGAAAAGAAAACAGGGCGAGGGAAAGAGAAATATTTATTTTCCTATTGTTAATAGTAATACCTAAAATATATTGAAAATATATTCATATTTCGTCCTCCATTAAGTTTTTCTTTTTTCTTTTTTTTTTTTTTTGTTTTTTCTTCTTTGAGTCAAAAAGCTATAAAAATAGCTCTCAACTAGTCAGCCACAGCCTATCGGTTTATTTTTATCTACGCAATTTTTTTATTATTATTTACGTTTATATTCACATAGTAAGTATTCTTTTAAAGGCAGGAATATTTTGGATTGAAGCTATGAAAATACATCTGTACATCGACTTTATCTATGGCACATAATTAATTAAGATTAAAAAGTTCTATACGATTGTTTTTTTTCTTTTGAATCGAGACTCACTCACGCTACATTGCATAGAAACCTTTTTATTTTTCTTGATTCGCAAAATTTAAAACAAAATTATATAATACGCTTGTCACTATTTTGAGCGGGATATTTAAAAATTCCCATTACCTAAATATTTTATCAACTTTTCTTTTTGCCAGAAAATATGAATTGAGTTGAAATTAAAAATGTTTAATTTTCATTAACCTTTTCAAGTGGCACTTTTTCACTGACTGATTAAAAGGTTTCTTTTTTTTTTTTCTTTCTTTATTTATTTAATGGTAATATTTAGAAGGCTTTTTTCAATTTTCACGCTTAAGCAAAATTTTTTTTACGATCGCTTTTTTAAATTAACATCACAAATGTTTAATACTGATTAGGAAATTTGAGTTTTTTTTTTTCTAATACTTTCTCCCCAAAAATTTGTTATTCATGAAAAACTGTATTTTTAAATAGGTAGGAGTTGAGATTAAAATGAAGTTTTTGTTTGAAAAATAAAATTACTTTTTTCTGGTTGTTCTTTTAATAGTGTGGGGGGGGGGGGGAATGTTAGAATATTCACTGAAGAAACTAGACGAAACACTACGTTACACTATTAATTACCTATTATAATTATTTAATAATAATTATCGATTAATTCTTAATAATCAGCTTCTACGCCATTCAAAGATATGTCGCAGACGGAAAAGTTTTGTCTCGGTTTAAAGTGGCGATTGACTAGCACTCTAACATTAAAATTGAAAACATCTATTTTTTTAGAGAGAGAAAAAATTTCGCCAAATTAAACTTTCCATTCACTCTTTTTTTTTCTCTTTCCTTTCCTCTAGTTCTTTTTTAGGATAATCAAGGAACTTTTTCATTTGATTAACGGTCAAGTTCTCCAATTCAATCCTTAAATTACAATCAACAATAAAAAATATTAGTTGCCAATTAATTTATAAAAAAAATTGACTGAAAAAGAAAACATAAATAAAATTTATATTTAATATACAACAAATAGAATAGAAAAGAATGAAAAACAGTTTCAATAAAATTTATAACAATGAAAAACTGAATTTAAAATATCAACTTAAAAATTAGAAAGACAAATTTAAAGTAGATAATTTAAATATTTAAATTTAAAAAATTGGAAATCGATACGTAATGTTTTTTTTTTCTTTTCTTTCTTTTTTTCTTTGATGGTGGATTGAAACAAGAATTAACTTTTGCAAAGAGAAAGAATGAAAAATCAGAAAAAACACGAATTTCATTTGCCCCGACTCTCGGTGTTGGCAACGTTCCTTTGAGAATAAATAGAACCTTGAGCTAAACCGCGAATAGGACCTTTGCGTAATTCTAAATTTGGGCCTTTCGCAAGGCAACTATTACCACCAGTCACCAGGGACGAGTCACAACCAACTGCTGACGACATTGAGTAGGATTTTTTCGACAAGAGACCCGGATTCGGCCCCGACCATGGAGCGTAATCTGGCCTGAAAGAAGCAAAGGACAGAGAATCACAATCAACTTTTTGCGTTCAAATGAAAAAATAAAGTTTAGTTATTGAAAGAAAAATGAAACTTACAGGAGCAAATCGTTATCGGCTCCATTTGGCAAATCAGTATTTGGTCCAGATGGTTTCGACCGATAAGGCGATTGGTACTCATTGTCTTCGGTGGTGCTTGTTCCTCGAGAAACTCTGCAAGAAAAAAATTACTCCTTGGTTATGAGGAGCCAACGTAAAAGAATAAAGAAAATTAAAAAGAAACTTACTTGGGAGTTTCAATCTTGCTTTTCGACCTCTTGCACTTTTCTTTGTCGTTTTCCTTGAGAATTTTCTTGAGGGGAGAAGCGGTTAACTTGATCGCTTCCGTAATGGGCGGACTGTCCTTTCTATCGTCACTTCGGCTACTGCTAAGTAAAGGAAAATCTCATTTATGGCAATTGTTATTTTTCTTTAAACAAATGTAAACTATAATTTATAGTAGGTGGAACCTTTGACTACTGGAAGTATTGAGCGGTCGAATAGCTTCTTCAGCGACCATAATATCTAAAATATGCGAGGCTCGCTCCTCATCGTAATCAACGCTGTCCATTGCTAATAAAATCACTCTCTCTGGCACGGATTTGAATTTATCCATTAGACGATCTTTCACTGTAAAAGTAAAAGAAAACATTTTTAGTTTCACTTGTAAAATTAATCAGCACTTTTTAACCTTACTTTTGCTCTTCTCCTCGAAGCTCTTCATTCGAGGCGGTGGCGTCGGTGTTGGCCGAGAAATTTCCACCTGGATAGCAAATATGTAAATCAGTAAACAAAAGAAAAAGATTATAAAACAAGTGAAAGAAACAAGAAATTTCTACCTTTTCTTCCTTCGGCTTTGAAGCATTTTTACTCGGACCAGTGGGATTCTTCTTCTCATAGCCCAATTCAATGAGTTTCTCCGAAGCTTTCTGAACATTATTATCGCTCTGCTCCAGCATGTCGAGCAAAACAGTCTCGTCAACTTTTGGAAAAACATTTTTCAGGTACCTGTTTCATCAAAGAATAAAAGAATTAATTAATTGACAAAACATTTTTCTATTTTCCTCCACTTTAGTTCATCACAATTCTAATAATTAAAAATTTGTAATAATCACTAGGAAACGACACAATCATTCTTCAATTTCTTCTCAATATTCAGATTATTATAAAAAGAATTTTTCATTCCACATCTCTAGCAAAACTTTTTATTTTCCAATGGAATTATAATTTTTTTTATGTTCTACTCAAGATGCAATATTATCTACAAAAAAAAAAAATAAAAGTTTTTTTCAATTTCGCATTCACATTCCAATCTTTCGTTTATCTTTCGTTTATACATGATGACAACATTTTTAATTTTCATTTAGAATTGCATTTCGAATCAGAGAATTAAAAAATAAATAAATAAATAAATAAATAATAGCGATGCACATGCAAAAGCGAAAAATAAAAAAAATTAAATTAAGCAACAGAATTTTCTCTAAATTTCTAAATTAACATGCACATTATTTTAGAAAAATGTTGATAATTTTTTAATTTCCAATTTAATTTTTATACCCATGTTGTTAAGAAATAGAAATTTAGAAAAAAAGAAACGTGCAGTGTTGACATAAGCAAAGAAAATAAGTAAACTAACCTATAGTTTTTTTTTTTTTTTAAATAAATCGTGAAATCCAATGAATAATGGTGGTGTAAATCAGGAAACTGAAAAAACGAAAAAAAAGAACAAAAGAGAAATAAATAAATAAATAATATATAACGAAGAGTCTAATACACAAGTGGAAAAATAAAATTTTGTTTCTTTCTTCTTTTTTGAAAAAAACCAATCGGTAATCGATAAAAGTTTCATTAGAAGCCAAAAAGAAGAAGCCGAAAAGCTACAATAAGAAAAAAAAATGGCAGATAGATCAGAAATGGTGCATTTCTATATGTATTTTTAAATAAAAAAATTTCTTTTTCTTGCGTTCCAATTTTGGGGTGAACTTTTTTTCGAAAAAACAATGTATTAGAAACTTCGGATGCATGCTACTGCTACTTTTTTGTATCTCTAAAAAAATAATCCAAAACACGTCGAAATTTGAAATTGAAATTGAAATTGAAATTAACAAGTTTAATTTTGTGAATTTTTCGACGTATTTTGAAACAACGACTATGATAAAAATATATATTTATGTAATAAAAAAATGAACAAGTAGGAACTATACATCTAGCATCCATAGTTTGTTAGTTTGTTAAGTAAACCTAAGTTTCATTTTTGGGGAGTGAGGGGGCGGCCGAGCCCCCTTCAATGTCAGATTGTGAATTGCGTGACGTGGAACTCGCCATCTCGTTATCGCGTAATTGGAATGAACTCCAACGGGTGTACAAGGTCCTGGCGCACAGAGAGGATTCTTCTCGATTTGCAGTGCGCTCATGACTAATGCTGCTCTGTTATGGTATCTGAAAGATATCGGCTCGAAACTTAGAAAATCATATTTCATCGAAGAACAGAAATTGGACAAAAACAATAAACGCGAGACGTAATTTCAGAATATAATTATACTATGTATTTTAATGTTGATGATTTTTTTATCTCTTTTCTCAAAAATTAATTCTCAAACTCTTTTCGTTAAAATTTCATCTTCTCTTCTATAAAAATAGAAGAAATTAATTATTTAATTCTGAAATGCTGTGCAATCAATAAGTTTATAAGAATGTAACGAGATTAATTTCTGACATTTGTCCAGCAATTAATAAATTGCTACTTATTTCGTCATGTTAAAATTTCAAATCTCGTGTCTTTTCAATTTTTCAAAAGAAACTCGAAGGTTTTTATTTTTATTTGGTCACAAAAAAATGAAAATTGACCAAAAAATGAGAAAAGTCCGTGTGTTCTTCCTGGAAAAAAATAATTTTGCGAAATGATAAATTTAAACAAAAAATTCCTGTGGGCGGTTCGATAAAAAGAAATTAAAATAATTTTGTTAATTTTTTTTTCCCCCAAATGTGCTCTGAGAGTTAGTAGAGAAAAGCAGTTAAGCCATTTAAAATGAAAAGTGGATCAAAACGATCTCTTGTTTGGAATATTTTTCTCGTCATTCTTGAATTCTTTCCATTGCATTTTGAATAATAAAATCATTATTTAAAACACTGAAAAAATTTCAAGACTGATGAAGCAAATTATAAAAAAATTTCTTTTAATTTTAAAAATAATAGATAAATGTGTTTTTTTACTTTTTCAATAAAAGTCGAATGTGAGTGTCGGTGACGGTGGGGAACATTGCGTTAATTTTTGCCACCTGAATCTCAGCATCGGAATTATTTGGCATAAAACTTGTTTCCATATTTGCCGTTGGTGTCGGTGAGCCGATTGTCATGTCTCCAAAGCGATTTGTCATCGCGCTAATTGACCGAGTCGACATCGGTGTCTTCAAGTCCTGAAAAATTTGATTTCTTGTAATTTACACAAAGTTGAGAAGGAAATATTTTTACGTATAATTAGTTTTAGGCAAACAGATTTTCGTTTAACCTATTTTCATCTATACATGTAAACGGGATACTGTTTGGACATTGCATTTTGCTTTTTCTTCATCATTTACCTGCAAACTCGGAGGTAAAAACGCAGGTTGCGGATTATGATAAGGCGATGGGGTCGGGTAAACCTGGGGTGCTCTGTGCGACCCCGAATAAATAATATGTCCGCCGACGCTTCCTCCGGTCTGTTGTTCGCACAACATTTCCAGATGCAGCGTGAAAATTCGCAGAAAATTTCTCATTTTATATTCTTTTTTGGTTAATTATTATTTCCAGGGCTCGAAGCAGTTCAAGTATTTAAGAATACGGACTTACCAACAAAAATATAATATATTTAAATATTATATATCGATAACTATGTACATGTGATCGATTTCTTCATGTTTTATAATAATTATTAAAGATGAGATGACCGAGTGATAAAATCATTGTTATTATAATTCAATTATTATTTTCAAGAATTTTTAACTAAAATTCTTTTTTAATCGATTATTTTTAATAATTTTCAAAAAAATTCTTTGACAATTTTCAAATCCACTTCTTTACAATATTCAATTTTACAAAATTTCAATTATTCCTAAACTCTTCTATTAAATATACATACTATAATATTAGAAAATAAAAACTTGAAATAATTTCAAAAAAAATCAGCAATTAAACTCTCTTAAAAAAATTAATTTCAAAAATCAATCATTTCTAAAAATTCACGTTATATTGCTTTTAATATTCAATTATTACCTAAAATTTTAACTGAAATTCATTTCTAAATTAATTTTTATTGTAAAATTCTACGAGAATTCAATACAAAAATAAATAATTTATTCAATAATTTCTTTAAAGGAATTTAATTAAAATTTTACTGAAATTTATTTTATTAAAATATTTTATAACAATTTTTGAAAATAATTGAAAACTTTTTGAAGAATTGTATTAAATTTTTTGAATATAATTGAATTTCGGAGAAGAATTTTATTATTAATAAAGATAATTGAAATTTTGATGAGAATTTTTAATAAATGTTTGAACATAATTGAATTTTTGTAATTTCTCCAACTTTTCGTTTTTTCTCAATCAAATTTTCGGATTTTACGGACCTTTTTTTTAAAAAAACTGATTTTTACGATCTTGAAGCAAAGTTACGGACTTTTACGGGATTTACGGACCTAGTTCGAGCCCTGTATTATTTCTACTTTTGAATGTAAAAAAGATTTCTAAGTAATTTCCTTCTAGTTTTGAACTTTATTTACGTCGCGTAATTTTTTTTTGATATTTATATACTAGGAAATAAATTTAATGAAAAAGTCGCGTCTTGAAGTGCCTAGAAATGCTCTAACTTCAAGTAACGCATAATTAAGAAAAGCAAGAATAAAAAGAAAAACAAACCTGCAACGGAATACTTTCTTGAGTGCTCACTGTTGACGCAGAACTTGGAATAATGGAATTTTGAGCCTGTACATATTGAGCGTATTGCCAATATCTCACCCTGGGATCTTCCCATGTCGTACTTCGGTTGAAGTGATTTATAAAATAACTGCAATCAAAAAACAAGTATTATAGGCGGTATTGGTCGACAGTTTTACAGCATTTCATGAATAAATTTCCTATTTGACATAACCTAACTTTTTTCTCTGCAAAATTTCGAAAGCAAAACGACGATAAATTTTCTCCATTTTCTCCGTTTTTTAGAATAATAAATTAACAAATTCAAATGTTTGAGAAGGACTTTTTGTTTATGAACTTTATAAATTGTTTGAAAGAATAAACGAAATGGAAGGGTTGAAATGAAAATATTTTGGTTGCGTAACTCTAAGAGACAATTGAATTATTGTCGTGTGAATTGATTGTCAGGAAATTTTGACATGATTAAATTATCATTTTTTGTTAATTCCACTTACGGACGGCCACTTCGGGAATCGTATCTGCATTCCCAACCGGGCGGCAATTGATTTCTTTCACTTTGATCCGCCATTTTACACTATTTTGACGTTTTCCTTTTGCCCCAAAACTGCGATAAGGAGAAGAAAATTCGCTATTCGCTATTCCGCCGTTTCTGCGGGTGAACCGCGGTGAAGAGGGTTCAAAGTTTGTTCATAGGGACAGCAATTATCAGGGTTGGGTAAGTTCAGAACACTGATATTAAAGGGCAGTACATATGTACATCCATAAATATAAATAAAGGTGCTTCTATACCTCCGGTGGATTGGTCAAGCAATCGGCTCGATGAATTTTCACGGTCGGAAAATGTACTTTCATGGCGGGTATTTTTGAATAAGTAAATGTTGAAAAGGTTTTTACTTGAAAATTTATTTAAAAAAATGATTTTATCATAGAAATTCTTTTCAAATTTATGTTAATAAACATGTTTTATTTTAAAAGTTATCAAATTTTAATTCAAAATGTTTTAATTTTCCAAAAAAGTGTAAAAAGCCTAATGTTTTTGAAATGCTAGTACAGACGATACAGACTGTTTGTTATGAATGTACATAACCTAGCGTTGTGTTGTCGTGCTTGTGATATTATTATATTCTAAATTTAATGATTTAATTATTATTATATTAAATAATAATGAACTGACAACACAACGCTAGGTTATGTACATTCATAACCAACAGTCTGTACTAGCATTTCAAAAACATTAGGCTTTTTATTAGGCTTTTTTTTTTTATTAGGCTTTTTTTTTTTTTTTTTTTTTTATTTTTTTTTTATTTTTATTTTATTTTATTTATTTATTTTTTTTTTTCTGTACAGACTGTTTGTTATGAATGTACATAACCTAGCGTTGTGTTGTCTGTTCATTATTATTTAATATAATAATAATAAAATCATTAAATTTAGAATATAATATCACAAGCACGACAACACAACGCTAGGTTATGTACATTCATAACAAACAGTCTGTACCGTCTGTACTAGCATTTCAAAAACATTAGGCTTTTTACACTTCTTTGGAAAATTAAAACATTTTGAATTAAAATTTGATAACTTTTGAAATAAAACATGTTTTTTAACATAAATTTCAAAAGAATTTCTATGATAAAATTATTTTTTTAAATAAATTTTCAAGTAAAAACCTTTTCAACATTTACTTATTCAAAAATACCCGCCATGAAAGTACATTTTCCGACCGTGAAAATTCATCGAGCCGATTGCTTGACCAATCCACCGGAGGTATAGAAGCACTTTAAGGCTGAATTCCCATGGCAGCGTTTTGCGTTGCGTTTTGTAACTAGGCAATGAGTATGAGAGAGATGGAGATATATGTTTGCTATATTTGCACTAATGGCCTAGTTACAAAACGCAACGCAAAACGGTGCCATGGGACTGCACCCTAAGGGTGCGATCCCATGTATGCAGAATACGTCGACCGAAAGCAGAAAATCATGAGAGTGAAAAGAACAACAATATCTATCTATCTCTTTCGCACTCATGATTTTCTGTTTTCGGTCGACGTATTCTGCTGTAATGGGATTGCACCCTAAGGGTGCAGTCCCACGCTGAGCAGAAAACAGAATGCAAAGCAGAATTTCGTGAGTGCAAGAGAGATAGTCAGATATCACTATCCTTTACACTCTCACGAAATTCTGCTTTGCATTGTGTTTTCTGCTCAACATGGGACCGTACCCTAAAGGTGTAACGCAAGTGTGATGGAAAACGACGGGGTGCTACCCTCTGTACCAAAAACATAAGTTCGAATGCTCATTATGCCGAATTTACAATTTAGAAATGACCAGATACGCGAATCCTCAATAACCTAAATTGTATATTGAATGAAATTCAAAAGTAGGGAATAATCATTTGATATATTCTGCATATGGAGAATATTATTTTAAACTAATTCTTTTTTTCCACAATTTGAAATTATTGCAATTTTTATTTTTGGAATTTCCACTTTACCTACATTTTAATAGATCGAAACGTAAAATATCAGAATTGACATTTAATTGAAATATGATGGAGAATAAATATATATTCACTGAATAAAAAGATTAAATAATTATTAAATGTTTGAATTTAATAAAAACATATTGTTCAAAAGTTACAGTGCGAATTGTACAGAATATATATTAATAAGAAATATAATTTGGCAGAATGTCGATTCGATCGATTTTATATTTGCAAGAAATTCAATTTGACAGAATATCAATTTATAAGAAACACGTTTTCGTAGAACTTTAACTTGTCAGAATTGTAATTTTGTAGAATATTAATATTGGCAAATCTAATTTTGGTAGAAATCTGCTTTATCAGAATGATCACATGTTCGAATCCTCAAAAGTTAGAATTCCATTTTTACCGAAAATGGATTCCACATAAATATTTGGCGCAAATTTTAAAATTCTGATTTCTGATTGGTCGATTTTAAAATTTGCGCCAAATATTTATGTGGAATCCATTTTCGGTAAAAATGGAATTCTAACTTTTGAGGATTCGAACATGTGATCATTCTGATAAAGCAGATTTCTACCAAAATTAGATTTGCCAATATTAATATTCTACAAAATTACAATTCTGACAAGTTAAAGTTCTACGAAAACGTGTTTCTTATAAATTGATATTCTGTCAAATTGAATTTCTTGCAAATATAAAATCGATCGAATCGACATTCTGCCAAATTATATTTCTTATTAATATATATTCTGTACAATTCGCACTGTAACTTTTGAACAATATGTTTTTATTAAATTCAAACATTTAATAATTATTTAATCTTTTTATTCAGTGAATATATATTTATTCTCCATCATATTTCAATTAAATGTCAATTCTGATATTTTACGTTTCGATCTATTAAAATGTAGGTAAAGTGGAAATTCCAAAAATAAAAATTGCAATAATTTCAAATTGTGGAAAAAAAGAATTAGTTTAAAATAATATTCTCCATATGCAGAATATATCAAATGATTATTCCCTACTTTTGAATTTCATTCAATATACAATTTAGGTTATTGAGGATTCGCGTATCTGGTCATTTCTAAATTGTAAATTCGGCATAATGAGCATTCGAACTTATGTTTTTGGTACAGAGAGTAGCACCCCAAAACGACAGGGTCATACGACTGTCCTTTTCACACCACGCATACATGCGTGCTCTCAAGTACGTGCGTGAAGTTGGCACAACAACCATATAATAATTAACTTTTCTGGTATGGAATCGTTTGGTCATCGTTTGGTCATGTTAGGAAACTAACTTTCAACGTTTGGATGCAATAAATAAAAAAGTTATTCAACTTTTAAATTTATAGTGCTAACTTCACATTTGCACAACAAAAGTTAATATATTTTTAAAATTTTAATGCCAATCGTTTGGTCATCGTTTGGATAAGATTGGAAACACCATTCAAGCGTTTGGACGATTCATAAAATAATTATAAAACATTTTAAAGATTTTTGTTCACAGCACACTGGAAATGTATAAAGTTGCGTAAAAGGATCTGCGCATGGGCATTCTTAGCGCGAAATTTTGAAATCTTCTTGCATTACTCATAAAGATTATTATTGTTAGTTTTTAAATAAATTTTAGGTTATTATTATTACTATTATTTTTTATTTTTCTAGTATGAAATTGTTGGTTCATGTTTGGATAAACCAACTTTGAACATTTAAATGCAATAATTAAAAAAGTTATTCAACTTTTAAATATTAAAAACAAATAAACAATTTTGAACGCAAATTGTGATTATAAAAGAGAAATTATTCAAATTCCTTTTTTTATATCTACTCACTTAAAGTTAGTCTTTTGTATATTCTTTCTTTTTTGTAATCTTTATGAGTAATGCAAGAAGATTTCAAAATTTCGCGCTAAGAATGCCCATGCGCAGATCCTTTTACACAACTTTATACATTTCCAGTGTGCTGTGAACAAAAATCTTTAAAATGTTTTATAATTATTTTATGAATCGTCCAAACGCTTAAATGGTATTTCCAATCTTATCCAAACGATGACCAAACGATTGGCATTAAAATTTTAAAAATATATTAACTTTTGTTGTGCAAATGTGAAGTTAGCACTATAAATTTAAAAGTTGAATAACTTTTTTATTTATTGCATCCAAACGTTGAAAGTTAGTTTCCTAACATGACCAAACGATGACCAAACGATTCCATACCAGAAAAGTTAATTATTATATGGTTGTTGTGCCAACTTCACGCACGTCTCTCAAGTGCTCTCAAGTGAAAAAAAACACTCCGTTTCGAAATTAGCGCCTCTCTTTAACAAATCGATATTCGATTCGAACGATTAATCATTTCGACGATTATTTGACAGATTCACCCCACATGGTTCATTTTGTGGTGGGGGTGGTGTTGGTGGTGAATTGTTATGGCACAGACCAAGACGGTAAACGAAAATTGATATTCACATCACAATTACAAGTTGATTTTAAATACTTTGCTGAACGAAATTCCAAAAACATCGACATCAGATGAACTTGAAAAAACGGCAAATTCAATTAAAGAGCTTTCTTTTCGAACGTAGAACCAAGAAACAGAAAAAATAAGGTTTCGTTCCTCGTATTTAAAGTGCCATTGGAAATGTAGAAAGACGACAAAAAAGAATGATACGTGATTGTTTTTTCAAGTCAGACGCGGCGGGGGTGTGACGTTTTCTTTTCCATCAAAAGGTATAAATTTTTGCATGTGTTTATAGTTTTACTCTAGAAAAAAAACCGGTGTTCACTTTCATTTTTAACAATTAAATTGCATGTTATTCCATATGTTTTAATGTATTATCAAAATAGCATGCAAATTTGTTTTGAAAATTTTATCAAAAAAAAAAAAAAAAAAAAATGCTTGGTAGACAAAAACTTTGCCATGTTGTCCAAAAATTATTGTAGTGAAATAAATTTAATATTTTATACCTATTATTAAAATGCATGTTTTAATATTTGTTGAAGATTAAAGGTTGAAAGTGTTGTCGAACACTCGACAACAGGCAGTACTCTTGATGCAAATTTAATGGATTGGAAGTGTCGGATCCGTGAAGCGATGCCACTGAGTCCAATGGTGCACGGGGTTCCTTCGGGAATAGCGGGAAGTGTCAATTCTGGACAAGCATCCCAAATAACACCAACAAGTTGTACCCCGCCACCGGCTTATCACAATATTAATCTTCCTCTCGAACATCTCACAATTTCGGCCAGCGATCGAGGAGCGCCGCCTTCTTATGAAGAAGCCATCGATCCTAATGGTGATTAAGGATTTTCCATATTTTTATTCATAATATTCATTGAATTTGACTAAAGTTGCGTCACATTTTCAGCGCCTCCGCCATCTTATGATTCATTGTTCGGTCGCATGAGGGAAGCGCACAAAGCATCGAAGGGGATTTTTGAGTTTCTCAAAAATATCCTCATGCTGCTCTTGGGCACAAGTCGGTATTTTCATAGTAATAGTAATAGTAGTAAATGTTCCTACGATGATAATCTCCTTTCGCTCTTCCACAGTCGGATGCACAATACTGTTGGGAATAACAACCGTGATTCCAATCTGCATGATGGTAATTGGCGGTCTTTATCTCTACGATTGTCCACAAGGCGAATACATTCCCGTTTATTTACTAGTTGGCGGCGGCTTTGGCGTTTTCAAGCAGCTTCTTCATCTGTCAACGAGGGTTCGTCAACGTCCAGAGGAACGCGATGAGGAGAGAATACGACAGTCTCCAACACAGACACTAATCAACTGTTTCATGCTCGGATGGTTCATTATTGGTAAATAGATAGATAATGAATGAATAAATAAATAAATAAATCTTTCTTGATTATTGCACCATTGAAATTGTTTTTCTAGGTTCAATGTGGGTTTACAAGGAATATGAACCAAATTACGATCCAGCTCTAGGGAAATATTGCAATAAGACTCTCTATTTGTTTGCCTTTTGGCTAATAACGTCAGTGTACATTGGACTGGGTGTGATTACTGCTGGCCTCTGCAGTATTTCCGTTGCCAGTATCGCCTTTGAAAGACCGCCACCTGATTTGATGTGAAATGTACTACAAACGCCGCCGATCCTATCCGCAAGAACTCGAGGATAAAATGTGAAACTGAAAAAGTCCAAGTCGGTATGCAAGTAGAAATTGTTTGATAATGAAAAAAAGAAGTATAAATTTTCCATCTTTTTTTCTTTACATAAATTCTACGAAACTGTGATTCATGAATCTACAAGTGTAACCAATTTTTTCGTGTGCCAAGGGAACAAAGAAAATATTAATAATAGAAGCGCAGAAAGAAAAAAACGTATTTCTAAAGAGAAATACTTTTTCGGCGATTTCTGCCCAAACTATGCTAAAAATTTCCTATATTTGGAATTGGTTTTAGATTCTTTATATAATAATATAATAACGTTTATTATTATATAAATGGGGACAAAAAATTTGGTCGTAAATTTCCTGGATATGTGCTATATTGTATGTATATATAGAGAGAGAATCAGGAAATTTCCAAGTTTTTTTTGAGATTTTTTCGTAAGTTGTTTAAATACAACACGAGAAGTGAATTGTACATAATGGTTAGAAATGACGCGCTTATTAAATATTTTTTTTAAGAAAAAAAGACTGTTTCGAGTCATCGTTAATGTATTAAAGTATATTACCTAACTATTTGTTTTCCGTCCCTGCCGATCTCTATGTCTTTATACATATATATATATATAATTTTAACATTTTTTTCAACGCTATTGTTCTCAATCTCTGCTCAAGCACTTTTTTTCATGTGAAAGCATGCAAGAATTCCAGTGCAGTTACCTGTTTTTCTATTTTGCGCGCACATAGTATAAATTGACTTGCAAGTTTCCGTTCCAAGTTATTTATTTATGAAAATTGTAAACGCAATTCTTTTAAAATTGAATTAATTTTGAAACGTTCAAGTAAAATTTGATTTAAAAAATAAACGCAACCCTGAAATACCACCACTTAAAAATGTGTATTGCGCGCAATTACAAAATTACAACTTTTTTCAGAAATAAAAATTTTAATTTTTGTTTCTACAATTTTTTTCTTTTAATAAAAAATTGTTTTTTTCAATATCAATTTAGGTTTTCTCTATACAGTGGAACCTCGATTATCCGAACCGAAAATCATTTTATCCGAATTTTTTTTTTGGCCTGCCGAATCTTTCAAAGGAAAATATAGAAATTTGTCCCAAAAAAATCTTTTAAAAATTCTGAATTCTCTGTTTTATCAATATATTATTATAAATTAATATATATTTACGTACATATATACTTATATGTATATTTAAAAAAATGTATTAAATTAAATATATATAATTCAACTGTCTAATTTTTATAGGTTTAATTATAAAAAAAACTCGTCCTTGCCTGGGTTAGTTCGGATAATCGAGGTTCCACTGTATTTTTATTGATTCACAAGCAATATTGACGTGTGTAGGAAATAATAATTAACAAAAGTTTTCAATCTATGTTTCGCCTGTAAAGAAGACTTGGAAATTAATTTTAAACGATTAATTTCCGTGCGTTTGGTCCTACCTTGTCACAACTAAATCCTTGAAACGCTTTTTCGTTTAAAATGATATATGTACAATATTTTTTGTAATTTCACTAAGCCTATATATGTAAGGGAAAGAGAAAGAGAGAGAGATAGTTTTGAATGAGTGAATGCGTGTCAGAGAGAGAGAGAGAGAGAGAGAGAGAGAGAGAGAGAGAGAGAGTGAAATGAGGGAAAAGAGAATGAACGCACAAAAGGGTTGAATTGAGAATTTAACTACATGTAAATATATTATATATTTTGTAACTTTTCATATTTCCTTTTTTTATTTCGTATTTGCTATTGCAACTATTGTAATTTATCGTAATTTATCGTAATTTATCGACAGTCTGTCATAAAACTGTCATTTTGGAATCTCAATTTTTGGAATTCAATCTCAATTTTTACAGTACACCAATGTCTCTTCTGTATACTTAATACAGAATTTCCAAGACGTTGATTATAATTTTTTAAACTTAAAATAAACAGCTTTTTAATCTGCGAAATCGGAGGCTTTTTCTTTTATGAAACAACAAAATAGGTAGTTTGCCTTTTAATTGAAAAATAATTAACAAGCCGTAAAGAATATTTAAAAGGTTATTTCTACTTTGGGGATTTATTCTAATAATGAAAATAAATATAAAGAAGGAAATTAATGACAACATTTTCGAAAATATTGCTCCAAGAATGTTTTATTGTATTTGTTTAAAGTTGAAATCTTTAAAGTTTGCAAATTACCTTTCGAATTTTTTCTTTTTTAATCTTTCATTTGAATAAGAAACGTGATTAATCGTGAAAATCGGAAATTATTATTCCTGTAAATATTCTGTAAATAATTCATTATTACTGAAACTTTCCCCCTCGGATGATTGCGGGCGTTGCGGGTCCTCGTAAGGTAAATATTTATTCTGATCCATTGTAGGTTCATCGTTGCATTTATCAGATTCAGAAACAAGTGAATCCTAAAAATAATAATATCATAAATTATTTTGCCTCAAATAGTTAAAAAAAAAAAAAAAAAAAAAAAAAAAAATTATATTTATTCTTTCGACTCCAGCTAAATTTAGGTACACAAAATATTTAATTATTTCTTCTAATATTTTGTTTATTTTTTGCAAGTTTTCTTGTTGTAATTGTGCCGTGAACGAATAGAAATCTCAAATGTATATATGAAAATTTTCGGAAACAGGATATCCTGATCTAATTAATTAAAAATTTTATTAGCGATTGATTTAAGCGTCGCGTCTCGCTATAACGACGACGAAAATCAAGGGGGAGGAAGTAAAGCGATGAAAATTATATAATTTTACCGGATGAATGTCACTTGACTTCCGTTTCGCGCGGAAGAGGAGATATATAAGATCTCGACGCTTAATAAAATAATTCAACGGTGAAATGAACCTTTTTTTCTTTCAATCTCAACTCGGATTCAGTTTGTGTTTTTTTAAACAGAAATTCTTTTTCAACGTTGCATTATTATAGACAAATAAGTTAACTACTATATTTAGAAATGAAAAAAGAAATTTGAAAAATTGTCTTCTTCTTTATAGAAAACACTAACTTCATCCTGTAATGGCATCGGATCTGGGGGGAGAAAATCGGGATTAAATTCCGTGACGTTTTGCGCTTGCCAAATGGCGGAAATTCCTCCTCCAAGAGGCAACGGTTTAAATTCACAATTTTCAAAATTTTCCCCATAAAGTATTTCCGATTTTTTTGATGCATTCTCATCATCATCATCATCATCATTCTAAAACGAGAAAATACATATGCAAATTGAAAAAAAGAAAAAATTAATATTTAAAAAATACATAGTATACATTTCCTTTTTTCTGGCATCACCTTTTGACCTTCATCTATTTCTTGATAATTTGGATCTTTTACGTGAATGTAATGTCCATGCAGCATTGATCCATTTTCAAAAGTGAAACATCCACGACCAAGTGGCTAAAAATTTATTTTGTTTAATAATAAATAATTTTTCTTAATTATAAAACAGGGTTGCCACGCTTTTACTTATTTCAAATTCCCTGACTTTTTCAGGTTTTCCAGGTTTTTAAAACGAAAATTAGGTATTCGGAAACATCAATAACTTCATTTTTAAATAAATATTTCATCATTATTTTTTTTACAGAAATTATGATATCTAAAATTTAATTTTACGAAATTTCGATTATTCTGACATTCTTCAATTATATTAGAAATTAAATAGTTTCAAATAATTGAAAAAAATTCCATTAAACTTATTGGGAAAAATTAATTCTATAGAATTTTTAATTAAAATTATGAAAAGTTCAAATTTTCAAAGATTTTAATTTGAAATTCACTTTTAAATCAATATTGATTAGAAAATTTTCTAGGAGAATCCAATTATTTAACTACAAAAATAAGTATATATATTTTATTAAACAATGGAATGTTTCTTGAAATTTAATTTTCATAAAGAATTTTATCAACAACTTTTTAAATAATTGAATTCTCTTGACAAATTTTAAGAATAATTGCATTTTTCGAGAAATTTGATGAAAATTGCATTAAAAATAATTGAAATTCTGCCAAGAATTTTATTAAAAGTTTTGAAAATTATTGAATTTTGAAGAAAAATTTTATTGAAAATAATGCTTAAATTCTAATAAATAAGTTGTAGCAAAGGTTATTAGAATAATTAAATTTCTTTGATAAATTTTAATAACATATTTTTAAAAATAATAACTTTTTTTGAGCAATTCTATTAAAATTGTATTAAAAATAATTGAAATTCCGCATTGAGTTTTATTATTTATGAAAATAATTGAATGTTTCCGTAGAATCTTATTAAAATTTATGCATAAATAATTGAATTTCTGAGAAGAATTTTACTAATTTTAAAAATAATTTAATTTCTGTAATCATTTGTAATTGTTTCAAAATTCAATTTGTTGTAGGGGGGTTTTTTTTAACTAAAATTCTTCGATAAATCCATTATTTTTAATAATCAATTAAATATGTATTAAAAAATTTAACTAATTTCAGAAGAATGTTAGTTTTAAAGTTTTTTTTTATATTTCTAATTAAATTAATTGAAATTTTAAAAAATTTGAAATCAAAATCTTTTCAAGTTCATCTACTTATGAAAATTGTAAACGGAACTGTTTTAAAATTGAGTTAATTTTGAAATATTTAAGTGAAATTAGATTTGAAGAAGAAGCACAATAACTTTAGAAAGGAAGAATTTTCCAGGTTTTTTCAAGGTTTACAAAATTTCCTGCCATTTCCAGGTTTCGAGGTTTCCAGGTTGCATAGCAACCCTGCGTAAAAGCCAAAATTTAAACATATTGACAACCAAATTTAATTCCCATGAGCCATGATAACAATGTCGGGGAAAGATAAGTTTTCCAGGTCCTTGCATTCTATCACAAATCCATGTTCCCATGAATTTCACATTATTTTCAGCATAAAAATATGTCCCCAAACCGTGGCGGAAATTTTGTTTCCACGAACCTTCGTAAATATCACCGTTCATGTAATAATAAGCGCCGAAACCGTGTTTCACGTCGTGTCGCCAATCTCCTTTATTTTAAAAAAAGAAGAAACTTTTTACTCTTCACTTCAACTGCGAAACATCTTTTTTTTTTATTATTTTTCTAATTAGAAAACATTTTTTTGTAACTAAAATGTGTTTTTTTTTAATACATCATAATTCCTTATTTTCCATTTTAGAATACCTACATTTAAATTGTTGTTTAAAAAAATAGAAAATAATAAACCTTCGTATCGTGTTCCATCGGGATACCAAAATATTCCCTGACCATGTTTCTTGCCCTCACGCCATTCGCCATCGAACCTTGATCCATTTTTTTTGAACACATAAAGTCCTCTTCCGTCTCTAAGTCCATGACGATAGTTTCCATCGTAAATGTCACCATTTGGCAAAATTGCTTTTCCTTGTCCATGTCTCTCACCTTTTTCATTTCTCTCTCCATCAAATATCTGTACATTTTTTCACATTTTTCAAACGAAAAATAAATAACTTTACTTTTTCCCCATTCAATTTTTTATATATTTTTGGTTTCTTGTTTTGTTTATTATGAATTTAGGTTATTAAAATTAAAAAATACATACTCCTAGGGAGTTTATTTCATTTTCTTCTTCGCTTTCCTCTTCACTGGATTGAAACATATTTCTTTGAATGGAAAATTGGTTTTGTTCTTATTTAAAAAAAATTAATTTTTAACCATTCTTCTGTTTATTTCTCGCCTACTTTCACTCTTTACTCCTTTCACTATCATTTTTTTTTAATTTTTAAAAGGCAGATATATTTGTTTTTAATTTTATAAGAAACATTTAGGTAAATAAATACAATTATTACCAATTATTTTTAATAATTTTTGCAAAAGTTCAGCTAGAATATTTTCAAATTCATTTGTTTTCAACTCAATTTTACGAGATTTTGATTATTAGAAAATATAAACTTTAAATAATTTCAAAAAAAATTCAATTAAACTTTTTCAAATTATTCAATTATTATCTAAAATAATAGGTATCTATGTATTTGTTTTTAACTTTATGAGAAACATTTAAATAAATACAGATAAATATTTATTTATTAACTTTGTACAATACATATATAGGAATTGTAATAATAATTTTTGAATTATTAATTTATTTGCTTTTAAAAAAATGAATTGTTATGTAAAGGAAAATAAAGTTGTTAACAATTTATTATAAACAATAACAATAATTTCCTTTATTTTTTATAGGAAACGAATTTAAAAAATACCTAATGATAGTAAGAAATAAATCTGAAAAAATGACAAAACTTTTTTCGAGATTTTTATTCAGTTCTTTCTCCTAATTTTCATTTGCCCCAATCCTTTCATTTTCCTGAGAACACATTCAATCAAGAATAAAAAAATTCTTTCTACCGATTCAAAGGAAGATAATATTCTCGTCACCTCCCAGTTAATAAGCCAATTAAATTTTGTTTTTCCTTATCCTTTTTACGAACGCTTTCTAAATTTCGTTGCTTCCATGAACTTTTGCGCAATTTTATTGGTCGAGATCCAACGTATCTTCCTGAAATTAGAAAAATATTTACAATTACAATGAATTTGTGTTGTTATTATTATTCAAACAAAAATCAGTTATAGGTACATACTCGTGTAAAAATAAATAGGTACACCAAATAATTTCCCCCTATTTTAACTAGTGTACATAATTTATTATGTAAAATAATTGTTTTCCATGAATCTTTGTTTATTTGCAGGAAAAAGAGTGAATACGCATTTTATTTATAGTCACTTGTTTTTTTATGAAAATATAATTATTAAACCCTTAAGCCATGCAATTGACACATTTATTTTAAAAGGGTTTCTTGACTATTCAAATACTAGATAAACATCTTTTTACGTAAGCGGTTGAAAAAAATAAAAGGTAAAAAACGAGACTATACTTAATTTTAATTTTATAGTGAATTAAGAATAAAAATTTAAATATTCCCGATAATATACCAAGCACTTTTTCAGCTGCCTGGCCATCTTCTCGCCTCCAAAGTCCAAAATATTAATTAAAATTATTTATAATAATAAATACTCCAACTGCTATATATACAGTTTATTTAGATAAAAGGAATTTAGGAAACCACAAACAGTAGTCTTGGAATTTTCTATATTTAGCTTACAATTATATACCTATATATATTTAGATATATATATACAGGGATTAAGCAAATTCTATAATTATAACAATGATAATAACGTCTGAATTTAATTAAAGGTGGAGTAATACAGGTGACATTTTGGATCAGAGTTGTGTATTGGTTATGATCAAAGCCTCGCGAAATTTCTCAACTATCATTTGAATGACTGCCAAGAATCTCAAGCAAGACTCATATATCCGTTCAAATAGTCATCATTTCCAAAAAAGAAATTCGAATCCCGATCACTCCACGTCATTTAATTCAAAATTTCATTCAAATTTCATTCAAATTTCATTCAAGGTTGAAAGGAAAAATTAGTTTATTATTATAATGTCAAATAACTTTTTCAAAATTATGTCATTCAAAACTCTTTCTATAGTCGACTACATTTTTTTTTTTTTTATTAATTTTCCAAGTAGATGAGCAGTTGAAATAAAAAAATAAATTCAAATATATTTCAATAACAGTATTGGAAATTGATTAATAATTAGAATAAGCCTTTCTGTTGAATGCTACCAAAAAACCTGAATCTGATTTGATTATCATATTTTATCCCCTCTTTTGAAACATTACAATTACGGAAGTTGAAAAATAGATTAGAAGTAAAAAATGGAAAAGAAAATAATTCCATCAATTATTTTAAGACATTGTAAATGTGGGATTGGCTTAGAAATATTTAAGGGTGGGAGTTTGCGATGAGATGAAAACTGGTAGGGGTTGTTGAATGAGTACTGAGACGCTCAACATCGCGACGCACTCCGTCGTCGTCACCCTCATGAACAACTGAAATTATTTTACAATATTAAAAAAGTAGAAAAAAGGGACACAGAAAGTAACTTTTTTACTTCTTCCCTTGTTATTTATTTCTTCGCGCTCAAAAAATTAAACGCCAAAGATTCTTCTTCTTCTTCTTCTTCTTCTTCTTCTTCTTCTTCTTCTTCTGTTCCCCAAAAGTAATAAGTTGGTAAGTAATTTTTCTACGTTTACAAACTCTTCATTCTACATTTCTACCCTTACAATTTAATTAATGAAAAATTATCTGTACTAATTTCAATAGCATATTTTTTATTTTAATTCATTTAAATGAAACAATTGTTAACAAAATAATTCTTGCAATTCTGATCTTGACATTTTCTATTTGAAATTCAACTTCAAGTGTATTCCATCATAAAAACAATATTTAAAAAAAAATATTTACTATTCTCGCCTTTTGTCAATTTTTTTAAAAACTATTCAATTATACATCTTTTTCTAATTTGCTTGTTATTCATTAAGTTTATTAATAATAGCAATAATGATTAACTTATATTTCTGTTCTGTGCTTAAAATAAAATTAAACAAGTTTTAACAACTATACTTTTACAAAATGAATAAATTTTTATTTTTTTAAAAAAGTAAGCAATCAAATTTATTATTTAAAAAACTTTTAGAAACAAATTTTTACAGTAACAAATTTTAAAAAAAAGTTGTTTATTAATTCATATTGCATTTTAGTATAATTACAATCATTTGTTTTTTTTTTTTTTTTTTTATTTTGGAAATTTGTTAGAATTTTCTTTTTTAATAATTTGTAAATTAAAAAAAGTAGGTATATAAAAGGAAAAGTAAATAAGAATTTTAAAAAATTGTCATAATTTAAAAAACGATTTAAAAAATCATTCTTAAAATTCGTCATTTATTTTATTTTCCAGTTTAAAGCTAAAAGAATACTAAACTTAATGGGTTATAAAAAATTAAAATTAGTAAAAAAATTATAATCAGTAGAAAAATAAAATTAATTAATTTAATTAAGAAAATATAAAAAAAATGTCTGCATACCATTTAATAATTGTACATAAATTAAATAATAAAATGTGAGAAAATCTGAAAAATAAAATGCATTTATAAAAAAAAATATTTTAAAAATAAAAAAAATTTGCATTTCGTGCGAGTATTTTACAAACTCTGAGTCACGAGATTAAAGAGCAAAATTGACTGCTAAAGAATGGCTATTTTATAGCGAGGAAGCGATGATCTTTTTGTCACCATTTTTCGACTCCACCCACTTTTACTCACGAAATTTTTCTAAAAATAATCAGGAATTTTCTAAAATTAACAACACGCAATGCAGAAATTCTCTTTTCTTTTGATAAATATAAACAGCGTGTATCTATATATAAACTATAAATTTTTCAAATAATAAATTATACCTATTGACAAACACTTTTAAATAGTCTTGAGATAATTTAGATATGTAATTATTCCTTCAATAAAAAATGTCATTGAACCTCAATTCTGATTCAAATTTAAATGATTTACTTCAAAGAAAAGTTGAAAATAATCTTTTTTCAAATAAAGTATTTTATTCACTACCTCAACCAACTAATTAATTAATTAATTAATAATAAATGATTAAAAACAAAATTGCCAATAACATCTAATTAAATAGTCATAATAATAAATAATCCCAATAGATTTATTTATTTATTTAATTGCATTTAATAAAGTTTCAAATTTCATGAAATTCGACAAATTAAAAAATTTCCACAAAAAAGGAAAAAGTTGAATATCGCTAAACATTTGAAAAAAGAGTTATTTTTACAGAAGCTGACAGAAGCATATGATTTGACTAAAAAAAAATTTTTTCAGGAAAGAAGAAAGCTGAAGAAAACTGAAAAAATATAATGTCGAGACTACGAGAAAATACGAAATTCATCAAGCTCTATCTTTTTGGAATAAATATTTTTTTCCTGGCGGAAGCGGCGCCAAGTTTAAGTCATCAAAAATCATTAAGCGACGATTTCAATCCAATTATTTCACTTCTTTGTTCTACAAATGAACCCTGTTGGAATTCTCTCGCAGATTCGTCATACATTTTCGAGCAGGCGGGAATGCAAGAACCGAGGTAAATAATTATCTTTTTCATTGTTCCCTATGAAAAGAATTTTTTTTACGAAAAACTTTTTATTTTAAAACTCTTCAACTAAAATTAAAAAAACGTCTTTATCAGAACGCAAATGATTCGCGGAATAAATTCCCCATCATGGAATGGAACACCGGAAAAATTGGATTTCGCGCAAAGGAATGCGCGAATAGCACAATCCGTGCTACCAACAACGTTTTCGAACCGAATTGCCAAGAAGGACGTTTTCATGTCACGTGGATGGGGAGCTGGTGGACTTCCATTTTCCGTTCTCTACATGAATGCCCACAATTCACGCAATAATCATCCCACGAATATAAATTCAGTCGATTCGTCATCATTGGCATTAAAATCACCAACACAAATGCAAAGTAACGCAGAAAATCTCCCTGCAGTGGGAAAGAATATTCTGCAAAATTATCGCGTCGCACTACGCAATAAGCCATCGAATCAAACGCGTCGACAGTACTCAATTATTCCGCAATTATTCATTTCTTACGGTTGGGGACCACACGAAAATTAACTCAACTTTTTTTTTATCTTTTAAGAGAATTATTATTCTCTTTCTAAAAAATTTAAAAGAGAAACAAAGGGATGAAGTTCAGAAAATTGATACTAAAAGAAGGATAAAATTTCACAAAAGGCGTAGATAATTTTTGCTCAAATCACATTTGCAAATAATTCAATTTCTGTCACTAAAGTATTTAAATTACTTTTAAATTTAAAAGTAAGCAATTTTTTTAGTAAAAAAAGAGTCATCAAATTTTGAGAAAGAAAAATAAAGAAACGATAAAGTGTAAGAAACTTGGAACTTTAGAATGATATGATAGTGAAAGAGAGAAGAAGAGAGAAAACAAAGATGGGTCAAGTTCACAACGTCAAGTTCATCAACGTGTTCGGAAGAAGAAAATAGTTTTTCCGTAAAAAACTTTTTTTGTTTACAAATTGAACGTTGTGAATTGTACCAAGGTGAAAATAATGGATGTAAAAAGGCCACAATTTTTGCATCGGCAACGATCTCATTAATTTTAATTCATTTTTTAAGTATATCTTTTAAAACGATAAAATCATTGTTATAATTTATATAATCATGTGCAATAAAATTTTATTTTCTAAATAAACTGAATTTTATTTACATTAATTATAAAAATTTAAAACTTGTTTTTCTTTAATTTTTTTCTGACTTTTCATGATTCCTGATAAATGTATCCCATGTATCCTAATCTTTTAGAGAAATTTCCTTTTTTTCAAAAAAATTCTAAAAGTGGTTGAAAATATTTTTAAAAGAATGGGACTCACCGTTCATTTCCTTCATAGCCTTAATAAAATCCTGTGGATCCTTGAACGAAACAAAACCAAAACCTTTTGTTTTATTTGTCCTCTTGTCGCGGACGACTTTTGCTTTTTGAAAACTTGGATATTTCCCGAAAACGCGTACGAGCATCTCGTCCGTCACGTCGTTCCCTAAATCGCCACAGAATATTCGGAAATCATCTGAAAGTGACAAATGACAAATGACAAATTAAAAGAAAACTATTTACTTAGCTGTCGATTATTATTATATGCAACTTACTAACCATCGTCCCATTCAAGTAGCGAAGGATCCTCCCACGTTTGTCCACCTGCCATGCGGATGATTTTCTTATTCTTCTTGCCCTTGCCCTTCGGATGGCTCTCCTCAGCGCTGGCGTTCGCCATTATTGAACTAGCTTTGCCCTGACTGATCGCCAGTTCGGCCGCGGTACTCACACCTTTAGCCTTCGGCTTACGTTTGCCGTCGTCCTCCGTCACTTTCGTATTAATAATGTGTTCAATTATTTCTGGATGAATCATGGGCGGCGTTGGTTGCTCGTAAGACTTTGGATTGGCCGTTAGGCATTGATCAACAATATTTGACATGAACGACGTGGATATTTGTGCTGGTGACGAATAACTCGCAATTGTCACTGACCCTGCGACAAGAAAAGCAAATCAAAAATTTCATTTCCATTTATAAATTTTTCTTCATCCTATTATTAGATTTCTTAATTTGTAAAATTTAGTTCATTTCAATTTAATTAGTTTTGAACACAATAAAAATATAACCAATCCGAGTCAAATAAGAGAACATTTTACATTTTACACAACTAGAAATTCAATAATTAAAGATGACCCAGTGATGAAATCATAATTTTATATTATAATATGTGGACTTCCGCATGAAAAGGGACCACTTTGTCGGATCTAGATTCGGAGATAATCGCTATTTACGAATTTGGAATAAAATATCGATACTTTGTTTATTCTTTTTTCTCAATCTACAGGGTCTCACACGTCGAATCATGCATTTTTCATTGATTTCTTGATACTTTAAATATTTTATTTCGTTGTTGGATAAAAAAAATTAAAAGGGACCTCTTTGTCGGTCTGTTGCAAAAGTTGTTTCATCTTAAGGGTGTACTAGACTTAAAACAACTCTTATCTGAATAACTTCCCAGAAGAGCCAGAGAAATTCGCATTAGAATTTTTAATTTCGTTTTTTTAGAAATGAAAATTTCGATATTTCCCAAGATTATTCACAATATAACTTTCTATTTTTGCTTCAAATAACTCAATAAAATAACATCCAACCATTAGCTTCTCAAAAAATTAGTTTTATTTTATTATTACCTAATTAAAAAACGCAATTTTCGAAAAGGGACCACTTTGGCGGATGTCCGTTATTTTTTCATTGTTTCAAAATGGAGGGGGGAATTCGAAACCTATTAATTTTTCATCTTAAAGGTGTACCAGACTTAGAAAAATTCTTATCTGAATAACTTCTTAGATATGAACCAAAGATATTCGCATTAGAATCTTTGATTTCGATTTTCTCGAAATGAGGTTTTTGACATTCTAAACTTTGAAATTCTGTAACTCATCGAATTTTTCACCAAAAAGGTTCTTAGACCACTGAAAATTTTCCAAATTTTGCAAGGAATTCGCCCATATCGATAAGTCCAATAGTGCCAAAGTGGTCCCTTTTCATGCGGACGTCATTATTTGAAAATAATAGAAATTTTGAAATGAATTTTATTAGGTACTTTTGAAAATAATTGAATTCTTGAGATGAGTATTGTTATTTATGAAAATGATTGAATTTTGCAAAAAAATTGGTAGAAATTCCTAAAAATAATTGAATTTCTGCAGTAATTTGTAACTTTTACAAAATTGAATTTTTTTCCGTATTTTTAAGGGGTTATATACAGTCACGATTTTTAAAGAATCGATTATTTTTTTTTTGCATTTTCTTAATGTATATATATTTGCCTGTTGTGAAAAAAATTTTTATTAAGATTCGCGAAATATTTTCAAAGTTGCAGACAAAACTAGAAAGGCGCGCCATGGGGTATAGAGCAGGTGCAGCGTCTTTAAACTCGCTTTTCTCAAAACTATGTTTTTCAAGTCGGTGAACACGATTTCTCAAAAACCGCTGAACCGATTTAGCTCTAATTTTCACACAAGCTTAACAACTACTTTTTGCTGCCCTTGATCGAAGGTTTTTTAATTAAAATTATAATTTTAATCAACATTTGAAGACGATTTTTGACTGAAATACATTTTTAAATCAATGTTTATGAGAAAATTCTACTAGAATTCAATTATTTAAATAGAAAAATAACAATTTATTGAATAATTGCATATTTCTTAAAATTGAATTCTCATAAAGAATTATTGTATCTATAAATTTTTAAATAACTGAATTCTTTTGACGAACTTTAATAAAATTTTTAACAATTTTTTCGAGGAATTCGATTAAAATTGTATTAAATGTAATTGAAATTCTGCAATGAGTTTTATTATTTATGAAAATAATTGAATGATTGCGAAGAAATTTATAAATAAATTTGGAAATAATGAAATTCCTGTGAAATTTCTATTACTTTTAATTGAAAATAAATAAAAGTTTGTGTAGAATTATATTAATTTTTTTTTTAAATAATTGAATGTCTGCGAAGAATTTGATTACTTTTGAAAATAATTGAATTTGTGCAATGATTTTTAATTTCTCTAAAATTCTCCAAATGATATCGTACAATTTACTTAAGAACTTTTCGTCTTTTCTCAATCAAATTTTCGGACTAGTTCGAATCCTGTAAGTTGTAATTTATTATAAAATCAATGTAATTTTACATAAGATTTGTGAGGTCTCCAATATTTTGCTCCATCACTTGAGAAAAATAAAATTGTTTCATAGTTTGTAAACAATAGATTCAAAATAAAAAGTTGTTGCAACTTTTACCATTTTTATAAAAGTATATTTACAATTACTGTATGAAAAAATTGAATTGTAAAATTTGTATAAATTTTGTGTTGTTTACCTTGTCTGGCGACTTGAGGGGGAATCATAATGGGAGGTGGCGGAGGTGGTGGAGGCGGAAATCCCATAATAGGCGGAAATGCTAAACCCGCGGCTGCGGCAACAACTGGATTTGGGATTTCATGTTGTTCAAGTTGTCGTGCAACTTGATTATAAGTATTTGCACCAATTACTGGCCTCACCATAGGCGGTACCATTTGTCCACCAATTTCCGCTTCGAAACTGCAATTTTTCGATTAATTCGACAATTAAACAATAGAAATTATTTCAATATTTTCCCCATAAAGTTTATTTATATTATATTGTACTTTGAGGTTAGGAAAACTTACCGATTCATTTCGTCCTCCATTTGTCGCAATTTTTCCTCCATTTTTGGCGTTTTATCTATTTTCACTCGAATGAAAGAAAGATTAACTGGTAGTATTTATTATTATCTCCTAATAAACTAGTCCATAAAAAATTATTCTTAATATCCATACACTCCAGAGAACATGGTTGAATTTTGGTTTTTCGTTCAGAATAACTTAAATCTGATTATCACGAATGTTGGGCTAAAAGAAACTGTATTGAACTTGAGTTAAAAATTAACAACTCAACAGTAATTATTTTACAATTACAATATTGCTACAAATTGCATTTTTATTATATTTTACAGTCTCTTGCTATTATGCATTATTGCATTTGTCAGATTTTGTCAGAGAATGAGAGATAGAGAAGGGTGAGAAGGAAGGAGAAGACGCTGAATTGCGCTGAATGCGCTGAATGTATGAGAAGCAGGTTGGCCAACCATAAGAAAATTATTTCATCTCTGCAGGGTTGGGAACCTTCAAACACAACACATATATAAAGAAAGGTCTCATACAATGTCAATTTTTTTTCTTTTTCCCTAATTTAAAACCCAAAAAATTACAATACTATTTATTTATTTAATAATTACATTTTTAATTTATATGCTATAATCTTACATATAATAAATCACTATGTATTAAATGTATTTCTGTTTTAAAAAGTTGCCTGTACTGATAGCTGATACTCTGAGTCGCTGACGTGTGTTATCCAAATAGTCCAAATATAAGAACATAACCTTAGAGACTGGTTGAAAATGTCAAAAATGTCATTTATTACACAAAACGTTTTTCTCATATTTGCTACTTTTTTCGCAATAACAAACTACGTATTTTGCAATGATTCTGAAGAAGCATCAACTGATTTATATGTTATTGAGGGAAAAGTATTTCCATCGGAAAATGCAGGTAATTCCGGTTGGCAATTAATGACACACGTCATGGCAAACGGAGGTGAACATTATGGATTTTTAAGGTAATTTCTGTATAATATTAAACTAAAATCTTTGCACAAGTGCATCCTGTATATTTTGGACTATTTTTCTCCTTATAGGTATTTTAAGAATTTTAATAATTTGTATATTTTAACATATATGTATCTCATTCATTCAATTTGTTCAACTTTTCCAAATTCTTCGATTAAACAATTTTATGTTCCAGATATTATCGTTTGAAAATTTTGCAAATTTCATTATCCAACAAAGTGTGTAGAATGTAACTAATTTTTTTCTCATTGCAGAGATGATGGTACATTTATTATTTCTAATGTTCCATCGGGATCGTATGTTATTGAAGTTGTCAATCCCAATTATTTATATGAACCAGTCCGCGTTGAAATTAATTCCAAGGGGAAATTCCGTGCACGAAAGGTGAATTTAATACAAACATCTCAAGTTATTCAAGTGCCGTATCCACTGAAAATGCGATCCATTTCACCATTTAAATATTTCCAAGTTCGCGAGGAATGGAGAGTCACTGATTTTCTCTTTAATCCAATGGTAAGGAAATAATTCTAAATAATAAGAAAAATTGCTCAATTCAATCAGTATTTAATTAAATAATAAGAATTATAAATTTTCTTTAAAATGATTTTAATGATTCATACCACATTGTAAACTTGAATAAATCAAACTTTCTTTATGAATTTCAAAAGTATAAAATACAAAGTTTTCTTTATAAGTATGCAACATAAATTTTAAATCCGTCTTTTTCGAAACCACTTTTTTCATTCCGTACACAGCATATTTTTCTCGGAAACAATTTTAAATCTTTTTTATTCATTTTAAAGAATAAACTAATCTTTCCAGCAACAATAATTATATTTGTCATTTTTCTTTTATTTTCAGGTTTTGATGATGATATTGCCTCTAATTTTAATTATGATTTTGCCGAAAATAATGAATGATCCGGAAACAAGAAAGGTGAGATGATTAGCTTTATGTTTATCACTATTATTTTTTGATTTACTTTTTATTTTTATTTTGATAAAATACATATTCTGGGAGTCGAGCGATATTGAAAACCTTGAATTCTCCTTAAAGAAGCTGAACCTTGCACTGTTACAATTTTCCAAAATTATGTTGTTTTCAAAAATTGCAAGACATCCTGGTATTATGTTGTAATCATAATAACAGTTTATGTGATTATTAAAAAATCATAACTTGAGTTGTAATTAAGAAATTTCCAATTCACAGGAAATGGAACAATTGAATAATTTGACAATTTACAATTTACCGGAAGTGTCAGAAGTTTTAACAACTTATCTCTCTGGTGGTGAGAAACAAAAAACCAAAGCCGTGAAAGCGACTAAAAAACGACAATGATAATTTCGCAATTGAAAATATTTTGCGATTCTAGTCTTTAAAATGTTTTTATTTTCACATTCCGTGAAAAGTTTTAAAACCAAGGATGTTTTCTTCTTTTTCTCCGTTTTTCTTTCCTTCTTTCTTTCTCTATAATTTTTAAATCAATCTAATATTCTAGAATTTAAGTAAGTTTTGAAAGAAAATAAAATGTAAATATCGTCGACAGATAGAAATTTGCAGCAGCAGGGCTCGAACTAGGTCCGTAAATCCCGTAAAAGTTTGTAACTTTGCCTCAAGTTCATAAAAGATCCGTGATTTCATTGAAAAAGGACGGAAAATTTAATTATTCTTAAAAATTTTATTACAATTTGCCAAAAGAATTGAATTATTTAAAAATTTGTTGATAAAATTCTTTATGAGAACAATTTTGACAAAATTCTACACGAATTCAATTATTAAAAATAGATTATGCATACATTTTTTTTGAATAAAAATCAAATGTTTGGAAATTTTTTATAAAATTTTTCGAAATAACTCAATTATTTTCGTAAATAATAAAACTCATCGCAAGAATTTAGTTATTTTCAAAACTTTTAATAAAATTCTTTCCAGAAATTCAATTATTTGCAAAAAATAGGTAATAAAATTATTAACAGGAATTCAATTATTTTCAGAAAATAATAAAATTGTTAATTATTTTTAAAAATTAATAAAAGTTTTCACGTGTATTCAATTATTTTCAGTTAATTATTTAAAAATTTGTTGACAAAATTCTTTATGAGAATTCAATTATTCAATAAGTTATTAATTTTTGTATTTAAATGATTGATTTAACTCGGACTGGTTATATTTTTGTTAATAATAATTGGTCCGTAATTTTTAATTTTTGATTCGTAAAGTCCGTATTTTGAAATACTTGAACTGGTTCGAGCCCTGCACCAGTTTCTTTGTTTCTTTCGTCTTAATATCTTTTTTTTCATTCTTGATTTATTTCTTCTACAAGAATTAAAATAATAATTAATAATTATAAGTTAGTGAATGACTGATTAATTATTTTCTCAAAAAATAATTAATGGCATTATTTAGCAAAGTAACATAAAAATAATAATATGAAGATTTAATTAATTTGGTAAGTAGGAATGATCTCATCAGATTTTTCTTTTCAATTTAATTAAAATGTTAATTTATATATAAGTTGTAGTCAATTTTAATGGATTTATTTATCATTTCAACTCGATTAAATACAAATTTTTTGATAAAGGACGACATTTAGAAATATAAAATAAAACAGATTTGTTAACAATTGTTAATAAAAAACATTTTTACAGGATTCTCAATTTTCTTCTTGATTTTTTGATTGACAAAAAAAAAAAAACAACTCACTCTCGTCCACTTCGTATAAAAAATAGAAGTTGTTAGTGTATAATTTATATTTTCAGGACATCATTTTTGTCATTATTTTTAACTGTCTTTTTACCCAATATTTTTATATCATTTGATTTTAATTTTAATGATAAAATTTAGCCCCTTTACCTGTATAACTTTTCATACAAATATAAAAGTTGTTGAAAAAATGAGAAAATTTAAAATTTATTTTTAATCAGATAAATATTATTAACATGCTCATTAAAGTGGATAAGCGATGTCTATTATGATAAAAAGAATTTCTTTTCTGAAGCTAACGATCGCATCGCCATGAAGTTGGTTGAAAAAATTACACTTCCGGGAATTATAAATGAATCGAACCCTGTCTCGTGCCGCCAAAACCGCCGAAACCGCCGAAACGACGTGCGTGGGCTGCGTGTATCGGGACTGATCAAACGGAATTTGAGGCATTCAATTATTTTTCAAAGAAAAGAAAAAATATTTTTAAAATCAATTCTTTTTGTTTTCTTAAAAAAGAAAATTTATTTAAATTTCAAAAAATGCCGTCAGATTTTTCTGGTGTTTTCTGTTGAAACTATAACATCAGTAAAAATTAAAGTGAATTTTTCTTCTCCTTTCCTCGTACAATTAGGTCAAAAATGAAAAAATATAGTTTTAATTCACAGAAGTGATTTGGGACCTAGAATGAAAGAAAGTTATTCATCACTGAGGCGCATAGCTTTTGTGAATGGACCCATATGACGCGGGAATCGAAACAAGACTATTATTCTTGGAAATTTAAAAAAAGCATCAGGTGAACTTTTCTCACTGTTCATTGAATAACTTTCAAATGATTCACTTTAATCGACGTATTTTTCTTATAATATTTTTTCAACTGCGTGTAATATAAGTAATATAAGTCTTTTACTGCAGGTACATCATATATATGCTGTACATTAATTATTTTTTTGTTTGCAATTTACAGGCTTCGCACTCATCAAAAATTATAATCAAATTCTTTAAAACGATTCAATTATTTTCAAAAAATATTCGAAATTCAATATTTTCAATATCTATATAGTATTTTCATAAAACTTGGCAAATGAATTCAATTATTTAAAAAAAAATTGATAAATTTCATTCAAAATCCAATTATTTTCATAAATAATAAAATTTTCACAGGAATTCAATTAATTTAGAATAGCATTTTCAAAAAAATCAATAATTTTAATAAAATTTTCGTAGTAAAATAATTAGGTATTAATTAAAATTATTAACAAAATCGATTATATCCAAAAAATTAAAAAAATAATGTTTCGAAAGATTTCAATTATTGTCAAAATCTTTAATAGTATACTATTATTTTTTATATTTTAACAAAATTCCTTGAATAAATTAAATTATTTTAGAAACTTTTAATAAAATTCTGAAAAGAATTTAATTATTTTTTAAAAATTTTAATAAAATGAAACTCGATTATTTTAAAAACTTGAAAGAACTTGTTCATAAAATTCAATTACTTTTAAAATTTTCAATTAAAATTATTATTAAAGAAACTCCATTATTTTAAAAAAAATTTAAAGAAATTCTTCCCATGAAGAATTCAATGATTTACATAAATAATTCTTCGAAAGAATTCAATTATTATAAAGATAAATGACAAAATTATTCCCGAAAATGCAATTATTTTGAAGCATTTTAATAAAATTCTTTGCAAAATTCAATTATTTTTATAATAAATAACAATATTCCTCACTAGAATTTAATTATTTTAAAAAGTAATAAATTTCTTCTTGGAAATTAGAATTTGCACAAAATTAGTCGAAAGAAATATAGAATGGAATTTTTATCAGTTTTGTGTCAGTGTCTAAAACGAGTTGTTTTGGTCGTCAAGTTAAATTTTCGATAGCTATACTGTTTTATGAACTACTTTTTTTAGTTTGAAAGCTTTTTTGCTACTTTTTTAAAATTAATTATCGAGTGCGAAGTCTGAATTTAATAAATTTCAATAATTTATTGTACTATTACAATATTAATCATTTTCCTTTACGAAATTAGAATATCAATCGCAGACATGGCACGTAAAAAAATATGTAAATATGTTTTCTATTAAAACGTTATTCTTTAAATTCTCTTTTACAACAATATTTAGAAGAAAAAAATAATAGGAATGCTTTATAAAAAAATTCAACATTATAGCTAATATGTTTAGATATTTAACACGATATTCTAGTTAAAAACCAGAATCCTGGTTATTCCAAAAAGAATTTTTTTTCAATGAAAGACTACAATTGTCACTATATATATAGTGGCAATTGTAGTAAAAGTATAAAAAAAAATAATTTAAAAGATTGAGAGTGGAAAAAGTGTCCGGTTGCGATTTCGCATAATTGCATAATATATTCATTAAAAGAAGAAAAAATGAGAGACTAAAATATGCGAAGTAAATCTACTATTTTTGAAAGCTTTCAAAAGTAGATCCTATAAGTGTCAAGATCTAATAATTAGCTTTTTCTACAAATTATCAATGCTGTAAATATTATGTTATACTCGCGCATATCAAAAACATTAGCATCAAAAGAAATTATTGAGCAGGTTTTAAAATCTCAATATTTACCTCCCAAGATCATCACAAAATGTGTGGTCGAGAGATCTTCCTTTCCAAATTATCTGCATATTAAATTAACTGCTTCCTGTTCGTTTTTAAGTTTTGAAATTATACTTTAATTCTTTGAAGCTTCTTCCGAACTATATATAGCTAATATATATTATTTATCATGGAAATAACCGAATTGTATATTATGTACCTATATATTTTGTAGTATTTTATTTATTTATTTATTTTGTTAATGCAATTTTGCAAAGTGTCAAAGCCAAAGAAAAGTTGCTGATTACATTTCATTCACATTGAATTCATAATCACATATCGGTCAATTTATTTTTTAAAAAACCCAAATCTATAGTTCACAATCAGCGAGCCTGAATCAGGGCCGGGGAAATGGTGTTTACATCATTCCCATTATTACTTAGAACTAGAAAATTAGACCAAACAAACAGTTAATAATATTATAGGCTAAATAAGAACCACGACAATCTTCAAAGACACTCTTCCCCAGAACAGCTCTGATCGCATATATATATTGAGAATTGAATCTCTTCCCAATTAACTCTTCAATGCGGTATAAACAACGAAATTTATATATATTTTTGTAAACTCCTTGAATGAAATTCTCCAGAGATGAGAAGAAAGGAGCCCTAAGGTCACATGATGTACAAGGAGAGTTTCCTGGAAATGGTGACTCGATTTCAAAGACAGCCATTGGCGATTTTCGTGAATCATCCTTCGCTTATGCACAAGAGCCGTTGGATAATGTGGACCACACAAATATATAATGTCTACGTCTACCTCGCCAGTTTCGAGGCAGTCTTGCCACGAACAACTTGTTGCCGAGGATGTTTATTTTCTCTGTTACCAAGATTGTCATCAACTTATTGTCAACAACAACAACAGGAAAGAGGAGGCCGCCTTAAGTGTTGATTGATTACGCAGTAGTATAATGAGAAACTGTGAGTGATATAATGATATGCACGCGGAAGTGGAATTTCGAGAGGGAAAAGAAGAAGAAGAAGAATTATTAGTGGGGACTTTTCATCTGACTGAGTTTGAAAATAGCGATAGAAAGAAACTATTTCATGGAGAGCAAGTTTTGGTTCCATCAGGTGGGAAATTCTTTTAATAAATGCAGAAACCTTTCTTGTTTCATTTGAAAAGTGTTTAACAATTTTCCCTTCGAATAGACCCCTCTGAATGGAATTCCAGTCACGTGGCCTCTTGGTTATCATGGTGCATTGAGGCATTTTCCATCGAGCCTGCTCCAGATTTGTCGCAATTGCCGACAACTGGCAAGCAACTGTTGGAATTGACAATCAGCCATTGGCGAAATATTGCGGGCGGTGCAATTCTTGCCAGACATCTTGGCCATCTGAGACTGCAGGCGACGGGTGTGCGAAGTGAAGTCCTGCTTCAAGAGGAGCATATTTCCAGTAAGTTTTTCGGTTTTTCATTTTCTATTCTCAAAATTAATCCAATTCACTATATAATATAATTAAAGTAAAAATCAATAGAGGTTTATATACGCAGATTCATCTTATTTCAATCTAAAGTGACCGGAAGAAGCTAACTGTTCCCCAGAGGGTTGACCTCTCACCTTATCGCAGGCGCGTTTAACGTTTAACGAGTGTGGCGATCCATTTTCGATTAGAATCGTCCCAAGAAAAAGGTTATAAATATCCAGCTCCCGATAATGAACCTCGTTAAATTTCAATCGCTTTCGCAACAAAGAAAAAAAAGTATATATCAGTTTATTTAGTTTACTTCTTTTACTCCGTAGCCGAAAAAAATGCGAAAGAATAAAATTTTGTCTCATAAATTTAAATCGCGAACCACTTGCCCTTTTGTATATTATTTATATATAATAGGACAAAAGTCCTACTATTATTATAGCTTTTATTGATATCAATGAAACTTTTCCATATTGGACTTTCAAATCATTCTTTTTTTTCCTTTTCCAGGGTTGCCACAGGTCAGGGAAGTCAGGGATTTTTATTAAAAATTACTCATAAATTATTGGATAAATAATTTGACTTAAAAATTTCGAAATAAAATAAAATAAAATTTTGGTGGCAACCCAATTGACATTTTTTCCAATTTTTTCCAATTTTTTCCAATTTTTTGAAACTTGGACACAATAAAATGATTGAATAATAATAGAAAAATTGTCTCTCCCACTCTCTCGCTTGACGTTTACTATAAGCCAGGAAGATTTATGGTAAGTTTGAATAAAGCTGTACGTATTCTATTCTCCCCTCCGTCGTTTATTAAACGAATCAGTGTTATCGCGGTGAGAGTTGCTCATGAATAAACCATCGACTGGAAGACGTAATACGGGGTGAAGAGGGTTGCTGGCCTTTACGGCGGGTTTACACCCAGCATCCGGTAAATGGACCAGCACTCGCACCAGAGCTGTATAAGCTCTCCGCGGGACGCGACTATATTGTTTTCTTGATGAGCACGCAACATCCCCTCTCGACCTTCTTATACATTGTATAATATATCTACTGCGTTTATATGAATTTCTCTTCACCGTGCAAATCATTTTCTCACTTGACTATTTTTTATATATTTTAATAATTAGACGCACACTTTATTAGCAGAAAACCATTTCAAAATTTCAATGATATAGCTATTAATTGCATTTTATATTATTTCATCAAACGCAATTCATCAAAATTTAAATTAAAAAAATTATTATAACTTATTAATAGCTATATATCAAATTCAAGTGTAAAATATTGACGGAAAGTTGCAATTAAGAGCGAGAACAGGGTGTTCGCCGAAGATATATATGAAATAAAATTCCCGATTGTCTGTTCAGAATTGCCACAAAAATTTAACTTTGTTGTTCCCTGACTTTTCCCTAATTTTCAGACAGAATTTTTACTTTCTCCCTGACCCTAAAGAATATAATATTTTAATTCACTCTAAAAATTATATTGCGGATACCGAGAAAAATGTTCCTAATGCGTTTATTTAACTTCTTCCAAATATTATTTTCATCATGATTTTGAATTTAAAACCTTTTCAAAATTTAATTATATAGGAATTTCTAAACAATCATATGCTATAATGCTATTATCAAAATAATTGAATTTTGGAGAAGAATTTTAATAATTTTGAAAATAATTGAATTTTTGTGATGAATATTGTTATTTATGAAAATAATTGAATCTTGCAAAGTATTTTATTAAAATTTCTAAAAATAATGGAATTTCTGTAAAGAATTTTGTTATTTATCAAGTTAATTGCGTTAAAACTTTTGAAATAATTAAATAATATAGGGGAGTATAGTCGAGGTTGGACCACTGTCTAGGTAGGCCATTCGCGTTTTTTTGTCAAGTTCACTAGCGTCACCTACGCGCATGCTTGTCGAAGCTTGTCTTAGTAAAACCTAACTTTTTGTTCAATTACATTTTCGGAGGATCGAAAATTGTGTTTTCTGTGACGTGTCGGTACAAAAAAAGCTCAAAAAAAGTTTTGTGCATAATGTGAAAAACCACCATTAATAAAAGATAAAAAACACATTGAATCGTCAAGGCAAGTATGCAGAAAATTTGTGGGACTCATGGTTGAAAGAAAAACAAAGTCAAAAATCGAATCCCGAAACGTATTTCTTTATGGTTACAACAATTCGGTAATGTTACTTACTGTCAAGGTCGGCCACTATTGTTTAATGATAAATCGTCCAAGCGCCCATCCTGCCGGAAGGACGTTCCGAAAAAAAGGCTTTTAAAAAAAGGGAATTCAACTTTTCTTTTCTGGCACTCCTTGGGATTAAAATAGACGAAAAGACGAAAAAATCCATATTTTTGATTTTTTAAAATAATAATATTAAACCATTTTTCAAATCCTTCAAACTTGCTATGTTTCTAGACAGTGAAAAAAACATTTTTTCGTAAATTTAATGTAAAATCCCCGAAAATCAATATTCTTTGACCGGACAAGTCTCTTTCTCTTCAGAAACGTTCAAAGAATGAAACCCAATTTTTTAATTAAAAAAAAATTCATTTTTAATATTGTTCAGTATATCTGAGTAATACTCAGGCGCGAGTCCCTTCGAAATTGCTCTATAAAATTAATATGGAAGCAGATAAATGTAAAACTAAGTATATCGTTGGAAAGGTAATGAAACAAGCTTTCAAATGATGTAAATATCGAGTCTTTAAATTTATAAACCTGGGCTAGGCAGTCTCTTAAATAAAGCGAAAAGCGTCCTGCCGGCAGGACCGGGCTTCGTCATTCTGTGACTAAAAATTATGTGAATTTTTGGAAAATTTAACTTCTTTAAAATACCCAGTCCTTAGTTTTGAACTTACAAGCTCGATATTTATGTGCGCTGAAAGCTTGTTTCGCCGCGTTACCTTTCCAATGATATATATATCATTTTTTATTTATCTGAATCCATGTTAGTTTTCTTTAGTGATTTCGGAGGGACTCACCTGAGTCTTTTTCGTCCTGCCGGAAGGATGTTGGACGATTTATCATTAAAATGCGCAAAGATGAGGACGAGTTACTTCATTTGCAAAAACTGCAATTCTGTATAACTCATAATATAATTGATCATCTTATTAATATTTTTATTTAATTTTATTAATATTTTAGTGCAAAATTTTTTTTTATTTATATTTATTTTTTTATATTGTTTATTGTTATTATTTTGTTATTTCATTAAGTTACACACTGTAAACAATAAAGAATCAATTTTCCGTAACTCCAAACATATGTTATTTTATTTTTTAACGATTAATGCTCTTTGAATTTTAAACATGGCCGACCTTGACTGTAAGGACCAACCTCGACTACAAATTTTTTTTTTTTTTTTTAATCTTTATAACTTTTTCATTTTAAAACCAATCAATTTACTTTGTACAGAAAACATGTTCCTATTAAACAGGACTTTCCAACCATATACTTCAATTGTCCAAATTCATTTTTAAAAAAAAGTTATATATAATATATATATAAAAAATTGGATTCTACAAAAATTGGCATTTATGGGGAAACTGTATAGTAGTCGGAATCAGAGGTTGAGGGAGGTGGAGGTTGGTGGGGGCAATAAGGGCAAAGGTCTCTCAGTTTCACACCAACCACCAACTGCAAACGGTTTTCCCTTCAATGTTATTAAAGTCGTTCCTTGTTTCAAAAAGATCACACTCTTTGCCTCAAGCATCAATTTCATTTTCATCAAGTATGTTTTATATCATTATTCAGTCATTATTCAATTATAAATTATACTATATTACAGTACAAAAAGAAAGTGTTGATAGTTGTTAATAATGGAAAGAATAGATTACTAAAAATAATGTACGAAATTTTTGAACCATGACTTTCAAATATTACTCACATCGCAGCTTTATTAGTAGCGAAAAGTAATAAAGTTTTAATGAAAAAGTGAAATAATTGATTGAAATGAAAACATTAAAGAATAGTGAGTGTGTTTTCTTAATTAGTTATTAGTTGGAAAATTTACGGAAAATGGCCTTTTTCATTGGTGGAATTTGGTGTCGCAAAGTTGGATTTCGAGCAGTCATCGCTAAAAAGCAATGGCCGATTTCAAGACAATTCGTCCACGAGGGCGGTACATGAAATAATGTGATGAATGATGATGATGTGCTCGTTCATTTGGCATTTCTAAGGTGCACTTTATGATTTATTTAAGCATTTTCAAAAAATGGAAAGAAACGTTTTCTAAGAATTGAACGAATCATTTTTTTCTGGTGAATGAGTTTTTTTATAAACAAATTCATTAAACCGCAGTCGGACCTCATTAAAAAAGAAATTGAAAAATATTTAAAAAATCAGATTTCGAATAAAAGTTGAGGTATATCTGATTATTCGAAAAAGGGGCTGCGAACAATGTTTTATGATTGACAAGCAAGTTATGTGGAGGATACAAACGCACCCCTTACACCTGCAACAAGATTCCAGACTACATCCCTCTACTGCGGCAATTTTTTACAATGGTACACATTTTCCAATATTCTTAATTAGAAAACTTATTAAATAAACCCTACTCAGCACTCAGGGCTCGAACCGCAGTTCAAGTATTTAAGAACACGGACTTTATATACGGACCATATAATTACTGACAAAAATGTATAAGACAACATATTTTACTTCAAACTCGAAATTCAATTTTTCACAACTATATAAAACATAAAAATGACCGAGTGATAAAATCATTTACAATTCAATTATTATTTACAACAATTTTTAACTAAAATCGATTATTTTTAATGATTTTCGAAAAAGTTGTTTGACAATTTTCAAATCCATTTCTTTACAATGTTCGATTTTAGGAAATTTCAATTATTCGTCAATTCTTGAATTGAAGGGCTGGCTGCAAAAAGGCGACGAACGCGTGGTTGAAAGGAATAATACCAGTCAGGTATAGCAGTAGGGAGCAGCTCAAGGCTTGTCATCACTACTGCTACCCGACTGGTATTATTCCTTCCATAAGTCTCGCGTTCGTCCCCTTTTTGCAGTTAGCCTTTCAATTTAATAAATATTAGAAAATAAAAACTTGAAATAAACTTTTTCATAAAAGTTAATTTCAAAATTCAATTATTTTTTAAAATTCACGCTATACTGCATTTAATGTTCAATTATTATCTAAAATTTTAACTGAAATTCATTTTTAAATCAATTTTTATTGGAAAATTCTATACGAGAATTCAATACAAAAATAAATTATTTATTCAATAATTTCTTTAAAAGAACTTTTAATTAAAATTTTACTGAAATTTATTTTATTAACAAAATTTATAACAATTTTTGAAAATAATTGAAAACTCTTTGAAGAATTTTATTAAATTTTATAAAAATATAATTGAATTCCTGAGAAGAATTTAAATATTAAATTATTAAAATTTTTTAAAATAATAGATTTTATGGAGAGAATTTTGTTATTTATCAAGATAATTGAATCATTGCAACGAATTATATTATATTTATTGAATAATTGAATCATTCTTAAATTTTAATTCTTTCGTCAAGTTTTAATAAAATTTTTATGAATATAATATATAATTGCATTTTTCGAAAAATTTATTTAAAATTGTAAAAAAAAAATAATATAATTGAATGTTTTCGTAGAATTGTATATCAAAAATTTTTTTCAATAATTAAATTTTTTGATAAATTTTATGAAAAAAGTGACAAATAATTGCGGATTACAAAAACTTTGAAAATAATCGAAATTTTGCAAAGAATTTTATTTAAATTTTTAAAAATAATTGCATTTTTGGCCAAAAATTTTGCTATTTATAAAAATAATTGAATTCTTGATGAGACATTCGACGAATTTTAATAATTTTTTTAAGAATAATTACTTTTTTCGAGAAATTCGATTAAAATTGTATTAGAAATAATAAAATTGAAATTCTGCAGAGTTTTATTATTTATGAAAATAATTTAATTTCTAAAAAGAATTTTATTATTTACGAAAATAATTGAATCCCCGTAAAAATTTAATTATTAGGTATGTATTTATGAAAATAATTTAATGATTGTGAAGAAATTTTTAAATAAATTTGTAAATAATGAAATTTTTATTATTTTTTGAAAATAATATTAAAAGTTTGTGTAGAATTTTATTAAATTTTCTTGTATATAATTGAATTGTTTTGGAAAATTTTATGAAAATAGTAGGCAATGAAAATCATTGAATTGAGGAAAATTTTTGAAAATAATTAAATTTCGGAGAAGCATTTAATTATTTCTAAAGATAATTGAAATTTTGATGATAACTTTTTAACATGATTATTGAATTTCAGCAAAGAATTTAATTACTTTTAAAAATAATTGGATTTCTGCAATGATTTGTAATTTCTCTAATTTTCTCCAAATTATATCGTACAATTTACGAACTTTCTGTCTTTTCTCAATCAAATTTGAAGACTTTACGGGCCTTTTTTTAAAAAACGGACTTTTACGGGATTTGCGGACCTACTAATCAAAGATGTAAAATTCTTTTCCAAAAGAGACGTGGTACATATAAGTACCATGATCATTATAAACAAATAAGGGGAAAAGGTGTTTTTTTTAAATAAGAATTTCCATCCCAGTTTTATATATGTGTGTGTGAATTTTAGAAAGGTTCAGCCTCCTGCAACGCACGTGTTCTCTGATTGGCTCGACCGGAGGCAGTGGTTCGGGGGCGGTCGGAGGCGGACAAGTTCAGCTCTGGCAATTCTTGCTCGAGCTCCTCTCGGATTCGTCAAACTCCTCCTGCATTGCGTGGGAGGGTTCGAACGGCGAATTCAAGCTCACTGATCCCGATGAAGTGGCCCGCCGCTGGGGAGAGCGCAAGAGTAAACCCAACATGAATTATGATAAACTTTCGAGGGCTCTCAGGTATGTGCTCAAATGTCAAATCTTAATGCGCGCGCATTTATACTTTTATCCAGTCATCAACCAAATAATTCTCTCTTTTCTTGAGTTTAAAATAAATAAAAACTATTTGACGAAACACTTACAGATACTACTACGATAAAAATATAATGACCAAGGTTCACGGAAAGAGGTACGCCTATAAATTTGACTTTCACGGATTAATGTTGGCGTGCCAGGCCCAAGCAGGTGTTACACTAGAGTCAACAGGAACTCGCCGTGGACCAAGTTCAGCGAGTAATTGCCACCAGTATCATTCACACCTTTTATCTAGTGGACCAACATCTCAACATTCTCAAGCACTTCCATCCCAACCACCACCGCCACACTATTGTTGGCCTTACCGATTTTCATCACCTACTTGAATATATTGATGCGACAATCAAACATTCCTTAATTTTAAATTTACATTTAATGTAAATTTTAAATTGGTATCAATTTAAAATCATATTCTGCAATTCTCGTCACATGAGAAAGTATTTATGTTTAAAATAAGAAGATGACTCGATAAAAATAAATAAAATAATAATTGTAAATGTTTAGTAAAACTTTAAATGAAAATGCTAAATAATCATGTTATTAAACTTATATGTATAAAATCAATTATAAAAGAAAAATTCCAACCGAAACTTATATAATTTTCTGTATGAGTAAAATGTTAAAATAACAAAATTTCCATTTTGTTGAAATTTTTCAACATTTTTGTATGTGTAAAGTGCTACTTAATGAAACTCTCAAAACGCCCATCCTGAAAAAATGAACATATGAAATATAATGGACAAATGTCAAATTTACATTTTTTAGTTCTAAATGCATATATTAATTTAGTAACTAGCAACAATTTACGCGCGGCTGGCTTCTCACTAACTTTTTTAAACAAAATTAGCAATTTAAAAAAAATAGAATGTAAAAATTTGTAATTCAAATTTTTCTTTATAAAAATAAAATATATGAATTGAAATACAATATAGTTTTAATATTATTATAATTATAATAATCATGTATTCTGACATAGGGAATTCAGAAAAAAGTCAGGAATTTTTATTATTGAAAAAAATTAAATTTTTAGAATTCATAAGAAAATTCTGAATTTTTGTGTATTTTTTACGAAATCTAATACAAAACCTTCAATTTTTTCAATTTCTGCCAACAATTTCTTTTTAAATAACTTGATTCTTGAACAAGTATTATAAAATAAATATTATATTATTTAATGAATAATTTTACTTAAGTATTTCAAAATTAATTTAATTTTATACATATATCTATATAGTAAAATTGGTTGACGTCTTTTCAGATTGCATTCGTTGCATTTAGAAAAATTAAAACAATTGAGATTTGATGAAAGAGAAATATGTTAATATTAATTTCAGCAATTTTTAATGCGCACCTATAGACTGAAGATATTCTGCCAATTGTATGGTGATAGGCAAACAGGAAGTGAAATAAGAACCTGTAGACTATTCGATAATTTGCAATCAACCTGGACAGGTTTCTCTATATAAAACTGCAGCTTATAGTTGTAATAATAAATTGTCTTTTCCACCACGCGCGACATTATTTCAATATTTGAAACTAGCGTATAAAATATATTGTTTTTTTGCGACTAATCAAACACTTTCTTGTTAAAGTTTTAGGCATATGGGCCTGGCAAATAAAAGTTTTTTTCAAATTTCTCGGGTATGTGTGAAAACAATCGCGAAAATATATTAAGAATAAAAAAAAATTACAATATAAATAAAAGAAGAGTTATAACATTTTACAGGAGATTTTAGGCCACAATGAGGATGCTTTGATGAGTGAATAACACTAAATCATTGGTATATATAGTGGATCATCCTCACATTATTAAATTTGGCTTCAAGAAAGAGAAATTTACTTATTCTCTTAGTTATGCTGGGTTTTTGACTTTTTACCAGGTTACACAATGTGCTACAATCATCATGGTCTTGTTTACGTATTAGGCTGCGGTTACACCTCTGCAGGCAGCCTGCCTGCCTGCAGGTTGTCATGGTAACGTACAAGAGTAAGAGAGTCAGTGACTTCAAACTTCTCCCTTACTCTCGTTGCTCCTGCCTGCGCAGGCAGGCAGCCTGCAGAGGTGTAACCGCAGCCCCCGCAGCCTTAACTAACACTCTTGGTGCAATAACCCTTATTGTTAGATCAAGCAAAACTCGTAAGTTATTGCGTCGTTTTTAATTATAATAAAAGAATTTTTTTTTAATACTTTTTTTGTTTTAGTCCGTTATTTTATATATCTCGATCTCTTCTTGGAGTTGAAAATTTCGTTCCAGCGCAAGAAACTTTAAGAAATGATGTTAAAGGTTATGGTGCAGCTGAAGGGTTTTCAGTGAATATCACCTTTCTTCTTCAAGAAGGAGATAGGATGTTTCATAATGCATAATGCGATAACAGAAAAAGCGATTCAAGAATTCGGACCAAGAGATTATGTTAAAACCGTTAAAACGGTTAAAACTATTGCTGTTGGTAAGTATAATTTTTGGCGCACAGGAATCTTCAACTGTATTGTGTAAAGGTGCTTGCACAATTCTACTGCTTGCCTGCCTGCAGGTTGTCATGGTAACACATAAGAGTAAGAGAGTCAGAAAATTCAAATTAAATGTTTTTCTCTCTCACTCTCATTGCGCCTGCCTGCGCAAGTGCGCAGTCAGGCAGGCAGTAGAAGGTAGTTCAAGTTGGGTGGGGGAAATCCAATATGGCTGCCATCAGCTGATTTACCGGAGGACAAACAATGCATTGAATTCAATGGGACAAATCAGTTTTTTAACCATAACTTTTTAAATATTCATTTTTGAACCATAGTGTAATGGAAAATTATTCTTTATTTATCGAAATCTATTTTTTAAAAGAATAAAATTTAATTTTTTGGTTTTATTGTTTTAAAAAATAGATTTCGATAAATAAAGAATAATTTTCCATTACACTATGGTTCAAAAATGAATATTTAAAAAGTTATGGTTAAAAAACTGATTTGTCCCATTGAATTCAATGCATTGTTTGTCCTCCGGTAAATCAGCTGATGGCAGCCATATTGGATTTCCCCCACCCAACTTGAACTACCTTAGAGGTGGTGGTGAGAGAGTATCGTCGACAGTAGAATAAATTTTCAAAACGAGTTTACCATCTACATATATTGAACTATCTTTGCCTCATTTGACCTTGGCAAATTCCCGGCCTGATTCCCGGAATTTTTTTCTTTATCATTTTGATCATTTGCTTATAATAAACAAACCTCAACGCACATTAATGAGAGTTGTGAGAGAAGAGCGATAAGTGCTTAGCAAGTGAAGAATTCAATAAAAATCTGAAATAAAATTTGCCTGTAAAAATGGCTGGAGCTTTTTTTACTGACGGTTTTACAATTCAGTAAGTACTTTAATTGTTTTTCATTTTAATTCCTTTCCTCAACATTTTTATACAATTTTTATATAGATTTTTACTAAAAAAAATTTAATTTTGACAAAAATGATGATCCACGTTTCCATCTAAAATTCATTAAATTCTTTATTCAAATTTGGATATTTATATATTTAAATAATATAAATCGTGATAACCTTAAATTTAATAAACATTCTTTTATACTTATATATTATTATTAAAAAACGAATTTACATATAAAGTTCAAATTAAAATATATTTTGAAATACATTATCCGGACTAATGAATAATCGACAAACATACAAAATATACGAATTTTTGGTTTATAATTTTAGGTATTTATATTTAAAAGTAAGACTGAAACCTGGGAAAGTCAGGGAATTTTGATCAAAATCCTGGAAAATTGTTGTTTTACAAAAAATATTGCGTTTATTCTTGAAATCTAATTTTACTTCAATATTTCATAATTAATTCAATTTTAAAAAAGAGTTGCGTTTACAATTTTCATAAGTAGATGAAGTTTAAAAGATTTTGATTTGAAATATTAGAAAATTTCAATTTTGAATGAATGAAGTAAATAATAAAAATATCACAGGAATTCAATTATTTACAAATTATTTTGATAAATAGGTAATAACATTTTTTAGCAGGAATTGAATTTAGCAATTTTGTATTCCTTCTTTCATAAGAAAGTAAAAATGCACAGTGTTTAATTCGCAAATAAAATAAATTTTAGAGATTTACTATCAAAAGACGGCGTTACACTCGAAGCTAATAACGAACTAGATGGCCTTGAAGAAGAATATGAATATTCCAGCAAAGTTTTCATGTCGAATGATGATATTTTGAAACATTTGAATCTTGACGATGAAAATGATACTGAATCCAACAATGCAGAGCAGTTAATGTTCAATTTAAACTTGAAATTCGACAAATTAAGGGACAACATGACAGACGTCTTGGGAAATGGAAAGGTATGTATGTTTTCTCCGCAACTAAGAGCAGAAAAAAACATTTTTTATATTAATTTTGTTTTAATGAAATTTCTCCTTCTTGTTTCGTGAAGATAATGAAACTGATAAAAAAGCAAGGCGTTGGAGAAGTAATTCCAAGTGATTCGCAAGTTTTTTTAACTTACGTTGCAAGTTTCGAGTACAATGATGAGCCGTTCGATTCATCGTATGCGCACGGATCGGGTCCAGAATCATTTATTCTCGGCCAAGGTGGTTTATTGCCGGGTTTGGAAATTGGAGTTTTAACGATGAAGAAGCAGGAAGTTGCAGCCTTCTTGATAAGTCCCGAGTATGCCTACGGAAAATTAGGCTGTCCACCGAGAATTCCAGGCGATCAGGAAGTGTTATTTATCGTCAATCTCGTGAATTATATCGATCAGAGTAATATTGTCGAATTTGAAAAATTGTCGATTGAAGAGCGAAAGGCATTTAAAGCGGCAAAGGGGAAAATTCATGTTCTAATGGAAACTGGAAATGACAACTTCAAAAAGGAAAAAACAAAGCAAGCTATTCGAGAGTTAGTATCAAAATGCAATGTTACTACCTAATAAGAAATGAATGAATTATTAATTAATTGTTTCTCTCTGTTTCAGTTATACGAGAGCGGTGAAAATGTTGGAGGAGGCACGCTTAAACAACGACGAAGAGGAAGACGAGCAGAAGAAATATTTGTCGAGAATCTATTGCAATTTGGCTGTTTGTTTCAACAAAGAAAATCGACCGCGAAATGCGTGTGTCGCTTGTCAGAAAATTCCCAATCCAAGCGCAAAATCCTACTTCAAGTATGCTTTTACTTTTACATTACACACAACATAATCAAAAAAGAAATGAAACGGACATTAATTCTGAATTTCTTTTCAGTTTTGGAAGAGCATTAATAAGATTAGGCGAATATGAACAAGCAAAAGAACAATTGTGGAAAGCGAAAGAGTTGGAACCTGCGAACAAGCAAACCCTGTTGGAAATAAAATTGGTACTGATTATCTACTATTATTAATTTAATTTTATTTAATTTTCAATTTTCATTCAATTAAATGTTTAATTTCTTTTTTGCAGGCCGACGATTTGCATACAAAATATAAAGACGCCGAGAGACGTTTGTGGTCAAATTGTTTAAAAGTGTCAAAAGAAGAAGCGGCAAGATCGGAGTTTGAAAAAATCGCTCATGAAATATGTAAGAATTTTTTAAACGACACTGATTCTGTCCGCTATCCATTGCCTGATGGTTTAACACCAGAGGAGGATAAAATTATTCGCGACATTGCAATCAGTCACGGTCTATCAATAACTAATCATAAACGCTATGGAAAGGAAATTGTTTTTCTAACAAAATCAAATTATTAAGTTTTGCTAATTCAAATATCCACCAAAAAGAAAAGGTAAAGAAAGTATTGTTTTCCCACGAAAACCAAGTGATTAAAGTAAGGAAATTTTCTTTTCTTTTTTATAACTATATGTATGTAGAATTACAAGTTTTTGTTTAAAACTAAAATTTACTTTGAAATTATTGTTTATTATCTATCTAAATAGAAAATTAATATTCATTTACAAAGTAAAAGACTGCAATTGGAAATTGCAATGAGAATTATTTAATTAATAGAATACTTACATAGTTGATTACTTGAATAATCTAATTACTTTAGAAAGAGATTTATCTTAAATATACTTTATTTTTTGTATTTTTATTTCAAAATATTCGTATAAAGAAACAATGTTATATTATACCTTAGAAAAATAAATTTTCTACTTTTGTAAACCTTTCAGTCTTGTTTCCCTATTTTCAAAGAAAGATTCTCAAACAAAAAAATTTAGTTTTTTTATTTTTAAAACTTTTTTTTATTTCCTATACAATAATAATTAATACAAATAATTTGAAATGAACACACACTTTTCTTTGGAGTTATTTCAATAAAATACAATTTAATAAACCAATTTTTCTTATTCAAACATTAAACAGTTGAACAATAACGAATTTGAGATAAATGTTTATGTTTTGAAAAATTATATAGTTTCTCCTTTTGAAAAAAGTAAAAAAATATTTTGACTGTCTACAAAGAAAATAGCCAAGTTTCCAAAAACAGTGAATGTAAACTAATTGAATTAGTAAACAAATATTCAAAAAACACTTATTCATTTGAAGAATGTAAACTGGCATCACTTTCGAGAACTGGACTAAAATTATTTGCAGCTGTCGAGCTTTGAATTCTTGAGAGATTATTAACGTTTGTCACATTGAAAATTTTATTTCCACAACTGACAATATTTGGACTGTAAGAAAGAAGAAAAATTCAGTGTAGTTTTCTCTATTTTTCATTTTTAACATTTTCTTTTTTCAAAATTAAAGTACCTACTTTTATATTATATTTTAATGCTTTTAGGCAATTAAAGTAAAAATAAAGAATATTACCTACCTACAATTTAGAAGAAACTTTTTTATAAAATAAATAAAATTAAGATTCTTACTTGAATGAAACAAGGAAAATTTGTATCTTCTCACTGATAATTTTCAAAATCTCGCCAAAAATTTGAGAATTTGCCTGTGAAAGTGCATCGTCAACCTCGTCGAAAATAAAAATTGGCGGCTTTTCGTTTTCGGCAGCAGCAAAAATAAATGCAATAGATACACAACTCTGATCACCGACTGACAAACATTTGACAGTTTTCTTTTTACCAAAAAATTCCAGGTTCATATCTTAAAGCAAAAATACAAGAAATATTTTTAAATTTCAAAAGAATCTAAACTAATATTTAATAGTTTTATGTTTTGTTCAAATATTGAAGCAATAAACGTGTGTATTCACCAATTCCAACTAAAATTTCCTGTAGACCGGGAGCCGAAGAATTTGTTATCTTAATTAATTCACCCTTTCCATTTGGGAAGAACTTTTGCAAATATTTGTCAAAATTTTGCGACAACTGGAAATAAATTGATTAATATTTAAATGATTGATGCCTTTTCGCCATTTCATTTCAAGTACATAATTATACCTACTTTTGTAAATTCTTCTTCAATTACTTCTTCACTGATAATTTTACATTCCCGTAAAATTGCCATTAAACTTGATAAATCTTTTAATTCTTCCATTCCTTCGTGAAATTCCGTTTTGAAATCAATCATTTTTCGCAGCAATTCATCACTTCTTAAATGAATTTTTTCTCTGAAAAGAAATAATCAAAATTTGATAAATAACCTAATTTGAAAAAGTCATTTCGAAAATTTGAATGAAAAAAGTAAAAAAATATTTTTATAACAAATTACTTTGTGTTGAGAAACTTTTGTTTCAATTTTTCAAGTGTTTCAATTAAAATATCATTCGGTTGGGTTTCAAATGTTTCCTCCTTAGAACTTGTTTCCTTCGCATTAATAATTTCCTCCTCATACTGTTTTTGATGATTCTTTAATTTATCAATTTTTGCCGAAATTACTTGCAAATTTTCTTCAACATCACTAAGCATAACTTCCAATTCTTGACATTTTGGTTCGACAATATTTATCTTTTTCTTTGTTTCGTCAATCTGAAAATGAATTGTTACGAAATAAAATTTTTCATTTCTAAATAATTAAGTTTTACTTAATAAAATATACCTACTTATAAATATAGAAATTACATATTTAAATTGAGAGAAGAAATAATACCTTTTGCTTCAATTGTAACTCAACATTTTCTTCTTGATTTTCAAGATTCTGAGTTTGAAATTCAATGAGTTTCATTTTTAAATCGTAAAGTTCAATTTCCAGTTTTCCTTTCGAAATGTCAATTTTTTCCAAATCATTCTTCGTAACTTGAATTTTAAATTTTAATTTGTTTTTTTGATCATCACTAACTTTATTGGCACTTTCAATCGTTTTATTCAATAATCCTTCTTCTTTTCGCAATTCAATAACATTCTTTTGTAAAACTTTAATCTGCAAATGAAGAATTTTATTTTTTTTTTTAAATTAAAATTGTTTTAAAATAAAACTTTGGTAATTTGTAGATTAAAATGACAAACTTGATTTTCCTCTTCCTCTGTCAGTTGAGATAATAAATCGTCTCCTTTTAATTGATTTTGTAATTTCTCGATTTTAAAAGAAATTTTCTTTATTTTCAATTGCAATTGATTTCTGATTTGTTTTCGATCCAAAATTAGTTTTAATTCAAGTTCTCGTTGTAACTTGATTCCATCTAAACTTCCTTTTTTCTCTGTCAAATTATTTCTCTTAAAACTGAAACAAAGAGGGGAAAAAAGCAACGATAACAATTCACTCTGGAGATGAAATATATAATTAAAGAATTTTTAATATTTTCCCTAAGAGAGAAAATTTGAATTGTCAAAACGTGGTCAAAACTAAATGAAAATTTTACCTGTGCTTGATTTGTTGAAAATGATTTTTATCCGCTTCGTGTGTTTGATAAAGTTGAGAAATGTTCTCCTTAATTTCCTGAACCTCAGTTTCAAGAATATCACGTTCATTCTCTAATTGCTCTCTTATTCTGTAAAGATTACTGCGAGGATTTATTTTATTGGACTTATCATGGAAAACCATTCCATTATCGGAAATGTTGACACCATCCGTCGTGAAACAGGAAACTTTAAATTCTCTAGCCACATCTCTTGCACTTTGAAAACTATCGCAAATCCAAGTGTTTCCAAAAACTTGTCTGAGGCAAAAGAAACATCATTATTATTTAAAGTTCATCAGTAGATAAATATATAGCTAAATAAATTATTTGAGATACCTATTGACGGAATGAAATTTTGTTTCGAATTCGATCATACTCAATACATTGACAGCTGTTGGAATTTCAACATCTTTTTGCTTGTCACGTATTCGATCGAGAGGAAGAAAATTCGCTTCTCCAGGTAAATCTGAATACTTGATTTGTTCGATAATTCGAAGGGCAAAATCCGTCGTCTCAACGACGAAATAAAATAATCGGTTCCCCGCAATTCCATCGATTATATGTTGAAATTCAGAGTTTTTCAATTGAAAATTATTTAGTAATATTCCATAATATTCATCTGTGCTTTCGCCACGTTCTCTGCAAAAAACAATGAATGGAAATGTTTTCGTTATTAATTTAATTGGATAATAATATTTTTTTAATTTACCTGAAAATATTGATAACTCTCTCAACGCTCACTAGCGAATCGTAAATTTTCTTAATCGTGCATTTACGAAACTTTTGATTAACTTCCGCCCACTCGTTTTTTACTCGAGCTAAATTTTTCTCTTTCTCATTTAGTTTATCGCGCCTGTAAATAAAAATAATAAATGTAGAATTTAATATAATTTGAAGAAGGGAGAATTTAAAAGAATGGTAAAAGTTTTGTCAGTTGAAAAATAAAATTTCCAGGGGAAAATTAAGTTATAAATAAACTAACAACTCCACTAATTTTTTATTAAATTCTGGTATTTTCCTGAGAAAATCTTGCAAAGCCAATGAGTCTGCAGCAATTTCCGATTCTTTCTGTTGAATTTCATTTTCCAATTCCTCAATTTTTTCCTCGAATTTCAATTTCTCTTCTGTGGCAAGTTTTATTTCATCGACTATTTTCTCGTGTTCAGCTTTATATTCATATTCATTTTCTTCGAGTTGAGAAATCTCTGATTCCAAAAAATTTCTTCTTTCAGTCTGTAATTTTACGATATTGAATTAATTGTTTTACATTTTTTATTGTGAAAAGACGATTAAAATAATAATATAGTATATAAAAACTTTTCGTCTTTTGTACCTGGTCTAAAGAAGCGTTTGTGTTTCTTCTCTTGTACATTTCCTTCAATTGAGAAAACATTTCCGTTTCATTGTCTTCATCAACTTGAGAAATATCCTAAAAAAACACAACAAAACAAAGTTAAAAAATATTAAAATTTTTAAAATATTTACCTATTTAGTTTTTATCTAAAAATATTAATTTTTAAACGAAAACATATTTTAAAAATTTTAAAACTTTTTTTCTTTTTTAAGAAGTAAAGAAAAAATATTAAATTTCTTTGTCTAAAAAAGAAAAGCAACTCACGGTTTCAGGCGAATATACTTCAAATTTTGACATTTCACTCATAATTTCAAGCAATTTTTCCTTTTTCTTTTTTTCATCTTCATTCAATCGGTGTAATTCCTTTTGCAAAATTTTAGTTTTAGCATTAATATCACGTATATTCTCGTCATTTATGTTTTTCTTAGCTCTGAAAATGAAATTGGAATTTGAAAAAAGTTTTTCTTCTTTTATATCAATAAATAAATAAATAAATAAATAAATAAATAAGAAAAAACAAAAGTTAATAGTTAAAATTTTTTAAAATCCTTACACTGCATTGACTGCTGTTTGTTCGACAATTTCTATTTCATTTTCTTGTGATTTCAATAAATTATTAAGACTATAGTATTTTTTATTGAATTCGGAAAGTTCGTGTTTAACGTCATTTTTCATTTCTTGAATTCCCATAAGCCTTTCATTGAGAATTCTCAATTTATTTTCAGTTATTCTTAAACGTCTAAAACCAATTATTCGCGTCAATGAATCAATTTCGCCCTTTAATTGTTTATATTTTTTCACGACATTAAGTTCTTCGCGTAGAGACACTATATTTCTATCTGAAAAAGATAAACAAAAACAATTGTTAAAAAACAGTACTTTATAAGTTTAATGAATCTTTATTTTAATTTTCAATTTTTCAAGGACAATTTCCTTTATTTTAAATATTTACCTAATTTTTCTGGAACTTGGTCGATTAATGAAAATTTTTCCTGAATCTTTTCATCTGAATCGTGAATTGTTGATTCCACATTTTTAATGAATGTTTGACGGGAAATATCTTCGAAAACTTCCAAACGATTTGCACTTGACAATTTTGCGAATTTTGTTCTCTATTTAGTCATTTTGATAAAAGCAGAAACATAAAAAATGTGAATAAATCAAAATTTAAATTTTCAATATAACGTATTTTACATTTTTTAAATGATTAATTTATTTAATTAGCAGGGCTCGAACTAGGTCCGTAAATTCTGTAAAAGTCCGTTTTTTGAAAAAAGGTCCATATATAAAGTCCGTAATTATTGAAGAATTTACGAATAATTGAAATTTGGTAAAATTGAATATATTGTAAAGGTAAACAGATGGATTTGAAAATTGCCAAACAACTTTTTCGAAAATTATTAAAAATAATGGATTTAGGGAAGAATTTTAGTTAAAAATTCTTGTAAATAATATTGAAATTCGTAGTTTGCCTCAAGAAAGAAAATTTTTGTTTTATTAAAAAAAATTTTTCTTTTTTGTATGATAAAAAAAATGTTGTAAATAAATAAATAAATATTTTACTTCTCCTTGGGCGATGATAAAGAATGGTCGTTTAAATAATATTCGGGCACGTTCGAGACATCGAATATAATCCTCTTTTGTTATTTTTCTGTCATTCAGAAAATATAAATTTATCCTTTTTCCTATTTGCCTTGAAAGTGTCACTGTTTCTTTATCCATCTGTAGAAGTAAATTGGAAAATCAATGAAATTCGAATAAATTGATAACTTCTTTCTATAAATAATAAATCGTTCTTAAACACAAACCAAAAATCTATTGTCACTGTCTTCAATTGTTATTCTGATTGTTGCAGACTGTTCTTTGTTATTGAGAAACGATTGTCTTTCAGCATCATTTGTGCAAGGATAATCATTTGTTAAAACGAATTTTAAGGCTTTTAAATAATTACTTTTCCCAGCGCCATTGAGTCCAGCTTAACAAAAGAAAAGAAGAAATTAAAAAAAATTGCTTACTTCTCCAGTTTCTTTTACATTTTGTTCTATTCAGGTATAATTAATGATTTGTTAAAATAGAAAATAAAAAATACAATAAGGTTCGTGTAAATTGTTAATTATTATATTATTGTAATATTAAAAAAAAACTTTGTCACCAATAATGTTTAGACCGCGATGAATATCATCCAATACAATTTCGTTGCCAATGGATAGAAAATTTTCAATTTTCACCTAAAATATAAAAAGATTTGTTAAGAAAACGCAAATTTTTGTTTTAAATTTAAAATCATAATTGTATATTAAAAATCTAAAATGTGCATACTCCTAAAAAATATTCAATTTATTAAAATTAACCTCACAAATTTATGTTCTACTTATTCTTCTTATTTTTTACAAAACAGTAAAAATAAAAATTGTATAATAATAAAGTAAAACTCACCTCTTTAATATACATTTCTTGTAATTATTCTTTTAAATCACTCAATGAGAAAAGAAAATAAAATCACTGTCTATAATTTTTCCCATTCTCCTCCTTATTGCTTTTTTGGAAAATAACTTTCAAGTATATGTGAATTCTAAAAAGTCACGTGACTAGTAAATAACCGTCAATCTATTTATAGAATTCGCCAAAATTCTTATCACGTGACAGTGAAATAATGCTCATTGGTTGCTTATACTTGCCCGCGAATTTTTTAACTTACGAACGAAATTTCAAACAATCATTTCTGTACCAATAATTTTTTTAAAAATTCAATAAAAATTAACATATTTTTTATGAATAATAAATATTAATTTATAATTTAATTGAAAATGAATGAAATTTTTTCCATGAAAAACTTTAACGTTACAATGGGGGAAAAATTCAGGAATAAAGGAAAATAAATTTTTCTAAAATATAAAGTGTAAGATTGTTTATATTTTTCAATTCTGAAGAATTTTAAATATTCTATCCTAATATAATTTATGTACAAACATCATTAAAAAAAATCGAAAAAATTAAAAAAAAAAAAAAAAAAAAAAAAAACAGATCGTGAAATTGTGTATAAAAAAATATATTTTATATTATTGCTAAAAATGAAGTGTTAAACATAATTTAACGTTAACAATACAGGAAAATAAAAAAGTAAAGTACGTTGAGTATTTATACATTTTCACACTGCCACCAAAATATTCTAAAATTAAATAAATATCAGTTGAATTATTTGGAATTTTTCTAAAATCTATTTTAATAAAAATAATTAGTTAATACTTTATTAATTAATATTCATGTCGATGATTTTTTAAAGCTCAATAAGCAGACTCACAGTTATTTCACAGCATAATTTTCGTAAATTTTCCTATATTCTGTAAATATGTATAATTATTATAATTATATAATTTCTTTCTCTATTTTATTAAATATTTAGCTTTATTTTTCTTTCTTATTATATTTTTAATTTAATTTTCAATTTTAATTGAATTTTTTTATTTTCTATCTACATGAAAATTTTATTTCATTACCAATTTCTTAGTAAAATAAACTTTTGTAACTACAAATTACAATTTTTATAAATAAACGGTTTTAAATTACGGTTTAAATTTTATAATTGTAAACTTCATAAACAGAAATTTATAATATAAATGAATTTTAATTTGAAATTTATAAATTTATAAAACAAAATTCTGTAAAAAAATTATATAGGTACTTAAAAAAGAAATAAAAAAGAATAAAATAACTCTTAGTCTTGTAAAATTTCTAATTTGTAAAAAAGTCTTTTACGATTTACTTCCGTTTTCGCTAATTATCCGAAAATTTTTTTTAATTTTTCTTTTCTTTTAAATTGTTTTTTCATTTTTCATTTCTAAAGCAATAGATTTTACAGTGAAATTGAATTCCGCGTGAAATGTGCGACAAAGAAGAAAAATTATTTTGCTTTTTTGAAACTCAGGACAAGTGAAAATCATTGCCATCCCGAGTGAAGTCATTTAGGGACGGCGCCAGAAACATCATTCCATCAAATCGTCTTTACGATTTCTAATTGCTACCTCGACAATCTGGAGACTCGGGTAATCCAATTCCTTGACGAGGCTCAACACGGCTGACAAAATATTCGAATACTGTGAAATTCAAAAAAATCCATTTATTCTTTCCTCTTTCTTTGTTTTTAATTATGTACTACATTTTTTATAAAGAAAGAAAAAATTACCTCGTAGTCGTAGTGATTATTTGGAGCGTATTGAGGAGATGAGGACGGACCATAATTTGCATTTTTCTTATCAGTCACGTGATTTTCCTGGTGTTCCAGTTGTTCATCATAACTTCTCTGGAAAAATGCAAATTTTCTACAGTTAATTCTCATTTAAATTCAAATACAAAAAATAATTAATTTTTCTTCCTCTCGGAATATTTTTGACAAAGTTTATTTATTTATTTGTTGTTTACCTGATCACTCGATGAACTGTATCTTCTTTGCCTAACCATTTCGGGTTCTTCTAAATATTCAGTCAAATCCTCCTGAAATTAAATACAAAATTTCTGAAAATCCAAAATCGAAAAAAACATTCTTTCTTTTTGACTCGAGAATTTTTATTTTAAAAGTAAAGAAAAATTTACTACACTGAAAAGGAAAAAGAAGTGAAAATTTTAAGTTTTAAAGAAAAAGTTGTTTTTTATCATGTAGAAAAAAATACCAAATTTTTTTTGTAAACAATTTTCTTCCTTAAATTGAAAAAAATAAAAATTTACCTCGGTCGGTTGATCGGTTTGTGGTGATGATGCTTCATAATATAGAGGATGGGATAAAACTTTTCCACAGCACACTGCAATTTGAACTTCCTCTTGTGAAACAGTTTTGTCGTCAAGTTTTTGTAAATTAGGCAAAATTCTCAAAACTGCCATACGATAACTAAAAAAATGAAAATTTTATTTTAAATTCTAAATTAAATTAAAATAAAATACCTACTTTAGATAAATTACAAAATTTTTTAATTTTATGGTTTTGGGGACTTTATTCTCCTTATAAAGAAATGTATTTATTTAATAACAAATATTAAAAGAATATTTCGTTCAATTAAAGCAATGACAAAATTGAGTGATAAAAATAGTTTGGTAAGTAATAAAATAGCTGTTTTCAAAAAAAGAAGACAAATAAAAATCTAACCCTTCACGTTCGGCGCATGGATTTTCACTCAGCGAAAGATTTCTCAAATTTGTCAAATCCTGTAGATAGCAAACTTCATTTATATCCTGAATGTTGTTTTTTCTTATGAACAAATCACGAAGATTGGAACAATACTGAAATGGTGCCAGAGTTTCTATGCAGTTCACACTTTAAATAAAGAAAATGAAAAATGGTTAATCAATATTTTTTTAAATATTTAAAAATAAATAAAATTTGCATTTGTTTTATAGGAAATAATAATAATAATAATAATAATAATATTAAATACTCTTTAGAAAAAATAAATAAAGCTTGAAAAAAAATAATTGCGTTAATTAATCATTTCTACAATTGCCACGAATAAAATGTCCAAAAAAGGAATTTTCCAAAGCGAAGAATTCGTCAAATAAGGAAAAATGACGTTAATCAGAAATTTATTCAGCGGTGAATATATTGAGAATGAATCGTAAAATGTTATTTACATATTATAAATATCGAGTGGGTAGAAAAAGTGACTTTTCACATAGACTTTTATAGAACAGTGACCATGAGATTTAAAAGAAAAACAAATCTTTAATCGTCCAATCATTCTCGTCTACTTTGTAATTACTTTTTTTAAATAAACAAATGTCGTTTTCCTTTATATATATATATATATATATATATATATTTGAACCTTTTTCACTTCAAAAAAATGTTTTGCTCTATATTTCCTTCTACTACTATAAAATAAACGAAATTTACTACATAATGTTCAAGAAAAATTATTTGGTGATAAAAATTGACAAAATTACTTTTTGAATAATAAATTAAGAAAATTTTTAAATATTTGCCTTAATGACAGAACTTCCACATTTTTCATTCTTTGTAAAATGCTGACATCCGTTAATTCGGTTCCCCTGAAAAAAAAGAAGAAATTATTGATTATTTATTTAAAGTATTCTTTACTATTTATTAAAAAAAAAAAATTCAACAAATAAATAAAAATGCTAACAAATTAATCAAATTAGTAAATGAATTAATTAATAAATAAGCGAATTTCTATGTTTCGATTTCTTTAATATTATAAATTAAATTTCAAGAGAACCTGTAAATTCCTTCTTATTCGAAAGAACAGTTATTTTCGTCTAATTAATTCAGACGTTAATTAGACACAAAGAGATTTTCTCACGCTGATTTTATTCACAAATGTTCTCCTAACAGTAACTCTTTCACACTATCCTTTATTTTGAAAAATAAAAAAAAATATTTAATACTGAAAACAATAGGTATATAATACCTATGGGAATATTTAAAAAAAACTCAAATATTAATAACTAATTTGTATATTAATAGGAAAAGGTAAATATATAATCAAATAAAGATAATTTCCGTCAATAAATAGACTCACCAACAATTAAGTTGTTTGACGTTTGACAAATCCGAAATTCTCGTTCTTGCAATAACCATTTCTTCAGTAAGTCTCACCATTGTGAATTTCTTTTATTATATTATTATTCAATAAAAAATATATAATCCTTAAATTTCCTTTTGGAATTTAAAAAAAACAACAATATTTCAATAAGATCCGTAAAACAACCTCAGCAAGTAATTTCAAATAGATTAAAAGAAAATATAAAAAATTTCCATTTTTATAAATATATACATATGTATTTATTATACACACAAGAAGTGTGGAATTTTTGACACTTGTCTTTCAATATTTGAAAAAAAATTCCTAACCTTCAAAAGCGCGATTTTTGTGCAAAACACCAGAAACAATAAAAGTAAAAGGAATTTTCACAAATCCGATTATTACTTTTTGACAATTTTTGAGCCATAACAATGGATTGTATATTAATAAAAAAATGTTCTTTCGCGCAATAAACCACGACCGACACCGATTGACCGATGTCACAAATGTGAAAGCAAGACTAGAAATGGTTTTATTCCTCTGTTTCAATGTTTAACTCGTGGTCAAAATTCCGTCTCGTTTTTATGTTACAATTAAGTCCAACGCACAACCCTTTCGCGAAAGAGATATATGAGATAGAAAAGGACACAAACACATTGCCGTCCTTTTCTAACTCATGCTTCGCGTTCGAACTCAATGTTGTGACCGCACCTTTAAAGAAAATCGTTTTTCAAATTTCGGATGTTCTACCTTGTGCTCCTTGTGCTTTTCCCTCCCCCGCCACCCCCGTCAAATTTAATGTCAGAAAAATAATGCGCGCAACACAAAACCGACGAATTATACGAAAATAATATTAATTATGCCGTAAATAAATTAAAAACCGTGTAAATATTTTGATTAGAAACAAGTTTTTTTATTTGAGTAGAATAGAATAATAACAATAAAAAAAAGGGTATCTTTATTATTTTCAGCCGTGGAGAATTATGCGGCAAATTATATTCGTATTCGACATTGTTGATTTTTGAGGTTAGGTTATTTTTATTTTCATTTTATCCGTTTTTTAATTATAAATAAATGAAAAATGAAATAAATATAGAGAATATTAAAATTTTTTTATTTTTCATAAAATACTTTAATTTATAGAAATAGAAAAAAATGTAAAAATACATTTTCTATTAAAATAAATAGACGCTGAAAAATGAAAATACAATTTTGAAAATATTTCGGAGTAGGTTTTTATTATAAATATTTCTTTTACATACCTATTTAAAAAGTACTTGTATTTATTTTCATTGTCAGAGGAAAAAATTAACTTTGTTTTATTTGTTATTTAATAAAATAAACGGTACTTTTGTAAATATTTACCTATTTTATCAATAAGTTACTTACTTATTACTGTTTTTCAATTTATGTTGCAGATTATTTTTCAAACTGTAATTGTTAAATATTCTTTTTGTTGTTATTTTTATTTCATTTTTTGTTCCTTTTAAAATGAGTGTCGAGGAAAGACTCGTTACGGAAATTCCCAGCAGTTTAAAACAATTGGCAAGAATTGTTGCTCGTGGATTTTATACGATAGAAGATGCTCTTATTATTGATATGCTAGTTAGAAATCCTTGTAAGTAGATTTTTAATTCATCATTTTTATCATTTGTTTACTAAAATCAGACACTTGACAATTCGATTTTAATTAAAAACTCTTTCCTTCAGTTTTTATTAATCTTTATCTATTGTCTTTTTTGTTAGAACAATAAGTAATTGATAAAAGTTTGTTTGTTCAATAATTGAATAAATTCTTTTAAGAAATTTTATTAAAATAGTAGAATATTGAAAATAATTGAATTAAGAAAAGTTTTTGAAAGTAATTGAATTTTATTACTTTTGAAAATCATTAAATTCTTGAGATGAATATTGTTATTTATGAAAATAATTGAATTTTGCAAAGAATTTTGTTAAAACTCGTAAAAATAAAATTGAATTTTGTTAGTTATCAAGATAATTGAAATGCTTTTTACATTTTTTAAAAATAATTCATTTCTTTTGATGAATATTGTTATTTATGAAAATAATTGAATTTTACAATGAATTTTATAAAAATTCTAGAATTTTCAACTAAAATTTTTCTTTAAGTCAATTTTTTTAATATTATTTTTGAAAAAGTTTGTGCTTTCAATATGCAATTAGATATAATTTAAAATTTTAACTGAAATTAATTTTTAATCAATATTTATTAGAAAATTCTACGAGAATTCAATTATAACCGTATTTTAAAGGTATGAAGGAAGACGACTTATTGGAATTGTTGAAATTCGAAAAGAAACAAATGCGAGCAAGAATAGCGACACTTCGTAATGATAAGTTTATTCAAATAAGACTGAAAATGGAAACTGGCTCCGATGGCAAGGCGCAGAAAGTTAATTATTATTTCATCAATTATAAGGTAGGCACTTGAATTATTTCACCAAATTGTTTCTCATAAATTTGTATTCTATTTCTATTTCTATTTCTATTTCTATTTCTTAAAAGTAAATGCAATGAAAAAATGAATTTTTCCAGTCCTTTGTGAATGTAGTGAAATATAAACTTCTTATGATGAGGAAAAAACTGGAAACCGAGGAGCGAAATGCAACGAGTCGAGCGAGTTTTAAATGCACCAATTGCCTCAAAACTTACACCGACCTCGAAGTAATTAGCATGCTTATAATATAATAATAAATTGAATATTTATTTCTTCTTATTAATGACGTTGATAATTTGTGAAAAAGGCGGATCAACTATTCGACATGAGCACCCAGGAGTTTAAGTGCACCTATTGCGGGGAGGTTGTTGAGGAGGATCAGTCGGCGCTACCGAAGAAGGACTCACGACTTCTTTTGGCGCGATTTAACGAGCAAATGGAGCCGCTTTATATTTTACTCCGGGACATTGAGGGCATTAAATTGGCGCCCGAACTTCTCGAGCCCGAAGCCGTTGACATTAACACTATCAAGGGGTATTTACTCTTTACTGTTTCCACATTTGCATTTTTTTCTATTCCTCTGCTTAGTTGTACTTGTTGTACTCTTTCCAATCTTTACTCATTTTTGTTGCTCTTACTTTAGAATCGATCCAAGAAAATCGGGCATGATGCGTGGACCCAATGATCAATGGTCGGGTGAAGGTTCTCGAACATCGGGATTCTTTGTGGAGGAGACAAAGGTCAATGTGCTCATTGGAGACGGAACCGCGGACGATAATTCCGCGAATACGAGGAAAGAGCAGCCAATTTGGATGACAGACAGCACAATCGACAATCCAATCGATGATTCTTTACAAGTATGAATTTTTCGTTTCTTTCTCATTATTATTAATATTCTAAATTCATGCTAAGGCAAAAGATTGCCATTCATATAGAATGTGAATTTCATTTAAAATCAAGTCTATAATATATAGTAAAAAGAGAAATGAACTTTTCACAGACGGATTCGACAATTGCACAGGACAATATATTGAACAAGGCAGCGGCCACCGCTTCCACGCCAACCACAATAAACAACAAGCAGGGCGAGGACATAATGTCCGTTTTATTGGCGCACGAGAAAAAGGGTGGAATGAGCGATGCCAATGCGGTGAAATCAGTGATACCGCAGGAGTCGAGTGACAGTAGCGATAATGAGGAGAATAATGAAATGCAACCAGTCGAGACGGGTAAAATATTGTCTCTTTCATTTACAAAAAAATATATTTTACACCCCGCTTTCTTTTCTCATTTTAATAATTTTATTTACTTTTATATTTCCTCTTCTTAATCAAATTATATAGATATAATTTTAAATAATAATGGAAAATAAAAAAATATTTTCAGACGCTGTGGAAATGATGGAATCTGAAGAAGAAGATTCAGTGCCAATGATAAGTGTCGGTGGGAAAAGTGTCGCAATTACAAACGTGAACGATTCCTTAATAGCTGAAATGACACCAGTCGAAAAAGAAGCATACATTCAAACATACCAAGAATACTATTCGCTCATGTACGATTAATATTTTAGCGAAAAGAAATATTTTTCTCCCTTCCGCCCTCAAAAAAAAAAAAAAAAAAAAAGGAAAAAAATTGGAATATTTTTGATAAAAAAAATATATATAAATATATTCTATTGAGAAAACAAAAACTTTTCTTCTAGACAAAAAATAAATGATAAATGAATTAGAACCATTGGAAAATGTCGAAAAAACAATGAAAGAATTTCATCAACTTTATTTTCTAAGTTTACATAAATATAGAATTATTAATAATAAATAAGTCAACGATATACAGATTTTTTTCATTCTTCTCTTAAATTATTTCTTTCTTCACATTTTATAGAGAATCTCTCATTGACGATTACTTTCTCATTTATTATTTTTATACAATTAAAATTTTATTTATTAAAATTATCTATATATAGACGTCACTTCTGGTTAAGCGGGAAATTTTCTTTCTTTTTTCTTATCGTATTAAAATACAACGAAAGAGAAAGAGTTAAAGTAATAAATATATATATGTATTCTTTTTTTGTCTAGATAAATTTCCGTTCGACCACCACAATCGAGCGGAAATTTCGACAAGTTTTTTTCTTTTGATATTTTTTCTATTTTTTTATCATTATTTTTTTAATATTCTTTTTTTGTTAATTTTTTTATATTTGCAAATATGTATTTTTTTTCTAAATAGAAAAAACATTTGCAAAATAGAAAAATCGCGATGAAATTAAAAAAGAAAAATCACATCTGGGATATTGAAAAGAAAAAAACGTTCATTATTATTTCTTGTTTTTTTTTTTGGTTTTTTGGTTTTTTCTTTCATTTTAAGAGAGGATGTAGAGGTTGCAAATTGGTTTTGAACCGATGTATGTATTCCTTTGAGAGAGAGAAAAGAGAGAGATGTTCAGCCTTTTTTTGGATTCCTACTGTTTTGAATTTACTTATTCGGGTTCATTTAGACGAAGTCGGGCAAAATCTTCAAAGACGATATTGTCGTCGTCGTCGTTTGCGTAACAAGAACTTTCGTATCGACCGCGATCAATACTTTTGCTCTTCTTCATTGTCGCCTGTTCCTTCTCGACAGTTCCTGTAATGTTTATTTTTATTTTAGAAATTTCCATCTTTTATCAAAGTAATTTCTAATTTTTGGATTTCTCTCATTTTTTTCAAAATTCGGTTAATAAATAAAAATATGATTTTTTTGATAATGCCAAATTTTCCTTTTTTAAACGAAATTGAATGAAATGAATTAGATACCTGGAGCGGGATGCATTAATTTAAATGGGACGTCGGTGATCAATTCTCCGCCTAAAGTACCGCAATTTAATTTCACACGAATTGAATAGGAAATGACAATTCCCATAGCGTCTCCTGGACATTTTCCCTCAGCGACCAATGTTGATGATGCGAGATTCACGTCGTCGTCCTGGAAATGATCAACATTGATAAATTAAATTAAAATTCAATTTCTAAATATTAAAAAACAAATATGCAACGCAGTAAAAAAAGAAAAGAAACATTGTAAGTTAAACTATTTTCAAAGTTGGGCAAGAATTCAATTATGTAATAATGTGGATAAAGTACCTTGAGATGACCGTCAAGAGCAATTCCACGACGATCCTTGTTGCTGCTGGCCAATGGGACGAGGAAGAATTGCTTCGAGAACGATGCACCAGGTGTTATTGGACATCCTTCTCTGGTTTCCAAGCTCGCGACGTGACGTGAAAATTGAGCATTGACCATCGTCACTTCACAATGTTGAACCACAAACATCTAAAATGATGAATTCCAATTTATTATGTATCTATTACTTTCAGAAATTCTAATATTAGGTACTAATCTGATTTCAAAATTTTTAATTTCAATTGGAAAAGTAAACAAAAATTTAATAATTAAAATGTGGAGAGCGATAAAATTATTAATTAAAATTGGTATAATATTTAAGAAAATTTCTTTTTCCAAAACAGGGTTGCCACGCTTTTGCTCATTTCAAATTCCCTGACATTTCCAGGTTTTCCAGGTTTTCCAGGTTTTCCAGGTTTTCCAGGTTTCCAGGTTGCAAAAGTAAGAAAGCGAAGAAAAAATGTTGCTCACTTTAATATTTTTAACCGTCTTGCGTGAATTATTAGTGATAATAACATTGGCAGCGACTTTTTCACCATGATAGTAAATTTCCCGGTCCAATGTCACTTCCAAATTCAATTTGCCCTGCGAGAATGTGAAACCCTTGGAGACAAGTGAGCTCGGAAGTCTTCGTCCACGTGTTGGTGGTGCGTACTGCAATTTCTTTATTGCGAGCGCGACCATCGATCGTTTGTGTCCCTGAAAAAAATATTTAAAGAAAAGAATTATTATTTTCAACTTTATAACTGTAAATCGAATTTACGAATTAAAAGTGCTTTTTCTTCTTCATTACAATTTAGTTAAAAATAAAAAACTAAATATTCACAAATATAATAATTTAAATAAAGTTGAAAATTTAAAAATCGGAAGATAATTAAATAAAGGATTTTTTCTAGTGAAGAAAATTCACAAGTTGAAGCAGAATTTGATTATGTAAATGCCCGAGTCTTATGTAATCGACATACTAATGAGTTATATAAAAATAAAATAAAACAAATACAGTTAATGGGTTTCCCTGTCTCGTTCATTTTGCATTCTGAACTTTTTTCTGAAAATTTCATCCAGTTAAACTTTTTTCATTTTGAAAAATTAATAATAGGCAAAGGAAAATGAACCTTGTCTTCCTCATTTTCAGCGACGTAAACTTTAACGACATATTCGACACCGAGGGGTTTGCCTTGATCGTCGTCGCCAGGTTGGAGTGTCACGGAGCTCGGGGAACTCGATGGGAATTGGAACAAGAATGGATACGCGTTTGGTCCCAACTTTCTCAGAAGTCGATTCTGAATCGCCGTCGTCTCCTGCTTCTCTTTCCTCATTGGCACAATTTGCTCCTTGTTGAGCACCAACTCCTTGCTGAACTTGACTCCCATAACTTCATCCTCTTCTCGTCCATATCGATAGGTCGTCGTTATCTAAAAAACCAGTAGATGAATGTAATTGGTTCTTAGTATTAAACAATAAATTCCTCACCTGTCCGAAGATTTTTCTGCCCTGAAGATAGTCATTTTCGACGACGACAATTCCGTCAATGGGATCCACATTTTCAAGATGATCGATGAAGTCTCGTTTACCTAGATAAACGGTGACCTTGCCTGGACAGAGAAAATTGCACAACAAATAAGAGGAATTTGTTGAATTGAAAGAAGAAAGAAGAAAGAAAAAAGAAATTTAGTAATTCAATGATAAACTCACCATTTGGGGTGGTCTTCTTGAAAACCTTTACAGCCACTACGAACACCAAAAATAATAATGGAAACATAGTTTTCACCGCAGATGAGATTTGTTTCCCGCCCAAAAGTGACGGATTTTCGTCGAGTGCCTTTTACTTGATATAGTCTTTGGAAGGCTTCCTTGCCCCTTCTTTTTGAACACACACTCGGTTTGGAAGCCCTATTCTCGTAATGGCGTTATTTCATTTACGAGATTTGTCTAATGAGATCAAATTCTTCACCTGTTACGTGCATGAGAGAACATATTATTTAGTTTTTCAAAAACATTTCAAGCGTCAAGACACGCTAAACAAAATTGTATAATAATATTATTTCAGACATGTATTTTTCTTTTTGGCTTTTACATAATAGGATTTTTAATAATTCCAAGCGATTATTATTATTATGTTTTTCTATATGTCTAAACTTCCGGAAGAGGAAATGGAAAAGTGTCTCTTTCTTCTTTCTTCTTTCTTCACAAATTATTGTCTGTTATTTCTAATGGAAATAATTTATTGTTTTTCTTAAATTAAATCTTGAAATAAAAAAGTTTTCATGCAGGGTTGGTACTTGAAACTAAACCCACCCACGAAAAGATGATTTCACAACATGACACAAAGACAGTAATTTCAGTCTTAAAGTTTATATTTATTTCAATAATAAGTGTGTTTACATAATAGAGGTATTTTAACAATGAAACTAAATTCCTTTGCACAAGGAATTCCTCCCAAGGTGGTTCACTCACCATGGCCTCTCTTCTTAAATGGTAAAATATTCGCATCTCGAACGTTATGTGGCTTTTGTATTGTTTTTTTTTTTTTTTTTTTGTTTACTCTTTATAAACTAATTTTCAATATTAATTAACTTAATCTTTACACATGCCACAATCAAGTTTAATCCATTTACTTCCTTTCTTTGGGCTCGACTCGTTGCTTCTTCGATAAAAACCCATAAAAATAAATTCTGGCACCATTTTTATTTTTACCAAATTCAAAAAAATCCTCCCCGAAAAAATTAATATTCTTATCAAGATTTTTTTCGAATGGAAAAATAAAAAAATTTCAAATTAAAGAACTGTTTGTCTTAAAAAAAGGGAAAATCGTGATGAGAATTTAATTTTTAGTAGAGAATGAAGAAAATAGTTTTTTGTTTTCAGAAAAATAAAAAGTAACTTGTAATTTGTTGACAATCTGTTAATCTAACGTATTAGCCTAAAAATTATTATCATCTAGTATTACGAAAAAAATGTACATTATATTACTAAAAAAAATCGGGGTTTCTTAATATTTTGAAAACTTAAAGAAAAGTGTCGAAGCAAACAAAAATTTTTCTTTTTAATGTAAATTTGATAACAATGACCAAGCGTTTAGTCTAATTAATAGGCACAGTAAAATTACGGATATTCGTCTTTTTTTTCCTCGTGTCCTTTTTTCAAGACGATGCTATCAGGGAACGACCATTATTCAAAAAAACATATTTCGCGTGCAAACAAAAATTTCTCTTTTCCTCTCTTAAATCATAAAAATAGTCACCGATCCAAATTTGTTTCTTTCATTTTTTCGAAAGTACAATTTTCTAATTTTTCCATACACAAATCAGTTGTGAAAAAATTCTTCTAATACGAAAGAGAAAGCAAAACAAAGTAAAGAAAAAACGATTATCCTAAATCTTTACCTAAAACTAATTCTATAGAAAAATAAATAGAAAAAAGCCGTTTTTTTGAGTGCCGTTCATTTTACTAGTTTCTATTTTCATAAATAGAAATTTTAATCACTTAAAAAAAAGAAAAACAAAGATTGATATTTTTTCTTTTTTTTAAATTAGTTTATTAATGATAATAATAAATTTTTTAATAATAAAAAAATGACGCATGACGCTTTTATTAATTAAGCAAAATAAGCTCGAAATTTTCACTTTAATTTTATCTTCAAATATCAAAAATGGCTACAGTATTTTATTCGATTAAAAAAATATCTTTTGCTGAAAAAATTCGTAAAAATCAGGACAAAATTTTTTTTCATAAATTTTGGTTATTCGATTTTTGAAGATAAGTTAATTTTCGTTATTTTTCTCTAGACTTTTTATCAAATTTGAGTATAAAAAGTGAGTTGACTTTCGATATTTGTGCGATTTAAAAGTTCCCTGATATCAGCGCACTTTTTTTAAATTTTTTTTTGTTATTTTTTTATCTTTGTTTTATAACAAACACCAGACGGTACAAATATCGTTAGTTTCACTAGTATACATTGTGGACATTTTTTTTTTTTTTTTTTTGTTGTTTTTTTCCATCATTATCAAGTGATCGCTGTTTATTCGCAAATATTCTACTTAAACTTAGTGCACTAAACATTCTTGCTTTAGAAAAAAATGTTCTTTTTTTAATTGTTTATCTCGATTTTTAGCTCTTGAAAAATGAAAGGAAAAAATAATTTATTCCCTTTTCACCCCCGAGTTGTTGCAGAGAAATCAGCATCCAACTCGATGTTCGTGTTCGAGTAAAATTTATCTCACGCAGCAGTACAAATCTGAAAAGAATTTTCCACTAAATTGAAAACAATTTTCTTGGTTTATTTTTTCAATTCTTTTTTTCTAGCAAAATTTAAAATAGGAAAAATTTAAATTAAAGCTCTAATTGAAAGTAAAAATTTAATAAAGCTAAAAACATTTATAAAATAAATTATTCTATTTAAGAAGAAATAGAAATTGAAAGTGAAAAAATAAAGAAAAATTGATTAAGCTGCATTTTCAATGTAACAGCAAAATTCGCATTGAGTAAAACTCTTATAAACTTGCTGAATAAAAGTATATATTCCATAAATAAAAAATTCTCCATTTATTTCAATATTATAAAAATTTCACGAATATTCAATTTTTTCCTGTTTTTATATTTTGAAAAATAAAACAACTACTCACCTAATATTTTTTTCACAGAAACGTATCCTTAACAGTAAGAATCCAACTTAGGATAGATCTAGAAAAAAGATAAAAAACTTTAAAAATTGTCTATTTTTTCATTTGAATTTAAAAAAATTCTTGTCGAAAATGTGAAATAAATCTTAAATAAAAAAAATAATAATAATAAGTAAGAAGTAAACTGAACTCACAACTGGGAGCAGCTGCAGATTCGAATCTTTTCTGAATTTGATCGTATGTAAATTTAACAAATGATTCGTATTGCTCGGATAATTTCATTGTCAAGATCTGGTCATATTCCTCTCGAATTTGTACTTCTTGATCCTTCAGCATCCGCTCGCAAATCATGCCAACCTGAGGGTCAAAATTAGTTAATTAATTACTCGGGAATAATAATTAATAAATTGAAGAATTAATGTTCTTTATTTTACGAAAGAAACACTATCCAAAAATAGAACGATTTTTTTAGTAATGATAATAAAAATAATTGAGGAATGGAAAAAAAGAAAGAAATGTCTACTTGCCTGTTTGAATGTGAAGAGAGGTTTCTCTTTGCATGATGTGCTATTACTGTAGGCGTTTGAACCGCAACCAGATGGACTGGAAGGATTTGATGAACCCTCCATATCTGAGAAATCGCCATTGTTGCTTTGAGGATTGAAATACAATTGTTTGCGTCGGTGCAATCGGCGGATTTCCTCTCTGATGTTTGCTGCCATTTTTTCTAAACAAAATTTCAATTTTTCTTTTAATTTTAAAAAACAAAAATAGTCAGTTTCTTAATTGCTTCTTAACAATTAACCATTTTTTTTTATTTGCAAATCACTTGAAAGTTTTCAAACAATTTTCACCAATTTCATAACAAATTTGTATTTTAATATTCTCAGGGCTCAAACCATTTCAAGTATTTGAAAATATGGACTTTACGGACCAATTACATTTTATTTATTAAAACCATAAATTAAATTTTTTATAACTATAAAACATGAAGAAATATCTTCATGTTTTATAATAATTAAAGATGACCGAGTGATAAAATCATTTACAATAATTTTTAACTAAAATTCTTCTTTAAATCGATTATTTTTAATAATTTTCGAAAAAGTTCTTCAATTAAATAAATATTAGAAAATAAAAAACTTTAAATAATATAAAAAAAATTAATTTAAAAATTCACGCTATTTATCCAAAATTTTAACTGAAATTAATTTCTAAATTAATTTTTATTAAAAAATTTTACTAGAATTCAATTATTTAAATACAAAAATAAATAATGTATTGAATAATCGAATGTTTCTTACAATTGAATTCTTATACCTACATAATTTTATCCAAAATTTTTAAAATAATTGTATTCTTTCGTCAATTTTTAATAAAATTTTTCAGAATAATTACATTTCCCAAGAAATTTGCTTAAAATGGACTTTTTTCGAAAAAATTTATGCAAATTCTATTTTTCATTATTGAATTTTCCTGTGAAATTTTCATTATTTTAAAAAATAATTGAATATTCGTGTAGAACTTTGTCAAAATTGTTTTTAAATAATTGAATTCTTTTGGGGAATTTTATAAAATTTTTTGAATATAATTGAATTTTATTACTTTTGAAAATAACTGAATTCTTTTGACGAATTTTAATAAAATTTTTTTGAGGAATTCGATTAAAATTGTATTAAAAATAGGGTGCAAAATAATTGAAATTCTGCAATGAGTTTTGTTATTTATGAAAATAATTGAATTTCTATGAAAATTTAATCCTTTTTAAAAAAAAAACGGACTTTTACGGACTTGAAGCAAAGTTACGGACTTTTACGGGATTTACGAACCTAGTTCGAGCCCTGCAATTTCTTAATCGAATGCTTCTTAACAATTAACAATTTTTATTAATTTGCAAATCAATTTAAAAATTTTAAATAATTTTCATCAATTTTATAACAAATTTGTATTTTATTATTCTTTTTTTCCCGTTTAATTTTATGTAAAGAAGAAAAGAATTAGTTAAAGAAATAATTGAAATCTAGATTTTTTGACAAAAGTGAAAAGAAAAAAATTTATTTTTTTCCTTAATATTTGAATTAATATAATGCAAGAAAGAAAATAAGAATTCCCCAAGTTTTTCCATTTTTTAAAAATTATAAGAAAGTTTCTATAATTTACAATAAAAATTTAATTTATTTGAATTAGAATGTTAATAAATTTCTTTACCTTTATTTATTTTTTTTAAATTAAAAACGAAAATTATCCCTCTTTTGCATTAATAATAAAAGAAAAAAGGAGAAATAAATTTCACAAGTGCTGGTAGATGAATAAACAAATAAAGAGAAAAAGAAAAAAGAAAAAACGGAGTTTGGAAATAATAGTGGACTTGGATTGCGTGCCCGTAATATAATCTGGTCGGGATCGGAGTCCGTTAGGGCATTACCATATGATTTACGTGTGTGCCTCCCCTCCCCAATCCCTCGCCCCAAAACCCTTAGGGATCGACTCTCGTATTCTCTCTCTCTCTCTCTCTCTTCCCCACTCCAACAACTCATTCTCCTTTTCACTAAAAAAGGGGACACTAAATACGGGTTTTAAATCGCCCAAGTGGGCCAAGCCCCTAGTCCCAATGCTCTTCGAGCTAAAAGAATTAAACTCGGAGAAAAAGCAGACAAATAAAAGAAAACTCTTGTCATACATCTATATCTATATATATATATATATAGATATGAAAAGACTCGAATAATACACGAAATAAAAGAGAAAAATGGCCGTATTGAATAATTACCAGGCGTCAATTTCTGCGATATTTCGCCGAATGGCGATGGACTTTGTGTTTTTGTAACATTTGGCGATGAACTGCCAGGTGAGACGCACATTGGAACGCATCTTCGTCGCTTGTTTGGTCGTCCGTGGCTATGAACAGGATCAAATTCCAGAGATCTCTTTAGGGTGGCGCAGGCCATTTTTCTTTCCTTCTTCTTTTTTTTCTCTTCTTTAAAACACACAGATTACCAACACAAGAAAACCAATATTCTTATATATACACTTATTTAAACACGAAGACAACGACGACGACCAGATGACACGAGACGAATTTATTTCAGAAAAAAAGAAAATCACCGATAATAAGGCAATTCCTCCTTCCCTCTATATTTTCAGTAATATTCACGAATTTAGTATATTTCGATGTGCTTTTAAGAGTTTGCCTATTTTTTTCCTCTCGATTTTATTGAAATACGGGACAAGGATGCACCAAAACAAACAGTGACGAGGAAAAAGCAAGATGGCCGAACTTCACTGCCCGTTAGCGAAAGAACGACTGTGTACAAATGACGAACGAGCACGAATGGGCAACCATCTTTTCTTTTTAGCTTCCAGGGTGTGGTCACTTGTTTCTTGTTCACTCTCTATTTCAGGGTTCGGCAGGTGCATTTATAATTCACTCTTTTTTTTAATCTTTCGCAAAGAATTACTTTCTACAACATGATGGAAATATTTACGAAAATAATAGCTTCAAGATTTGCTAAAAATGCTAAAAATATTATTTTAAAGCGTAAACCTAGGTTTCTTTTCATATTTATTTATCTTAAAGGTCCTTTTGCAATAGTGTTAGAATATGCGCGCGCATTTATTGCCAACTGTAGCAATTGTAAGCGAATTTTTTTCTAAACTTAAACAATAATATTGAAATAAAAGAAACTAAATATTTAAAATGTGCTTTTCATTAATTTGATAAATTCTTGTTTTGAAATTTTCTACATTCTCCATCTAGTTTTCCAACAAGCATTTCCAATCGAAAAGAGAAAGCAGAAAGCCAGAAAGGTTTCAATTTTTCTAGCAAAGAACTACTCAACCCTGGTAGACAACCGTTTATCTCTTTTTAACAAATATCCAAAACATTTATTTAATATTATTACTTCTGATTTTTAAATTTAAATAAATTGACTATGAAAAATAATTACAAATGTATAATACCAAATAATTTTCTATAAACCTAGTCGCCTGGAGAAAATAAAAAATAATTCTTTTTAATGCGCGTGCGTGCGCAGGTGTCAATTTTTTTTGAGGTTACGTTTCCCAGTAAGAAAAACAAAGTTATTGTCAAAATGCCTTCTTTTCTATAGTTTATTCCGTTTTTTCTGAATGTAGTTTATCAATAGTTTTTATTATACAATTTAGTTGTAGTTTAGTTCTGTTTTTATGTGTATTAAAGTTTTCATTTAATGGCTGCCATCGATAAAGTGAAAATTCTCGTTCTTGGCGATTCCGGTATGTAAAAATTTTACTTTCAATTTTTGTTTCTCAATAAAAAGTCAATGATTTTCCTTGAAAATTGTGAAAATTTCAAAGAAAAACATTGCCCTCCTTCTTCAACAAATAACAAAAAATGTAAAAATATATTTTTCGTTATTTTTGAGATTGTGTTAACCACGTCATCATAAGTTTTTCATGTAATTTAACTTTTCAAGTGTTTCTGATATTTTTAATACGTTTAATACAAATACAAATTTTTGTGCTAAAAATTGTTATAGGTGTTGGAAAAACATCGTTAACGCATTTAATTTGTCACCAACAGCCAATGAATAATCCATCATGGACAATTGGCTGTTCGGTGGAAGTAAAATTACACGAATATAAAGAAGGGACAGCAAATCAGAGACGATATTTTATCGAATTATGGGACATTGGTGGCAGTCAGAGTCATCAAAATACACGTTCTGTTTTTTACAACAATACCAACGGTAAAATTAAAAAAAATTACATCCAAAATTAATTTTCTTCTTGAGAATTACAAATAATTTTTTCTTTTTCTATTTTCAGGAATAATTTTAGTTCACGACATGTCGAATCGTAAATCACAACAGAATTTACGAAAATGGTTACAGGAAGTTTTAAATAGAGATGGCAATTCATTGAAATCAAAGTCGTTTGACGATTTCGATCCTGAACAGTTTGTGGGTTCAACTCAAGTATGAAACTGAAAATAACATTTTCAGTTATTTTATTTTACTTTTTTTTTTATTTTCAGTTATTTATTTTTATCTCTCAGTTTGTTTAAGTTTATCGTAGTTGAATTTTAATTTTTATTGTCAAAAGTTAAAATTTCTCATATTTTATAATTGCACTACTTTTGGCAAATAAAAACAAAAAAAAATAATTTTCAGATTCCAATTCTAGTCGTGGGTACAAAATCGGATTTAATGGCGCAAGTAAGATCGACCGTTTACAGAAGATCTTCAACAATTGCTGAAGAATGTGGAGCGGATGAAATATATTTAGTAAGAAAAAATAAAAACATTACAATACAAAATCAATTTTTATTATATTTATTTTTAATTTAATTAAGAAAATTCTTCTTTTCTTTTAAAAAGAAATAGAAAATATTTAGAAAATTTAAAAATAATTTTTTTTTCGTAGGACTGTTTGCAAATTCGTTCATTAGCTGCTGGTTCAGGTTCTTCAGTGAAATTGAGTAGATTTTTCGATAAAGTTATCGAGAGACGATATTATTCAGTGAGAGAAGGAATAAGTCCCGACAAAAGACGAATAAATGCATTTACATCATCATACAATCCAAAAATGTATCATGACGATTGAGAGTGAGAGAGAAATGGTTTCCAATTTTTTATTTTTTATGCACTTTTCATTTCTCATAATTTTCTTAAACTATTAAAAAAGAAATATTAGTAAAATTAACCCTTTTTTCTCTCTCACTTTATGTGGTATTTCAATTTCGATAATTCTCTCTTCTTCAACTTCTTTTGTAAATAGTAGGTATATAATTATTAAAATATTATCTTTTTTATTGAAAAATAAATTTTGTTTTAAATTATTTAAATTTTCCCACCTTATTTCCTGTTCACATACACAAAAAAAATTCAAAATAAAATAAAATTTAAAAAATTTTTAAATTACTTATGTTTCTTTAAAAAAAACATTTTCTCTTTTTGAAAAAAGAATTTTTTCTATTTTTGAATGTGATTTTTTCTGAAAATATATATTTTAAAAAAAGTGAGGTTATGTTAGAATCGAAAATATGAAGGATTTGCTCATCGCGATTTTAATAAATGTAATTGTAAGTTTTCTCCGTACATTAAAAATAATTAACAAAATGATATAAATGTAAAAGAGAAACAATAATTTTCTTCTAAATATTATCATTTTCATTTTATTTTTAGTTATTTGGCTTTTAGGGCTTTAAGAAAAAATTCGAAATAAATTTAATTTTTGCCTTTTGTTTTATTTTGAAAACTATAACCTCAAAAAATATGAATAATATTTTTTTACTATTATTGTAACAACTTGTTGTGCATTTATATATATAGATATTAATTTGTTTGTTGTTTTTATTTTTGTGAATAGATAGTTGTGTCGAATGTAGTTGCACTTGAAGAGGATCTTCTTCATTCGGTGCAAGATAATGTTGCCGGTGATTCTTATAAATATTACAGTTTAATGTATGAAGGAATTGTAAAAATACATTTGATTTCCGAGTGAGTAAAAAAGAAATTGAAAATATCTTTTAAAATTTTTTATAATTTTCAAATGTTGTTTCTTTTCAGATCTGGAGACTCAGATATTTATGTTTCGCAAATAACAGCGAAACCTACTTACGATCCGAGTAATTATTGTTTACAATCGACAACTTGTGGCGAAGATATTATTTATATTCCACAAAGGTAAATTTTTATATTATTTTTTGATATAAGAAATATGTTTTTATTAAAAACATATTTCTATAGCAAATAATTTGAAAACTTATTCATTTATATTTAAATAAAAATATTTTTTTAAATTGAAAATAATTTTTTTAAATTTTAGAATAAATCGTATATAGAGTTAAATAAGTGAGAGAAATTTAATAATTTTCAGTTTCAAGAGACCTGTTAGCATTGGAGTTTACGGACATCCATCACACGAGAGCAGTCGTTTCACGCTTTCTGTTTTTCAAATTTTACTATCCGAAGGGGAAAATTTTGACGAACAGAGTCCAACGGAAATTGTCCGCAAAAAACGTCTCTCAAAAGTAATTTTATAAATTATGTATTGCAGTGTTTTTATATTTAAATATAAATATTTTCTTTATAGGAAAGAAAATGTAAATTATAATAGTTGTCGAAAAATTTTTTTTTTAATGTTAATTGCTTTTCTTCTGTAGAAAGAATCTTCTTCGCTGATCGTCACATTGTTATGGTCGCTAATCGACGTTCTTCTTCAACTACTGTTTTGACATTAAAATCCAAGGAGAACATTTCAGGATAATAGAATAGAATTGAATTGAATAAAGAAAAGAAAAATGTTGGAATACGAAACGGAAATGTTCCTCGAAACACTTCACGAGGATGGACTCGTCGTTGTTGCCAAGTAAGGAAAACGAAAAATAAAATTGAAACCTTTTTCTAAACGCAAATCTTCTCTTTTCAGGGGACTCTCTTTGGACACGGTTTTTGCGAATATAGTTCGCGCCTACTCCGATCCGAATTTTTTGGTTTTAGTCCTTGGCACAACGGACCAGGAGGAGAATTATTTCCTCGAGAAACTGCTGAGTTTTAATGTTCAACAAATGCCAAAAGTAATAACGTCACAGTGCCTTTCAGAGGAGAGGTTCGTTTTAAACAAAAGTCTACTCACCTGTTCCAATTATTAGAAGGAAAGAAATATTCTAATTTACAGTAATTAATTTTTTTCCAAACAGAGAAAGAATTTATCTCGAGGGTGGCGTTTTGTTTATATCAGGACGAATCTTAGTTGTGGATTTGTTAAAGAAACGAGTTCCATTGCATTTGGTGTCGGGGATTTTAGTGTATCGCGCGCACAATATTATAAATTCGTATCAAGAGGCATTCGCTCTTCGTCTCTATCGTCAAGTTAACAAGGTATTCATTTTAAATTTCTGCTTATAAATCTAGAATAATTAATGAGATATAATTTCAGACTGGATTCATTAAAGCATTCACCAGTTCTGCCTTATCGTTCACCGTTGGATTTTCTCAAGTTGAACGTGTAATGAGGACATTATTTGTTACAAAATTGTATCTTTGGCCTCGGTTTCATTCCACGGTGAAAAAATGTCTATCGAAACGCGAGGTAATTAAAATTATTTAATTTTTCTTTCACCCATAGAATTAAATTAATCCATTTATTTATCGAGTTGATACAAAAAAGGAAAAAATAATCATCTACGGATGTTATGGACAGAATCTCCCTATAATTAATATTTATAGAATGAAATAATAAATCTGAAAACAATTTTGTTTGTCAATGCAATTTTATTTAATCTTTTCAGCCGGAAGTCGTGGAATTACACGTTTCACTCACACCAAAAATGTTGAGCATTCAAACTGCTCTACTCGATATTATGAACTACATTGTCAAGGAACTGAAGAGAAATAATAAATTTGTAAGTTTTATTGATTTTATTATTGTTTCCAAAAAAATGGACGTTAATAATAAGGAGAAAAAGATTTTTTTCTAAAATAAAATAAGTAACAAGTTTGTCAACTTCCTGTTTATTCTAGTTAGAACTAGATGAATTGACAGTGGAAAATGCAGTGGCGAAGAAATTTCACAAATTCTTGCAACAACAATTGGATCCAATTTGGCATCAATTGAGTCAGAAGACGAAAATTCTAATTGCCGATTTGAAAACTCTGCGGTCATTGCTCATGTAAGTGATGATGAAAACTAACTAGGTCCGTAAATTCGCTTCAAGTCCGTGAAGGTCAGTTTTTTTTTAAAAAGGACGAAAAGTTCGTAAATTGTACGATATAATTTGGTGACTTTTAGAGAAATTACAAATCATTGCAGAAATTCGATTATTTTCAAAAGTAATAAAGTTCTTTGCAGAAATCCAATTATGTTCAAAATTTCAATTATCTTTAGAAATAATTAAATTCTTCTTCGAAATTCAATTATTTTCAAAAATTTTCCTCAATTCAATGATTTTTAATATCTAGGTATTATTTTTTTAATAAAATTTTCCAAAAGAAATACTTGAACTGGTTCGAGCCCTGCTCTTGATAAAAAAGAAAAATTAGAAATGAATTATTATATAAATAAGAAATGATTTATTTTGTTATTACTATGCACAGGTGTTTGACGCACGAGGATGCTGTCTCATTTTACGCGATGCTCAACAATTTACGGACAATGGATTACGCGATTAAAAGCAGTGGATGGATGGTTTTGGATATTGTCGAAAGTATGTTTAAAGCTGCAAAAGCTCGCGTTTACAACGACAAAAATGGTAATTATAATTCATTATTTCTAAAGAAATTCATTGTCTTTAAGCAAATATTCACATTTTCCTTCCACTAGTTACAATAATAAATTGTCATCTTCTTTTTCAAACAGAATTGAAGCCGGAATTAAATCCAAAGTGGGAGGCCTTATCGGAAATTGTCACGGAAATTCATCGGAATGATGCGAAGAGTAGAAAAAGCGATGATCCGCCGCCGAAAATTTTAATTTTAACCCAAGATTTCACAATGTGTAAGCAGGTGAAAAATTTCTTGACTCAAGGTGGCGAAGACTATTTAGGTAATTTAGCGAAGAGAAAATTGAAATCAAAAAAGAATTCATCATCGAAAAAAACTGAAACTGGGTATGTAAAATTTATTTTATTATTAGAGTAATTGTTAAGTTTTAAATTTTAATTGAAAAATTAAAGAAATAAATAAACAAATTAAGAAAAATATTTATTTTTTGAAATGTAAAGAATAAAAGTAGAAAAAGAAGGAAAGAATTTATTTTTCTTAAATTTTTCTTTCTCTAGATCGATAGTGAAGAAAAAAAGAACGGAGAAAATGTCGGAAAACCCCGAAGAAATGAAGAACGATAATGATGAAGATAATAATGATGACGATGATGAAATTGAAGAACAATTGGAAAGTTACGTTTTAACATTGTCGCAAAAAATTACCGATGAAATGAATTCGGAGAAATTACTTTATCAATCACAATTTGAACATTGTTCTCAGGTAAAAACTTTGATTTCAATACCTATTTTTTTCGAATTTTTTCCTTATAAAAAAATAGAAAAAGAAAAATTGTTTCCTTTTTATTTTTAATTATTATTGCTTTACAAGATCGCAGAAATGGATTTGACGACAATTACGACGGAAGCTCCGATTGTCGTCGTTCAGTCTCTGAAAAAAGGTGGTGATTCAATGGCTTTGCAAAAAATTTTAAACGAAATTGCCCCGAGTTTTGTGGTTTTGTACACAGCTGATATTTCCACTGTTCGTCAATTGGAGGTAAAAACAAGTAAAAGGAAAACTTGAAACAAGAAAAGAATTTATTTAAAACTAATTTTTCTTTCCTCGTTCAACAGATTTATCAAAATAGAAATGTTTCACTGCATTTGGTGGTTTATTTCTTGATTTACGGCGGATCAGTTGAAGAACAAGCGTATCTCACGTCATTGAGAAGAGAGAAGGACGCTTTTGAAAAATTAATCAAATCTAAAACGGTAAGAAATATAGTTTTATTTAAATAATTGCAGTATGTTTACAAAAAAGATTACTTTTTTCTCTTGGTGTTGGAAAAATTGATGAATTTTAATTTTCCTTCTAAAGACGATGGTTGTGCCAGTGGAGCAGGACGGAAAATCCGAGGATTGTTCGGCGTTTCCGTCAACATCGTCGGACGAAACATTGAATACAAGGCAGGGAGGAATCGAAGACGAAAATTCACAAATAGTTCCGAAAATTATCGTTGACATGAGAGAATTTCGAAGTGAATTGCCGGCAATTTTACACAAACGAGGAATTGAAATTGAACCAGTCACGATTGTTGTGAGTATTACTTGAAAATGTATTCTTTTCATTATTATTTACTTTTTATCAGTACAAATACTTATTTCAATAAATTATCCATAAAAGAATTCTTTTTCAATTAATAAACGAAAAGGGGTAAAAATTAAAATTTTACAGGTCGGAGATTATATTTTAACACCGGAAATTTGTGTGGAACGAAAAAGTATTTCGGATTTAATTGGATCCTTAAATTCGGGGAGATTGTATAATCAGGCAATTTCAATGACGCGATATTACGCAAAACCTATGCTTCTAATCGAATTCGATGAAAATAAACCATTTTGCTTTCAGGTAAGTAAATAGATAAAGAAGAAAAGTAAAGAATTAAATTTTGTATTTAAATTATTACGTTTCATTTCACAGGGAAATTATTATGTCAGTAAAGATATGAAGAGCTCGGAAATTACCGCCAAATTACAATTGTTGACGATTCATTTTCCCCGATTAAAATTGGTTTGGTCCCCGAGTCCTAATGCAACTGCTCAACTTTTCGAGGAACTCAAGGTATTCATTTCATTAGAATCTCTCCCCCTAAAAGTAATATGTAATAATTAAGGCAAATTAACGAAAGGAATAAAAAGAAATTCAACTAGATTTTTATTTTCTGTCACTTTTTTCTAGAAAGGAAAAGAAGAGCCGGATGCTGTGAGAGCGGCACAAGTTGGAATTGATTCTGAGGGAGACGAAAGAATTACGGCTGAAAAATATAATTGCAACATTCAAGATTTTGTCGCTAAACTACCGGGTGTTAATACAAAAAATTTACGCCTCATTTTAAATAAAGGACATTCTCTCGATCACCTCATTCAACTAAATTTGGTAAAAAATACTATTTTCTGTTTTTTATTAATTAAAAATTCATTAAATTAAATTCTATTTATTCAAATAGTTTTGCGGTTACTTATATTTGTATAGTTATTATTCTTAATTATTTATTTTTTTATGTATCACTATTTTTCTTGTTTTATTAGGACGAATTGGTCGAATTGGTGGGAAATAAAAATGATGCGCAATTACTTTACCGAGCACTGCACGAAAAATTTAAATCCGAAGCACAACCGTCAACGAGTTCGGGTCTTAAAAAATTTTCAAAAGTCAAAAATCGAGGATTGTTCTTCAAAAGTAAGTAGAAAGGAATTAAGAAATAAAAAGATTCTGTACAAATTCGATCTCGTATTTTAGTAAAATGTTCTTTTTTGTCAATTATGTAAAAAGTAGAATACTGATAATTTATTGTTTATAAAAAAGAAAGAAAACTAGTAATTAGTCGATTAAATAAAGTATTTGTTTGTAAAATAGGAAGAGATTTTTCATTATTTCCGAAAAAATCCAAAATTTATCTAAAATATTAGTTTAAAAATCATTTTTTTACACAAATATGTAAAAATTGATGATTCTAACATTTTCTTGTTACACAAAAATTATTTTTCTCCTATTCTTTTTTGTCTGTACATTTTAATAAAAACTAATGTAATTAAACGTAAATTAAAAAAAAACATTTTTCGAAAATAAAAACGATTATCGAAAATTTTAAGATATTATTTATATTTGTATTCTTCAGTAGAGATATTATTTATTTATAAATTAAAAATCTTTTTCGTAACTATTGACAAATTTCCGAAGACGAATCCTCATCTTCATTGCAATTCGAATCCAAATTGTACAAAAACGAATCGTTCTCGTACATTGGAAAATAAAATCTGAAATCACAAAATAAATAAATATTAGAATCATTGTTTTGTTCAGAAAACTATGTTTAATTAAGCTTTTTAAAAACATGAATTACTTTATTTTAAATCTAAATTAATTTTATAAAGAATTACAAATTAAAAGGAAAAACTTACTCGGGTTGATCCCAAATCTCTTTTGCGGGCAATTTATAATGATTTTCCCGTGTTATGTGCTCAGTGAGTTGTTCAAAATGGCCATCGCAAAAAATACATCTTTTCACGTGCATCTGTTTGCGTGCGTAATTGACAATTTTCACTCTTTGATAGAAATTATAATTGCGCGTTATTAAATCAAAATCAAAGCCGTGATCTTCCTTCATGTGATGTAAAATATCGTTAAAGTCATTTTTAATTGTTTGGCAAAATAAACAATTAACATCGACATTCTCGCTATTCCAATCGGACCAATTTTCCTCCTCATTGTCACTACTAAATCCGCTCGGGTCTTCCGTTTCTTCAATCTGCGACTAATTTTTTATTTTCTTCATTTCTCTTACTTTTTATTTTTTGTACCTATTACAAATTTTAAGAAAGAAAATAATAAACTCACCTGTTTTTCTCTCCAAGTGCAATTTGGCTCCAAGTAATTATTAATGTAAAATTTATCGTACGATTTATTATTGGGATTTATTCGTTTGTGTAATTTTTTCCTCATATGTTCCTTCAGAACGGCACGATCCTTGAATTCTTTTTCACAATAAATGCAAATTAAACTGAGAAAAGAAATATTAAATTAAAATTTTTTCATATCAGCTTCTCTACATTAGAAATTAAAGAAAAACGTTTAAACAAAAAAATTAAAAAGAATAAATTAAGAAATATTATAGATTTTTTCCATTTAAAACAATATTCAGAAATAAAAAGAAAAACGGAAGGAAAACTACCTTTCGATTTTATTTTCAATTTGATCTAAAAGTTGATCGATTAGCACTAAATTTTCTGTTTTTCCAAGTTGAATATTGTGCTTTTCGGATAAATGTTTAACATATAATATACGAGATTCGGAAAATTCAGTGCGACAAAACATGCAACCTCTTTGGAAACTTTTATCACTTCTCTCTCGTAATTGCTCCTCAAGAATCCATTCCTTTAATTATAATTAACTGATTAATTATACATACTTATTAACGTAATAATACAAATTTAAAATACTTATAAGGAAAAATAAACAAAAAATTACAAACAGAATAAAAGAAATTAAAAGAAAGAAAGAAAGGGAAATTGGAAAGAACAAAAAAGTTTAATATAAAAAAACATGGAAATATAAATAAATACATAAATAAAAATCAACGTGTACCAATTTTTCTCGTCTCAATTCACTACGAAGCGTTTTATCCTCAGCAATACAATCCGAGAGTAAAAAATAATTTTCATTTTTACTCGCTTTTCCATCTGGCGTACAGTCGCCTAAAAATGTTGTACAAAATTTCGTTAATGGTTCATCGCGAAATTTCACTCGCCAATAGTTGACATAACTGAAAAGAAAATACAATTTTTATATATAAGCGTTTTGGAAAAAAATAGAAAAATACTTGTTTCGTTTATTCTAAAAATGTAAATTTAATATTTTAATTACCTTTTGAGGCTGGCAATTTTATTTACATCGCCAATTACTAATCGATGTTCAGTAAAAATATGAGTGAGAAAATCTTTTTCATTTGTAGGTAAAATAAAAATATTTTCGCACAATAAACATCTTGTATCTTTCGGGTTATCGTCCAACTCAACAAATTGTGATTTTAACTTAGTTTTCTTATTTTCTGTATTTACTGAAATTACATATAAGAAATAATTAATAAACTAATTATATAATTTACATATACACAAAAAAAACAAAATCAAATTTTGAGGTTATGAAAAATTAATTTGTTAATTTAACATTTTTCTCTCTTTTCTTGAATTTAAATTCAAATTAATTTCAAAGTCACATTATAATTTTGACATAGTTCAATATTAAATTTAAAAAATGGTTAGAAATTCGTGATTTACACAAAAACCAAATAAAGGGGATTTTTCAAAATAAAAAACAATTTTTCTTTTACCATTTTCTGTCATTTTCCAATATTCCAAAAATATAGTATCGTTATTTGATACAAATTTGTACAATTTAAACAAATAACATAATTTATAATCGCATTTTTATAAATAACACAACAATAACAAAAAATTATATCTATACTTGTCAAAAATAGCAGACGACAAATTCTGCGCTACCAAACTGAAAATACGAAATGAAAATTTAATACAAAGTTATATTAACTAGGTATATTAATGTTAAAAAAATTAAAAATTTTCAATGAAAAAAGCGATTTTTTAATTTACAGAACAGTATTAAAGTAATTAAATAATAATTAATAAAATATGAACAATATTCAGTCAAAATATTTTTATTATGCATCAATAATAAAACATTCCAAGTCTTTTATCAAAAGATAAAAATCTTCGTAACAGTCTTAGTTTAAATATATAATTCTGAAATTTATTCACTATTTACATAAGTAACAGTATCAGGAAATATTTTTAATATTTTTTCTTTCAACTTTTTTCAAAATTATTAACACTTGTATTTAAATTACCCGCCTTTTGACATTTTAACATGTTTGGCACACCTGAACTATTCGCTCTAAAGCCAACTTCAACTTGTGACTTACTTCAAGTTTAATTTTTAATACTTTGCATTCTTTGCATATTTGTCTTATACAATTGTTTTTAAGTTATAAAGTCGAATAAGTATTTCTTGAAAAATCGTCTACTGTGTTAAAAAACATTCGAAACAAACAAATAAAATTCCAACAAAATCCAGTATCAGTTAAAATAAAAAATATTACGTGAAAAACAGTGAAAACGCAATTTTAAGGTTATGTTGCACCCGGTTTCATTGACTCACACTTGTTTTTTCTTATTATTATTAGAGTTGAAAAATAATTGAAATAGCATTAAAATATGACAGAAGTGTAATGCCAAACTACTGGAAACTGTACTTGGATATGTATTCCAACATAATTCGATAACACCGAGAATTGCAAACTTCGTAACACTTGAGAAATTTGTGCACCAAATTAAGTAAGGTAATGTATGATAATACCAAACATAAAATTGATAATGCAACGAGCGGCTAAATGCAATACCAATAAAATTAGCCGTAAAAAATGGCAAAACAAATAATTGTCCCAAACTTTGTGTATCAAATTTTTCCGTTTTACTCAATTGTGAATTGACGTCATAGTCAATTTTTTTCAATTTCGCGTAAGATTTTAAATAAACGATCCACGACGGTGCAAAGACGATTAAAGTTAAAATATGCATTATCAACAATGTGAAATGAAAGTATTTATCGAGGAAAAATTCCTCCGGTAAGAAGCGCCAATTAACCGTCCACTGAAATTGGAAAACCCTCGCGAAATCAAATGCACCGATTAAATAAGCAAGGGGGTTTTGCAACAAAAATGGCAGAGCCAATAACACTTGTATCACTGCACAAACAGTTAAATGCAAAATTGTTCGCAGTGGCCCCAAATTAACTAAATAAGCAATCAAAAGTGCCGGAGAAAATAACAGAATGTTCATTTTCACCGAAACAGCGAGACTGTAGAGCACACTCCCGAACAACCATTTCTCATCCATAAATGCATTGAGACTCGCGAACAAGAGAATCACTGCAATCGGATCATTAAACAAACGGAGGACAAATATCGAGTGTATTCTGTACGAGGTGCAACATATCAAAAGCAATGCGTAGGGGGGAATTTTCTTTGTCCTCGCGTAAATTCGAAAGACGAGGGCCAATTGAATTAAGTAGAGTGCGGCGAATAAATATTGAGCGAGTTTCACGTTAGTTCCATTTGAGGTTATGTAGTAGAGTGCGGAGAAGATGTAGACAAATCCAGCTGGGTAGACGAGCGGTCCAGTGTCCCCTTTAAGCATTGAATAGTCCCGCGTTCCATTCAAAAAACCCTCCACCTCCTGCATATATGCACGCCAGTCGATTTCCGTATATTTCACTCGTTCAATTATGAAAATATTGAGGAATATCTCGACAATGAGAAATAATATTGCCGGCAGGTATAGCTGTCGTGGATCGGTTGCCAGTGTTTTTATTTCACTCCATTTCGTTAGTTTTCTCACATAACTGAAGAATTTCGGATTATTTTTTGATGTTTTGAGGTTGGAACGATTTTCCCTTCGCGGTGGCATTTTTGGTATTTTTCACCTTTTCACAAAAGTATTTTGGGCATTTACTTCAATTATTGACATTGACACCGATCACCGAGAAAATAATTATGCGAACTGTCCGGGGGTTATTCTTTTACTGACAGCAATTGTGGAAGCACCTTTAGAGTTTAGGCTGAGTCCACAATAGATCAATTTTGAGACCAAAGTTAAGGTTGAGTCCACAAATCAAGGAACACGGCATTGAAAAGAAAAGGACGCAGACAGCTTCTGTCATTTTCTTTTTCATGCGAGGCAAAGAAAAAGAACTACTCCAGGGTTGGGTTGCGTATAAGAATTTCCCCGAATTCTCCCGCTCCGTGGTTTTGAAAAGTGGGAGATGAGCCAATCAATGAGTGAAATGTCATTGCATTTTGAGACGCGTTCAAGCGAATGGAATTGACCAATGAAATGTCGCCAGCTGGGATTCCGGGATTTTGACAGGCAACGTGTATAAAGTCAGTAATTTTTGTGAAACACCCATCAAAAACAGAGTGTGAAACTTAATGTGAATAACGTTGTGAATTGAATAATACATTATTGTTTCTTTAAATAAAAGTAATAAATTAGTTGTAGTAATATAATTAATTTAAATCATTCACAAAAGGTAAGTGCGATTATATTATTAAAGAAATATATAAATATTCTTTTCTTTACATTCTCTATGTTATCTTTTTTATTTTGTATACGTAAACAAATTGAAAATATATAATTATTCTCGTTGAGCTCCCTTAAAGTATTTTTTAATTTTTATTATTTTGAGTTTGTGTTTTATTTCGATGGTTTTTTTTAATCGTTTATTTTAACTTTTCGGGAAATAACCTCAAAATTTGCGGGAATTTTCAATTTACTTTTTTAACTATAAAATAAGAGGAAAACAATACAAAAAAAGAGAGAATCGAAAGCGAAAATTTTTGTTTTACTAGAAAAATTGTTATTAATGTTACTTTTTTTCAAATCTAGAAAAATGAAGTATCTTTTACTGGCAGTTGCAGTTTTTGCTGCATTTGAGACGATTTCGGCTTTAAAAGAAGGAGAATGTGAAGGTAAATTGAAGCAATTCTTTCTATTCATTTATTGTAAAAATTCAAAGTCTACTCTTAAATAAAAACTTTTCCTTTCTTTGTAGTTTGTGTGGCGACTGTAAATAAATTTGTTGCAACTTTAAACGATGAGGATAAGAAAGCGCCGAAAACAATTGAGGAAAAATTCAAAAAATACTGCAAAACATCGAAATCTAAGGAACATCGATTTGTAAGTTCAAAAAATTACGAAACTAAAAATAGGGTGTCTACTAACCGGGAAATTCGAGAAATAATTGAGAATTTTATTAGACCGGGAATAAGCCAGGAATTTTATGCCAAACCGGGAATTTTTTCAGCAAATTAAAAAAAAATTCTACGCAAACATTTAATTATTTTCATAAATAATAACATTCTTTGGAAGAATTCAATTACTTTTAGGTATAAATAGTAAAATTCTTTGCTGAAATTCAATTAGTGTCAATACATATTTTAAAAAATTGAATTAATTACATTTTCAATTTGATAAGAAAAAAACCGAGAAAAATGAAGACAAAGCCGGGAAAAAACCAGGAATTTTGTTGAACGAAAATAGTAGACACACTGTAAAAAAATAATAAAGAAAAATATAAATGAATTGAATTACATGTTAATAATATTGAAAAGAAAATAATCGAAAATAAATTTTTTTAGTGTTATTACCTCGGCGGCTTGGAAGAATCGGCTACAGGAATTTTGGGCGAATTGAGTAAACCAATTTCATGGTCTATGCCAGCAGACAAAATTTGTGAAAAGTTGAAAAAGAAAGATTCACAAATTTGCGACTTGAGATTTGGTAAGAAAATTTCAATTCCAATTTTTCAAAACATTTCAATTTAATTGGTTTTTAAAATAATTTTTTATATTTATAAACCTGAAAATATTCAAGAAAAACAGAATAATGTTTATATTCAACCTGATAATTAATAATTTTCCAGTTGTATGTGAATTTAATTTTCTATGTCATTTGCAGAGAAGCAAATTGACTTGAACACTGTGGACTTGAAGAAATTGAAGGTACGCGATTTGAAGAAGATTCTAAACGATTGGGACGAGACGTGCGACGGATGCCTCGAGAAATCCGATTACATTCATCGAATCGAAGAACTCAAACCGCAGTATTCGACTCAACAGAAAACTGAACTTTGAACAGAATATTAAAAACTGTTTTAGACGGAAAAGCAAAAGTATATGTTTAAAAAAAGAAATCACTCCAAGTTCATTAAAATAATTTCTGATCTCGCGAATCGAGATATGAAATTGAAAAGAACTTGTGTGCAAATAATTATTATCAATTTCAAACAATTAACTAATTAATTAATGTTTCGAGATTAATAAATTATTAATTTCATTAATAAATTATTAAAACATTCTTAATGATAATAATTAATTATTGATTGATAATTGATGATTTTTCAGTGATTTATTAGTGAATAATTGATTAATTCAACGTGGACAATTAATAATTGATTATTTCAATTATTAATTGAAATTTTTTCTCAATTTTGTACATAACGTTTTCAATTTTGGACTGAGTACATTTTCCTCTTTATTTTGTTAATTTACTGTTTATGATTTGTTTGTTTGTTTGTTTTACACTTAATCGACTTTATTGCGGAAGAAAAATATTTTGAATTATTCATTTCCATATTTTTCTTTAGCAAAATGTGAACAATTTCCTATAAAAGTTTTCCAATTAAATAAAAATTCATTTTTTTCATTAAAGGAATAAAAAATTCATTTTTCAAAAAGGGAAATTGTAATTTTTTATCATATTTTCGTATTCAATTTAAAAAATGAAAAAAACCTCAATGTTTAAATTAATTTTTAGTTTAATTGAAATTTTTGAAAAAAGTATAAATTTACATTTTTCTGTACAATAAAAGAAAAGAAAATATTGAAGTGTAAAAAAAGTTTAAAAGAATTGTTGTGAATTGTTCTTCCGTAGCATGATTTTTTTGCAGTTTTTATTGTGTAGTTTTCTCTTTCCTTTCTAGATTTAAGTAGTAATAAAGAAATAAAAATAAATAAATGATGCTCATAACAATTTTTTTTACTTTTTTTTCTCGCAAATTTTACGAGACATATTTTTAAACGGTTTTTGCATTTTTTGTTCGAATCGTTTCATTAAATGTATTTATATAGTTAGAAGAAATGTGTAATGCTCCATTTTGTGGCAACAAAAAAAGATGCACAAAACGGAGCAAATTTGTAATATACGAGTGTATTTATGCCAAAATCTAGATTGTTACAAATAATTGCAGAATAGGTAAAAAAAAAATAACTAATAATAATATTAATAATTTTAATGGTAATTGTAAGCAATCACTGTGAGACACTCTCCTGTTATCATCGACGAATTTTATTGTTAATGAAATCGCCTCGTGAAAAGCAGGATTCAATAATTTTATCGAAACTGTTTTTTAAATAAAAATTTATTCTTCTTTTCGTATTTTTAGTGTTGTTTTTATAAATCTACCCTTGTGCGTTTCTTTATTTATTTTTTTACGATGTTTAATTTTTAACAATGAATTCACAAAAAACCGAAATATTTTAATTTTTGTTCGCTTTTTATTTTTTGAAAGACTGTATATTTCTTTATGGCACAAAATATTTAATACTACATATAAATTATAAATACAATATTATTTATTATATAAAAGTACTTAAAAATATTTTTAATTTTTATTCTTAATTTCATTCTCTTTATGTTTGTATTATAATTTTAAGGATAAAAATATAACTTTGTATTCTTTATAAAATTCGTAAAATTCATAAATATGAAAAACTATTTTTATTTTTACATTTATGTGAAATTTTTTAAAGAAGGTTTCTCTATTCGTGACATTTAACTAACTTGCTCCAATTTCCGTCACTTTTACAAATAATTTTAGCGCTTCTTCCCCCATTCTTACAAGTGACAATTAACTGATCTTCAAAAAAATATGAATTCCCCTTAATTGTCAGTTGATCAGAAAATGTAGGTGGTCCACAAAAAATTTCTGAAAAACGCATTTTATTTTTTTGGATTGTAACTTTAAAAATACATTTTAAAAATTTAAAACTTACTGCCACATTTTCCTCGAATTCTTGACCATTTTGCATTAGAGAGACATCGTATTATTCCTTGTCCATAAATTCGATAACCAGGAATGCATTGATAAATTAACATATTTCCGAAAATGTATTTAGTCGGTTTGTAGTTTGCGTACTTTAATTCGGCATGAGGTGGTAGAGTTGGATTCTCACAGATAATAGCTGTGAAAAAGAGAATTCTATGTTAGAATAGAATAGAATATAATTAACGTTGGCCCATACTGGCGTTGCGCCTGTATATTTGGCCATGACCTGGTGTGTGAATGAGGTTTATAGAATTCTATGTTTATATTACTTTTTTCTCTGCGCAAGCGCCGGAGTGGGGACAATGAAAGTGAGAGAGATAGACGGAGGTTTCTCTCCTTCTTACTCTCACGTCCCCGCTCTGACGTTCCGAGAAGGAAGTTCCCCCTCTCCTAACAAAGTCTACGACTACATAAGTTGACTGCGCACATTAGCAGCAGCGTCAGTCTTGCGTTTAAGTCTGCCAGCTAATGGTTATACTTTGCTCAATACCAACTGTTTGCAAAAATGCTTTTGAACAATTTTTTAGCTCGGTTCTTTACTGAGCGCGTCGCAAATGTGAATTCTATTTTTCTTACATTGACATTTCGGAACATTCGACCAAGAACCATTGAACAGGCATTTTGAATATTGTACACCATCGATAAAAAATCCCTGACGACATTTAAAGTGCAAAATATCATCGATATAGAAAGTTTTATTAAATTCTTCTCTGTCATCATTGACGATATAAGAATTGTCTGAAATCTGAAAAAGAAAATTTATTTTAACTACTAGAGGCAGAGTGGGGGAAAATAGAAAACTTACCTTCGGTCTCGTGCATTTGACGGTCTCACATATTTCCCCCCCTTTCTCAAAAAGTGAATCTAAAATTTTACTTTCTTGGATCATTTCCCGATTCTCGAAATTCCAAATTCCATCTTCACTGCATTTCCATTGAATTTCGAGAAATCTCCTATTTTCAATTTGGAAAATTGTTTGATTGTGGCAGGAGAAAATTATTCTATCATCATAAAAATTTCCTTCGAATCGAACAAGAAAATTCCCAAAAATGTGGCTAATATCTCGTTTTTCTTGCCAAACTTGTTCACTTTTTCCGAAAAATTTATCAAAAACTGGCAAAATTGGTGATATTTTAAGGGGACATTTTTGTATTTGACAAAAACTTAAATCGTTCGTCCATGTTTCGTTAAGTGTACAAATACCCGAATTATTTCCATTTATTCTAAAACCACTTTGACATTCTATTGAAATTCGAGTACCGGGACTAAGGGAACTTTCAATATCGTGAATTTTTTCCAATACAGAGGAATTTGTGTGTTTGTCATCGATTTCGATAGTTGTCTTGTTTGTCAACTGAAGTAGAATCCTGCCATTTATTGGCAATTTTGGCAATGGACATTTCCGGGGCACGCAATTTGGCACAAAACCCATCCATCTACTCGAACTGGTGCATTGAAGACGAAACTCCGCAACGAGGTTGTGATTCCCTTGAAATTTAAAACCGGGCATACAAGAAATTCCCACGATGTCATTGTTGAAAAATACCGTGTCATTTTTATCTCTTAAATTGTTTTCTGAGTCCGAAATGACTGTCGCAATGTATCCATTATTAATTCTGAAAAAGAAAATACCTTCGACATTGTATAGATTGTTTTTAAAAATGATTTTTAAAAAATTTGTCAAGTTACGTTTTTGGAAGTGGACAACCAAAACTTAGGCACTTAGGAATCTCGTAATCCCAAAGTCCACTTTCTAGACAGGTCAAAATATTTTCACCATGCAGTCGAAAGCCGGAATTACATTTGAATTCTAATTGTTGTCCAACCTGGAATAAAATATTTAGAGTACATTCTTCTAACTGGGGAAAAACTGTTTTCTCGAAGGGAAAAGCATTACCTGCAATAGTGTTGTGTCGTTTGTTTCATGCTCTTCAATTATGTATTCGATATCACCGTTTTCTGGGGCCAAGAGATTCTTGCAGGTGATGCCTTGGAAAAATTAAAGTTTTAATATTTTAGTACTAGCAGGAAAGAAAAGGATACAAATTTTTTCTATAATTACCGACGCAAAACGGTTGTTGTCCACTCCATTCTCCATTGGAATTACAAATTCGATGGACATTACCCTTGAGTTCGTAACCCTCGTTACAGAAATAATTAATTTCGTCACCGAAAAGATAAGATCGTCCTCGTATGTGTCCTCGTGGAAAATAACCCGGAAAGCCACATTTGACTCCTTAAATATAATTCAGAAAAAGAAAGAAACGATTTATATTTGTGATAGATCATCTAATTGGATATTTATCTATTCTGGTAAAGAGAGGATAGGGGAATACTAACTACCGCAAATTGGTGTATAGTGACCTTCCCATTCACCTTGCAGAAGACACTTCCTTTTCAAAACTTTCATTTCTTGTCGTCCGACTTTTACAAGATATCCCTCATCACACGTGTAGGTTGCTTCCAATTTTTCACTAATACTTACGTTTCCCTTGGAAGGTGCCATCAATTCGGGACAACCCTTGCAAAACTCACTCTGCAAAATCCTAATATTGCCGTGAATATTCTCTCTCATTTTTGCCCATGCATATAAATTTCCAAAATAATTTTTACAAGTTTCACCAAAATTTTCAATTGCCTCTCTCTCCAAAACCGTGTCCCACAAATTAAGATGTGCTATTTTTCCAATAAATGATTCCGATTCGGACAATTGCCCACCAATTTTATCTTGTTCTTGACCAACGATCAAAATTCCGTCTCCTTTTTTTCGTATGTAAAAATTGTGGAAAATGTTCATATATTTCAAACAATTTGAAAACCAGTAGTACTACTGGCAATAACTTGAAAATACAATACCTTTAATTAGAGTCCCATTGGATAGTGATGTACCATTGGTAAAAAGTTTACCATCAAGATAAGCATTCCATTGGCCATTGCTTCCCTGCCAAGTGAAACACAAAAAGTGCCAATAACCATCGTTTGCTGTTATATCCGTGATTACTTTTTGTCCATTGATGTAGAAGACAAAACTGTAAACAAATTGTTCTTTATGTCCTTTGTTATTTAAGAAAGTGCATTCACTATAATGGTACAATTACGACTGTAACAATTAGCATTGTAATTTACTCACCCATTGTAATCAGTAAGTGTGACAGCATTGTCATAGATCTGATTTGCATAAGACAAGACTGTTCCGTAATTAAATTTATCCAAAGATTGAATCCAGAGACACACACTCAACTAGTGAAAAAAACTTATTTTTAGTTTCGTATCGGTTGTGCCCCTTACAAATTTTTACATTTATTAATTACCTCGGACAAATCTTCTTTCAAATTTGTCCATTTAACATAATCAGTCGTTCCGGATTTTGTAAATTGCATCACATAATTTAATGAGAGTTCTGTAAGGAAAATTAGATAAATTACGACAGTTGACGACAGTTTCGAAGAAAGAAACATTCCTGTAACCTACCAACAGTTTTATTTGTTTTTCAATTTCTCCTACTTACCATTTTCACAATTGGGACCCGTAAAAATTTGAGGACACTGACAGGTGTAATTTAGAGGAGTACTAATGCACTTGCCACCATTTTTACATGGCATTTGGTTACAATAATTTATTCTTGTTAGACAATCTTTGCCAGTGTATCCATCGGGACATTCGCATCTGGAAAAAGAATATTAAAGTTTAGTGTGCTAGAATGATTTGTAAATTTAAGCTTCTGCGGTTGGGGGTGATGATGAGGATCTACCAAACAGTTTTTCATTTATTGACTGCAGAAAAGAAACATATCAAGTTTTTTTGTGAATCACTGATTGAATTCCAGGGCCAAGAATTTATCAGAAACACCAATTGAAGATTTAGGCCCAATAAGATGTTTTCTGCTTTGTTTTAAGTACATAGTCTCGAATCATGATCTGGGTTCCCCATCAGTCTGCTTCTTTTAGAACTTAACAAATCTTTGATAATGATATTGTAAACATCATCTTTATTGTAGGTTCCCCGAAAAACCACTTTTATTCGTAGATATTCCCTTGCTTTTTGTTTTAATTCGAGATCTCCGTATGATCTATTTTGTAAATTAGAATAATAGAAGACATAACTTCATTTACCTGTAACTTTTAGGATTAGCTCGAGGCTCTACGATATTCTCGCAAACTGAGTTTTGCAAACATGGCGCCCAATCACATGGCAATAAATTACAATATCGACCTAAATATCCTGGTTTGCATAAACATCGCCATGTTTTATTGCTACTAATGCAAGTTGAACCCTCTTCACAAGGTGAGAGTTCACAGTAATTTGATTCTATTTCACAAAATTCACCTGCAATGTCATAAAAGGAAGAATAATATAGAAATACAGTTAATGCGTCGAAAAAGAAACAAAAGTTCTAACCTTCGAACCCGTGTCGACAATCGCAATGAAAATCCAGGTCAGAGCTTTTGCAAGTTCCTCCATTTTTACATGGATTTTGTGCACATTCATCAATGTAAAACTGAAATATAAAAAAATTTACAGTGCTTTAGTAAAAGAGATTTTCAAAGCATGCACAGTACTACAATCTTCATTTTTCATATCCACTAAATACAAACTTGACAGTTTTTTCCCGCATATCCAGTTTTGCATTTGCATACATATTCATAATCAATTTTAGTTTGATTTTGTAAAATGCAACTCCCATTTTGCAAACACGGCGAAGAACTGCAAGGATCTTTAAATGTTTCACATCTGGAGCCTAAAGTAACAAAATAGAAAGGAGATATTATTCTAGAATTAGAAAACACGGTTTTTGTTGTTTTCTTACCAATAAAATATTTTGGACAATCACAGCTAAAATCGTTCACTTCTCGCTGACAAGTGCCTCCATTTTGACATAAATTAAAATCACATGGATTATGCATTATAGGCATACAACTATCTTGACTTTTGGAGCCCCGATGAACAGTTGTGAAATTTTCGGGACATTTTTTACAAACACTTTGACCATAGTTCGATTGAAAGAAGCCAATTTCGCAAGAAGTGCAAGGGGCGAGTCCTAATTTTTTATATTTTTTTCTATGAGAATAGTAACCCGGTTGACAAAGTGCTGAAAACAAAAGTCACTTTAATTATTTATAATTACAAATTAATATTTTAAATTTTGTATTAAAAGAAGAGAAGAAAAATGTAGTATTTTGAAAAATTAAACTCTTGTTTTACGTTTACAATCCTTTAGAGATTTGCCACGAATTTTCCAAGTTGTAGTAAAATTAGGACACTTTTTGCATTCGATTGAACCGATCGAATCCTGATAATCTCCAATTTTGCACGATTGACAGTAATTTTTTATTAAATTGTGAAAAGTCCCTGCAGGACATTTTACTGTAGAACAGAAAAACGAATTACTTATTTGGATAATTCGACATTTATGCAAATTAATAAAACTGTATTGTAATTATTAAAGAAAATTAATTTTTATTTTAAAAATATACTAACCACAATCGTATGTTCTCATAATACTACCAGGTTCACAAATATTTAACGTTTCCTTAAACATTGTGTGATAATTTAATGATAAATTTTCAATCGTTTGCTTTGTTTCTTTATTAAATAAATTTGATTCCGATAGCTTTTGTAACTTTTCTTGTATTTTTGCTGTCCCTTGATTAGAATTTGTTCCATGATTGTCTGCATTTTTTCCTTAAAATTATACAATATCAATTTTTATTTTTATTATATAGGTAAAAATCATAAATATATAAAATAACAGAATAGTTAGAAATAAAATAAATTAAGTACCTATAAATTTAAATTTAATTACAAGCCTCTCTTTCCTATGTTGTAAACTATTAATTTCTGTTTCACTATCATTTGTCTCTTGTAAATTTTGTACTACTTTAAATTTTTGTGTTTTGGAAATAAATCTTTTCGTTCGATTTAAAATAATCGATTGATTCGTATTATCGGAAATTTCTGTTTCACATTTTGGTTCAATTTTAACTAAAGTACAGTCAATTTCATTTCCACACACTTCCAATAATTTTGAGGTCAAATCCTTGTTTATACTTTCAGTCAACTAAAAAGTAATTGAGTAGAATTATTCTATTTATTTTGTCCTATGAAATTAACTATTTTTGAAAAATATTTCCATTCATTCTCACTTACATTTTCTAATAATGAAGAGTTGTCACAAATTTGTCCTTCAAAAATTGCGACAGCATCCTGAGAGATTGATTGTGGTATTTGTGTGACTAAAATAGAAATTACGAAAATCAAAACACAAAAAGTATTTAATTTAGTAATAAAGTAAATGAATATAAAAATATTTTAGGTTTTTCAAAAATAAGAGAATAATCAAACCTGAACAATCGGGCAAAAAACTGTAATTCCAAGAATGACTCACAAAATTGCATGTGAGAATTAAATTTTCTTCCGATTGAAAAGAATCTATCGAATCGAATACAAAAGCATATCCTTTGTCGCAAGTAATTACACAGTGAACTTGACCGTTTTTATCTTCGTCATGACATTTTGAAAATGCATTTGAAGGCGTTGGTACATCTTGACAAGAATCTGTTAAATAAACATATTTTTCCTTTTTACTTTGTTATCAATTAATATCAAATTAAATTAAATATGTACTTATTTTTTTAATTATTATTTCAACAATAAATATTATTTATTATAAATTATAGATAATAATTATTTTTTATCAAATGGAATGTTGCTTTAACCTTCCACTGTTATGTTAAAACGACAACTTTCGGTGTTTCCAAACTCATCCGTTGCATTATAAGTCACTTTTGTTATTCCTACTGGAAAAGATTCCATTCCAGGAATGTGACTTTTCTCTATTTTTAACTGATATCCGGAATTGTCATAAAAAACTGGCTCATCCCACGTTACATTTCCAGCGCCCATTGCACTTTCTGACAAGAAAACTGGTGGACTTTCACAATTTTCTACAATCGGCGATTCATTATCTACAATGGCAAAATAGAAATTAAAAACTGTATGTAATAATTAAACAATTTACAGGAAAAAGATGAGAAGGGTGGACAGTTGTGCATCAAAAGTTTCCGATTGGTTCGATGCGCAACTACCCAACCCTGATTTCCCCTTCTCTTAACCACTGCAAACAATATTTTTGACGCTGACTTTTATTAAAATCTTTATACTCACCAGTGATATTAACAAACATTTGACACTGAATTTTATTTTCACTATCGTCCTGAGCAAAATATGTAATCGCGTGTGTACCAATTTCTGCTCTCCATGGAAAAACAATGTTCGGTTTGCTCCAAACAAGGGGAACGAGTTCTGAATTGTCGCTGGCAATTGGAATTGTCCAATTAACGAAGGTGAAATTTTTCCCCGGCAGAGAACTGGCTGTTATACTTTCCGGACATGTTAAATTGGGCGGTGTTTTATCTAAAAAATGTATTAACAACAAATTAAAACACTTTCAATTTACGGTTTACCTTTGTTTCGTAAATTAAAAAATAAGTTGTAATTTTTCTTTCGTTAATTAAAAAAAAAGTTACCAAGACATTGATTGTGATTATGACGATTCGACCATATTCCATGACGACCAATACAGGTTCTGTTATGTGGTCCTTGTAATTCATAACCATTTTTACAGTGAATTTTGCAGTTTGTTTCAAATGGAATTCTTTGGGGCCCCAAACAAATTTCCGGAGTTATTAATCCACTTGTAATTGGAGTCAATGGCTGACAATTGATTTCTAAAAACAGATTGAAAGGGAGAACTAGCTAAAAAAAACACTGTTTTATATTAAAAGTAAATAACTTAAAAATAGACTACAAATATTAAACCTACAGAAAATAGGAATTAATTTCTTTTTTACCTTTACAAGAAGTTGGAAGTCCATCCCATCTAGAAAGCGGTAAACAATTGCGAACTTTACTCCCACGAAGTTGAAAACCCTTTTCACATTGAAACTCACATCGAGTGTCAATTGGCTGTGAAGTTGTGAAATTATTTAGCATTCTTTGTTCATTTTGATCATCGTGAGTGCACATCATTTTCCCATGCGATGGGATTTTTAAGGAGGGACAAGTTTTCACTGAAATGGAAGACGAATTTTTTTTGGAAATTGAATTAATTGAATAGACTTTCAGGAAGTGGTCCAGACGAATGCGAACACTCCTAATCTAAAGTCGCCTGCTCTTCCGACACGCAGTAGATTACGGATGGCTGATTCTAGTTCAGGTGTATTTGTAGAAATGATTAAAAATTAATTACAAATTGCTTATACTACTCACCTAGGCATTGAGGTTCTATTCCAGACCATGTGCCATTATTCCGGCACAGTCGAATACTGTCACCAGTTAAATGAAATCCAATTCGACATCTTATTCCACAAGCGGCGTTTACAACATTATTGCATTCGTTTCCCTTCACGAAATATCCATTGTCCGGTGCTTCTAGTTTCGAACACTTGATGACTATAAAAACAAAAGTCAACTATTTTCAACACGTTCTTCATTTGTTATTGTTTGTTATTATTCAGATTCAAGGAAAACTATCAATCAAAATTCCAAATTTTCAAAAAAATGAATTGTAGAAACAAAAAGGCCTTTGACTTTGTCGCTGTGGAAAGAAATATCAAGGAAAATTTAAAAAAGAATGAAATTATCCAAACCAAATGGTTACAACGGTTCGAGTGGATATTGGATGATTACAAGTATTTAACCCTCTTTTTCCAATTCTCGAGAGAATGTTATTTTTTTCAAGTAATTCAATCTGAGTTCCATTATTAAATTAATTTCCGCTACAACAAAAAAAGATTGATGCAGGAACAATTATCAAGTTTGCGAGAAGGAAAGCAAATATTGAAATCAGATGTTGTATCGACAAGGAAGGATAAGAGAACAATTCGACCGTTTCCAGTGACAACAACTGGAGAAGTAATAAAATTTTTCTAAAAACATTTAAAAAGTACGGGTGATAATTAGAAGGATCTCTGTTTCAAATAGTATGGTTGGCTGTCATCAAAACCGGAATTTCGATTGGAAAATCCTCATGACTACGTACTAAAATTTCCGAACCCTATGGATGAGGTGAAATTATTAAGAGGCAACATTCCCGGTCTTGCGCCTGGAGTGGAATTTTATTAGCTGAACCACAAAAAAGAAACTGAGAAACAATGAAATATCTCTTTAGTAATAGAATAGTTTATTTATTATAATTACCTTCACATTTACTACCATTCGCAACGAATCCAGAAGTGCAGACACAGTCCTCCACGTCGATTGCAGGGACTTTTTTTGTAACATGATTAACGTCGGGACAAACATTACATGCAGAAATCCAATCCCCAGGAATAGTTTCGAATCCGTAGGTTCCATTCGGACAGGCTGTAAGTTAAATTTTGTATCATTATCTAATTGGTTTATTTATTTAGTAATGAATAATTATTACGTTGACAAAAGCCTTTTAGCCCCGATCCATAGTATCCCAAAGGACACAAGCAGGCATAATGTCCAGTCGCAGTTCCGCAGCTGCAAGTCGCCAATTCATCACAACAGCTTTCAGTGCCATTTGTTTTTTCCTCGCACAACGAATCACAATCGTCTGCTCCCTTCACTTGCACGTATTTGCCAGCCTTCAAATCTAAAATCATTGGAAATGGTAAAACATCTGATTCCTAAAATTAAGTGACAAAGATTTTTATCTTCTTCAGTACTTTGCTTGGACAAATCTTGGACTTTATAAACCTGGATTTATTATTTACTTCAGGACTTCCATTCCCGACAATACTGTTCATTACCATATCCGCAAACTGAATTTCTAAATTCCTATTATTACCTCTGTGAAGAGCACGACGAGCCAAAGCGTCGAATTCGGAGAAACTATCCAGCAAATAACTGTGCATGTGCCCAGGTTCACTGGCAATGTCGAAAAGTTCCTCCACATTTCCTGTGCCAATGCCGAAAGTAAATATCGTGACTCCAGATTCTTTCAAAAGTTGCGCTGCTGCTCGTGGATCGCCTCCATTGCTGTAGCCGTCAGTTATTAGAAAAACAGCCTTTTTTGTTTCGTTCCTACTCTTCTCAAGAATATCCTATTGGTGATAAAGAAAATCGTTCTTAACATAAAAAGTGCCATTTTTCTACACTCTGCGAATAAATTAGGTATGTTTCTGATTGGTTCGTAAAATTTCCAATAATTATGAGCCAATAGTTAAATATACTGAATTACTGATTCTTTTCTTCTTTTTATTGCTGTATAGAAAGAATAGTTGCAAAGTAACTACGGAAAAATGCTTACCAAAGCTTCCAATAGTGCTCCCATTGTAAAAGTGCCACCGCCTGTGTATTTAATGTTTCCCAATTGTTTACCCAATAACTGACATTTTTGACTATTTGGTTCATTTTCAGAAATTTGATCAACATTGCGATGGACGTTTTTTCTACCGGCAAAAGTGACAATCGCCACTCTGGTACCCGATGGTTCAACGGTGAAGTCTGACAATAATTTTTTCACGAAATTTAATTCACTTTTAAAGTTTTCCAATCCCACTGAAGAGGAAGCGTCCACGAGAAATACAAGGTCCACCTTTAAATTGGGTATGTTTTATATTATCATTATTACTTCGCGCAAAACGCTAACGCAGTATGGAACATCTTTCGCTAAAATGAAGTATGAGAGAGAAAAGAATACAAATATATTTTTGGTCTCTTCTTTTTCATGCTCTACTTGAGATAGCAACATAATCTATAAGTAATTGGTTTTGAAAGTAACTTGTATAATTTTTTAGATTAAAAAGGTTATTTTGCAGTTCTTAAAAGACATACATATAAGGAAATAAAAGAGTAAAGAGTATCCTTTAAAATTGTTACAGTTTAAAAAACATAATTAAATTTTGTACAATATATAAGAATTTTACTTAAAGTATAACGGAATTTTATGGCTTTTCCTTTATATATTAGGTATTGTAATAGAAAATTTTGTTGTTACATTTTTTTAAATGTAGGTACATAGAGTACATTTAAAATATTTTTATATAAATTCTTTTGAATCAGTTTGTAACTTTTCTTTAATTTCATTTGATATGAAGGAGTAAAATTTGGAAATTACGTACCTGCTCCAAATTTGTTCGCAATTGATCGACGTAATTTTTTAAAATTTCTGCTAGAAAATTGATTTTTCTTTGAAAATGTTTCTCGGGATTCATTGATAACTGATATCGTTGATTATCCTTTGTACTATTGTCACCATAATTGAGAAATATTACTTTTTCATTATCAATTGTTTCGTGGAAAAGCTGATGATTAGAAGTATTTTCAATTTTATCAATATTCAACAATAAAAAAATGATTAATGCCCGTATGTATTTTCCCATTTTCTCTACTCATACGCAATTAGCACTAATTCACAAAGAATAATAAATAAATTTATTACTATTTATTATTTTTAAGTTTTTGAATATTATTTATTTTCATTGTTTTCTTAAGTTAATTTGTATTTATCAATTAATTTTTTATTGATTACTATTCTTCTTTTATTATTTATTGTAATTACTTTTGCATTATTTATATTTTATTGGTTATTTATCACTTAATAATGAGCCTAAAAGACTTGTGTCTTTTTATTTATTATTATTACAATAGTGGTAACTTTAATTTGTTTTTAAAATTCTTATTCAGTTTAATATTAATTATATTTTAGACACTGATATTTAAATTTTTTTATTTATTTTCTCATAAAGTAAAACTGATGATAATATGGGAAACGAGTTTATTTTCGTTGCATTAGTGAGTAACACTTTTCGAGAACTATTCTCGTCAATAAGAAGCTTCTGTCAATTTCAGACAAGATATATTTCTAAATGCCTGTGCTTGATACAAGTGAAAAAAATCTAGAGCTTAAAATCTCAACAAAGAGATCTTCTGTTTCCTTCTTTATTGGGAAAATTAAGTCTTTAAGATTTCTCTTCTTCAAGTGTTTTCATTTTCTAATTAATATTGTATTTATTTTTATTAATTTTTTAATTATTACATTTAAGTTAAAAATAAATTGACGCGTATATTAGTAAACATTTACATATATAATTTTTTATTTTACTTATTGAAATAATTTATCTAATGAAATATAAATACATCAAGTGGTAAATTTATTGAAAATTTTAACTTTTTGTGCCAAATTGTCATTCAGTGTTTCGTAAAAATTATTCTGAAAGAAAAATTAAATTAAACAATTTTTAATTATGCATAAATATATAAAAATATTTAGTTTTTGTAAAAGTTTTAAAAAATTAAAATTTTCTTACCATTCGGCTCTTTTTTTTACGACAAACATTATTTTAGCAATGCAAAAGCATAAATCATTTCTTGTCATTTGAACGTGAATTATCTGACTGGGCGCACATTTTAATAAAATCGATAAAAAATGAAAATGTATAAAATCAAAAAATTGCAAATATTTTCAAAAACATTCTTTTGTCTCTTATAGGCGGATTTTTTTTGTAGTTCAACAATTTTTTTCTTCTACTTCAAAATATTCTTATTCTATCCTTAATTTTTTTTTGTTTTATTTATAAAGTATTCCTAACGTTTAAAAAAAAGTAAATTTTTTTAAACAATTAAAAAAAATTTATTTTCGACTTTGTTACAATAAATGTTAGAAAAAGAAAAAACATTAATAGTGTATAATAATTCAGAATATGTAAACATTATTTTTGCAAAATTTCAACGGATATAAATTTTACTGATAAGGCTATCATTATTTTAAACATTTTGAACATAATTATAATAGAATATTTTTAACAAAAAAAGTAATAATTTAAGAATTATTTAAATATAGGTATTAAAGAAAGTAAAAAACGAATAAATTTATTAATTTATTTATTTATTAATAAATTATTTATAAATTTTATTTCTAACAACATTGTCAGTATACTGATTTCTTAAACAAAATATTAAATATCATTTGTACAGAAATTCAATTGGTCAAATTTTAATACAATTAAAATTCCAGTTTTTTGGAACATGGGGATTTTAATTTTAGTGAAATTTGATTAAATAGCAATTAATTCGTTTAAGAGACTATCATTTCTGGAGCGCAGCAAGGTGAAAAGAAACAACGAAGTGTTCTTCCGAGATTCCTTCCTTGATCACATGTTAAGAATTTTCGTGAACAGTATCCTAATTCTTCCTTTACTTGACATGCCTTCTGAGTGGCACCCTCTAAAAAATTATCTCAATTATTTACATACGTCAAATTTTCAATTTAAAAAAAATTAATTTAATATCCAAATTTTATTTTATTTCTTAGTATAATAATTTGACGTAAATTGGTATTGTATTAAAATAATTATACTCAATTTATAGTAAAATTTAAAGTAATATATTATACTAAATTTTTTTAATACCTAAAGCACAAAAATTTATATTAATGTTGACGTACCAATGACATAATGAGTTGATAGTAAGGCGAGGACAACAAAAATCAGTATCGATGAAGTAGATTTCATTTTTTCTTAATTTACAAAAAATGACTAATTTCCCTTTTACTGCTTGTATATTGTTACAAAATTTGAGTTTAAAATGAAGTTTCTTTTACGCTAAGTACAAATTTATATTGTTTAAAACGTAGTGATAATAATATGTTTATAAATCATCAATTTTATCTACACAGGAAACAATTTTAAAAAATATATATTCGATTATTTTATTTTCAATTTCCTTTTGTGTAAATAATTTTTTTATACCTACATTACTATGTAATTTTGTTTGAAAAAAAAAATTGTTAGTTGTAGTAACATTTTCTCTATAGTGGATTTTTTTTGTATAGTAGAAATTACTTTTTTATCAAATAAATGCTATAAGACTTTTTAATAAGTATATATCAATGTAGAGAACTATCTATAGAGGAAAATTTGCTTTAAATTGTGTGGAATATACGTTAAACTTTTGCAATAAGAACATTTTTCTTGGTAATTAAATTAAATTTTAAAAAAAATGTCATTCGTAATTCAATAAGCAACGAAGTATTCTTCCGTGATTTCTTCTAGATTAATTTAATGTCGTATATAATTTTCTTTTTTTTCATTTTTAATTTTATATTTAATTTTATTAATTCTTTATTATGTTTTTCTGACTTGCGTATTTTATTTTATTTTTATTTATTGCAATTTAAATCATTTCTTTTATTATTATTAAATTATTATTATTCAATTCAATTTTTAATTTGGAATTGAATTTGTTTTTTCCTGCAATAAAATTCGGAAGTTTCTAATACTTTAGCAGCTTTTATTAAATTGTTATTGAACTAATACTATTTTTGTAGTTGAATTGTTTTTTTTCTTTGCAGTCTGTTGATTCATTTTTTTTAGACAAATTAAATTTTTTTTCTTGTGGAGAAATTAATTATCAAGAGAGTATTGTTTATTAATTAATTTATTTATCATTGATCGAATGTTGTAATTTTACAATGATACATCATTTGCTATTATTTTTGCTACATTTCTTGTATTTAATTTGGAGTACAACAAGGGCCGAATAAACAATTAAGTGTTCTTCCAAGTCTTTTTCCCTGACGGCAAAATAAGAACGATGATGAACAGAATCCTAGGGTCCCATTAACATGACATGCCGTTAGCGCTGTAACTTCTGAAAATAACAAAACATTTTTTTTTATTTTTAAATTTAATTTAATTTGTCCAACGCCTTCGTGGAAATAGAACTATTGTACGCTAGGCACCAATGGAGGAATGTAGTACATTTCCCCACTGGTGGTGGAATGAGAAATTGATTAATCGATTTTTTATTTTATATTAGAATTAGAACATTTTAGGAACAGAATTTTGAGGACACTCTGGGGATCTTTAGCAGGGACACTTTCAAAACATTCATTTTTGAAAAATTTTTTTCCAAAATTTTTTTTCTATTTTTTTTCTATTTTTAGATTTTTTTCAAAATTTTTTTCAAAATTAGATTTTGTTTCACTCTCAGTTATTGCTATAATATCATTGTAATATTTTGATTTCGATAAATAACGAGTAAAGTCAACTTAAAATTTTGAAAAATTAATAGTTTAAATTTATTATTTATAAAAAAAATTTTTTGCAGTTGTTGGACAAAATAGGTAGTATGTGCAACTTGTGGAGAACAGCGATTTTCGCTCGCTCGATTGCTGCGCGCGCTATGCTTGCGCAGCAAACTTCGAGCTCGCGAGAAATCGCCCTTGTTCTCCACTCGTTGCACAATCTACTATTGTTCTTTATTCTGCTTTTCTGATTTATGTATTTTTTTATTTATTGCAATTCTTAGTTTATTTTGTTGTTACTTTATTTCTAATATAATTTAAATTGAAATTATTTATTTTAAAATTATTTTCATATTTTATTTTTGTTTCTTTTATTGTTACATTATTTTGTCCTTTTTATTTATTTCTAATTCAATGCTATTCAATTAAAAATGTTTACTGTTAATTATTGTCAAATTTTATCATTATTTTATAATTAATCAAATTTTAATAGCATACCTGTCACATAATTAGCAGTAAATATGACGAGAACAAGAAAAACTAGTACAGATGAAGTAAATTTCATTTTGAATGAAAAATTACAAAGCAATAAGTGCTAAAGTTATTTTATTTTATAAAATATTTTTTTGATAGAAAATTTGAATTTAAAATGAAAAATTTAACCTACGAGTACTAATTTATATATAGTGACGAGTACTAATTTATATATAGTGATGATTAACAATCTTATCGCTTCTAATGACAATAGAGGTTAGAATAAAGTGTATTATATTTATTCTTCATTGAACTTGTTTATTTTGTAAATGTTAAAAAACATTTTCTTTATGAGCAATTATCTATGCAGGTAAACTGATTACCATTATTACATGCCTCACTTTATTTTGAACGTCATTCTTTTTAAAAATATACGTTTTGATGTGTTTTTTTAATTTCATGAGGAAAGTGAAAAATCTGCTATTAAATATCGTGGAATCGGTATAGGTATTTTGGGCATTTTCTGGTTGATTCAATATTAAAATTTGTTTTGGAAATTTAGGGAAAAAATAAAGAATACTTCATCCTAAGGATCATGGATTTCCATACGATTCTTAGGATCTAAAGAATTCAAACGATTCTATTATATATTGGATTTTAGGAATCCAAACTCTTCACATTCTAAAGAGATCTGAAGGATCTAAAGTATTCTGACCATTTGAGTTCTAAACTCTTTGGATACCTATAATATTCAGTACAATCTATTTTCTTACAAGCACATACTGTATAGAATAAAAATGAACACAAATAATTTTTGACATAAATTATAAAAATGTACAAACAGATAAAATTAATACAAGAAACCATACAAAACAACAGAAATCAATTATTAAGATCGATTAAATATTTAAAAAGTTTTGATTTAAAAATACCAATTCTATCCGCTCTAGTTATCAAACATGGAAGAGAATTCCACAGATCCGCAGCAGTAACAAAAGATGAATTTTTATATTTATTGTTCAGTTCGACAAAGAGGTATCCTAAGTACATTAGGACCCCTTAGTTCTCTAGAGGTAACTGGTAACCTCACTTCTGAATGTAAATTTATCAAATAAATAAAGAGGCCTAAAGAACCACATAAGTTAAGCATCCAATAAATAACAATCGTCGATTTTTGACATTCAACCACCCAAGTCTTATGTGCACATCTCTCTTTAAATAAAAAATAAATCTTATACATGAGTTGAGGAATTTCTCAAGTTTATCGTTGGGTTCATCTGTCAGATCATTATAAACAGCACAGCAATAATAATAATCAAAGCGAGGAAGAATCAATGCGAAGACACAAGTTGAGTTTTTAACTGGATAGAAAGAGCTTTTCTATATTTCATTTGAATTGTTGCAAGGTTGCATAAACGCTTCTACAAATTAATCCAACGGAGAGTTTGACGAAAAGTAACACTCAAGTTTTGAACAGATAATACACATAAGGAATAACTGTGTTATTTATTTTAATTGAAGGACATGTATCTAAATTCAAATAATTTATATTCCAACAGGAACCAACAATCATAGAATAACTTTTCTTAAGATTTCAGTTCAGAACCGTTTTTCAAGTTTTGCAGCCAAACAATTAAACATTCCATTTGATTATTATTAACATGATTACGATAATATACGAGAAATACTTAAAATACCAAAAATAGATACCAGATTTTTATTTGTAACGATCTCATTTTCCTATTGAAAATAGATAGTCAATGGATAAAATGGATTCATAAGGTGTCCGCATTCCGCAACAGTATTGAAGCGCATTAATTTTTCTGCACTTGTAAGGGATTTCAGAAACTATTTGCCTTTTAGTACATCAATCAACAGAACCAATTATGGTTACTACTCTGCTTTCAATAGACTTGCTAGAGTTGCTAACACATATATAGTGATAAACTGGATTTCTTTGGAGTTTCTTTGTCCCCTTTTAAAACAAATTTGAAAAACATTTATTGTTTATGTAGCTTAATTGCTATCTAGCCCGTTAATATTGTTAATAAATAAATAAAGTCCAAAGTACCCTTTATATGTGCACTAATTTTCAAAATTGAAATACTCAATAATTTTCTTATAAAAAATAACTGGATGCAACTCCCTAATTAAGTCATCTGCGCAGAACCGAAAAGCAGGTAGCGAGCGTAGCTTAATCCCCTCCTCATTTTTATTCACTTTTCTACATTATCCCCACCCTTGTCCACGTGAATTTCCGACCCAGTGTGAACTTAACGGATTAAAATCAATGCCTTTGCATTGATCAAGGAGAATATGTTTCGCAGGTGAAATTACGTAGGTTTTTAGTCCAATTTTATTATCTTCTTTAAAGGAACAGATAATTTATGTACATTTTGAAAAAATTGGTACTCCATTTTTTTGTTAAATATGATGGAAAGGAATGTACGGTACATTATTTTGAATGTTTATACAAAAAGAAATCTTAAGTCGAGGCCTCGGTTGTATCGGCTGGTGCTTCGGTAGAATCTTCGGCAGCGCAGCAGGGTTTAAGGAAGCATTTCAATGTTCTTCCAATGTTCTTTCCTTCATTACATTTGAAGAATGATGTTGAACAAGTTCCTTTTTGGTCTTTCACTGTGCACTCTCTGGCTTCTGCAAAATAACAAATTCATTAATTAGTTTTTAAATTAATTAATTAAAAAATTTTAAAAAAATTGAAATGAAAATGAAATGCTTTTAGTCAAAGTGTAAGGGAGATTGGGGAATTGTGGGCCACACTTTTTTTTAGCTCAATATCTTACACACAAAATTTTGTTTTTCAAATTTAAAAATTTTTCGTGTCAGTAGGAGGTATAAACTATAACATATATCATAGTCAGTTTCCCAAAATTATCACTTACCTTAAAGAAATTATTTATGTTTTACCAAAAAGTGCAATTTTATGATTTTTAAAAATGTTGGGGAATTGTGGGCCACTACCTAAATTGAGTTTAAAATTAAAAATAATGATGAAATATATTTATTAAATGGTTAGAAATATTAAAAATGTTTAATAAATGTTTAATATTAGTTTAAAATTAGAAAAGAAAAAGTAAGAAAATGAAATTAATCGGAATCACAATTAATTAATTACAAATTTTTAAATGAACATCTTTATCGCATAAATCGCATTGAATCGAATTGTTTTTGTTAAATTACTATAGCTATGAGTATATATGTACTTGCATTGTGCAATTAAATCGCCAAAAACAAGCAATAAATACTTCCCTAAAAAAGTGGCCCACAATTCCCCAATCTCCCTATTTAAAAAATTTTTTTTATAATTAAAATCTAATACTGTTAGGTCTGCTTAATTTTCTATTTACAGTACAAATTACTAATTAGTTAAATTTTTCTAAAATTTGAAAGTTTAAAGTGAAATTTTTTATATTTTTCAGTATTTCAAAAAATACTTGAATTTTGTGTAATCAGAAACTTATTGATATGTTTGTTGTCAAATTAATACAATTAATTGTTTTAATTTTACTGCAGTAAAATTAAAACAATTTACAGTCGAACTAAATGCAATTAAAATTTGTGACGCGCTCCCAAGAAAGGTACCTAAGAAGCAAATGAATTATAGGTTGGGTTCGAGTTATATTTATCTTGATTAAAAGTTCATTTTTAATTATTTGAATTTGAAACCAATATTCATTGAATATTTTGAATATAGTGAAGTGACTTGAAGACCAACAATTTTTAATTAATAATTGATTCTCTTTCTGTATTTTTACTTAGAAAATTTAAAACATAACCTCAAATTTTTTGCTTCTTAGGTATGTACCTTTCTTGGGAGCGCGTCACATTTATAGTTTTAGCCAACAAGTTGTAGTCAAATTAATGAAATTGCTAGTAAAATTAATACAATTTTTTGTCAAATCAAATTCAATTAATAGTAAAATTTATAAAATTAATCAAGTATGTCAAACTTTTTTGAAATTAACAGTAAAGTTTTTCTCTCCTTCGAGAATAAAAATTTAAAGATTGAAATAAATAAATGCAAGATTAAAATAAATTGAAATAAATTTTTAATACAGTACCTGCAACGAAATTTGCCGCCACTACCAAAACGACGAGCAAAAGAATCATTGATTTGGTGGATTTCATTTTTTTGCAAATTATCGTGAAAAACTTAAGTAATTTCTTATTTATATAACGTTAGAAAAATTTTTAATTTTCCAAATGAACTTTTCGACTAGAAATACTTCTCTATATATAGCGATTATCATTCTTATCGCTTCATTTTCAAGAATAAGACACTAAAATTTATTGTTTTTTTTCATAGAACATAATATTGTCAAACTTGTTTTGTTTTTCAAGTTTTATAAAGAAAAAATAATTTTTATATAAATTATCTATACAGGAAAACATAAATTTTTTAAAAATATTTTAATTATCTTGATATTTTTTTATTGGAAAATAAATCTTAAAAAATACGCAAAATTATTGCTTTTGGTAGAAATGAAAATTTGATTTGCAGTCAAATTAATGGATGAGATTTTTTTTATAGTCAAAGGTGTTTTTTATTCTTTTTTTATTTTCATTTTGTAATCTTTCTTTTCGCACATTTTCCTTTAATAAAAATTTGTTATTTCTAATTTTCCTGAAATCAAGATATTTCTAATTTTTTTGTAGTCAAATTTTATTTATATGTTGAAGAAAAAATCATTTCTCAAAAGTTGTAGTGATTTCTTTATTTTTGTAGTGAAAATTTTGCTTGTAGTCTTTTTTGGTCACATATTTTTGAGAAGAAACTTTTTCTTTGTTAAACAATTTGAAAGTTGAAAATATTTGTTCATAGAGTCACAAAAATATAGTAAATAATTGTATCGAAAAGAAACAATATTTAGTCAAAGATGTTGGATTTTTTTGGATTGTTCTAATAGGTATAGTGATGAGAGATGTTTATTGTTTTTTTTTAAATTCAGTCCACATTTATGCAACCAATTTATTTATTTATTTATTTATTTATTTTTTTTTTATAAACATCAAGAAACAGTAATTGTTATAAAAATTGTAATTGAATCAAATTAACATTATATGCAGTAAATTTGAATAATTTAAAATTATTTTCAACTCGAGAAAATTAAAAATTTTACTTTGGCCCACGGGAAAGAATTTTCTTTTACACAAACACAATTTAGATACCTAAAGGATGGAAGTTTCGTTTACTCAAGTGGAAAGATGAAAAAGGGGTTATATACCTATATAATATACTGAAACCATAATTGTGGAAGGGATATTCGAAGATGGGCCATCATGATGAGCGGCGAGAAATGCATCTCAGAAGGGAAAACAGTTTCCGAATGAACTGCATTCGAGTTACATGTCTGCATCAAAGCGCGAGTTGGAGTCAATTTTCCCCCTTTTCTCTCATTTCTTTTCATTAAAAATTAGTGACAACAAATCTTTAATAATTCTCATGAACAAACACTTGGGACAATAATTTATTTATTCAGAATGTAAATATGTATAATCAAACGCAGTAATAAAAAAAGATGAAATCTAATTTTCATCGGTAAATTATTCCCTACAGTAGTTGTAAAATAAACAAAAATATGTATTGTATATTTGTTGTACATATTCTTACAGCCCCTTTTTTCTAATAATTTCATTTTCATAAAAACCTAATGATACGTGTTTACATAATTTATTAAAATTTATAAATTATAAATGTGGTGAGTAACATTTTATCTCTGATTATCGTTCAATTTTATTTTGTAAAAATATAATATTTTTCTACCTCCCTCCCCAACTTATCCTCACTACTATATTACGTCATATATTTACTAAATTTACTTTATTGTATTATTGCAAAGATAAAAATGTTGCAGAATTTTTTAAAAATTGTAAATATTATTGAAGAAATATTATGAAAAAGAATTATTAAAAAGAATTATTATCAATTAATTAAAATATTTAATAACAATAACAATTGTGAATTTGAAAAAAGATTTCAAAAATTGATGACTGTTTTATTAATTTTTATTAATATTTTTTTTTTTTTTTTTTTTTTTGAGAAAAGTCATTTTTTATACGACTTTAAACTGGCTGTCCTTGGTGAAGCGAGTCTTCCAAAGTAATATACGCACATAACTAATATTTTTCAGTTTTCACATTTAAAAAATAATCTATTATTACCTATCTTTTATAAAAAAATTATTTCGTGAATTATTTCTTAAACCAATTTCTCTTTTTTTATATTATTAATTCCCATTTAAAATTATTTTCTTTCCAAATGAATAATATGTTTAACTGTTTTTTTCCTTTTTTTTTTGTAGTCAATTTTTCACCTCATAATTATTTCTTTTCTGTTTTTTTAATTATTTTTTATTTTCTAAATTGTATTTATTTTTTTTTTAAATTTTACTTTGTTGCTTTTAAAAAAACTTCATTTTTTTAAATGTTTAAAAAGAAAAATTATTTAATGTTTCTTACTTTATTAATTTGTAATTACATATTTATTATTTGATTTATTTAGAAAAGAATGTTATCATTTAGGATAAATAATTTATTTTTGATTAATTGAAATTAAATTAGTAATAATTATTAATTATATTTTTTTGTTAAAAAAATAATATTTATGTTTTGACAGTGACGATGAATTTAATTCTATTATCAATTTTTCTATGCGTCTCGCCATCATTGTCGGAGTTACGAAAGGAATTTTTGCCATTCCGCAAGAGACAAAATATTTTCAGTAAATTGAGAAAGCGTCACATTGATGGGGAATATCTAGAGCAATGCGCAATTATTAATTTTACAAATGGATTGAATTTCGGAAAAGTCAATGTTCTTGCATTTCTCGACGCAACTTGGCAATACAGTCATCGACAGGCAGTGATGTAATTTATTATAATACTTTATGTAATTATTCATTTCATAAACATATTTATAGAAATTGTAGAAAATATGTAAAAAAACAGTAAGTTATAATTAATTATAATAATTAATATTCGTATTATAAAAAATAAATTCCAGGCTAAAAGATTTGATGGGACGTTTCGAGAGATATGGTTTAGTGGATATAAATTTTGTTGTTATTAATTCGATGTCAACGACGAAAACGCAACAAGTGGAAATTGATGTTGAGAGGAAAACGTGGATGACAATAAATTCAAGTGAGGCGGAAAATAATGTTTCTCCCGTTGAACTTAACGTTGAAACATTAAAAGAAATCCTGGGCGATGAAATTGTATTTATTCAGGATGATTTGGATCTTGACATTTGGAGGAAGCTTCACGTGTCACGTGATCAAATAGTTGTTGTCGATGGGTGAGTGAAATTATGAAAAAGTAAAACATTCTTTTGTCACTATATATATAACACTTTAGGATAATTTTGTCATTTTGTTTTCATTCCAGTTGTGGACAACTGACATATCAAGTGATTGTTCCTTGGAGTATTTTACATTTTCCCTACGTAAAGGCAGCAATACTTTCGACATTCAATGATGAACCGTGTGGTGCATGTAAGGTGTGCTAAACAATATTTTTGTTATTTATAATATTAATTTATTTCATATCGTCATTATAAATTGTTTGTCCAAGTAGGCAAGTGACTATCAAGAAATTGCAGCAAACGAACCAATTAATGATCAGGTACCGAATGAGGACGAAAGTACCACATTGGAAACAATGACGACAATAGCAATTGAGATGGAAATAACACAAGTCACATCTGAAGGAATATTAGCAGCAAAAGCCAAAGATGAAATTCAACTAAGAGCAGAAACAGTAAAAGCAGCAAAACAAGTTGAAACAACGACAGAAATGGTAAAAATAACAGAACAAGTCAAAACAACAACGGAAGAAATGGAAACAGCAGTAGAAGCAACAGAAAAAGTTGAAACAATGACAGAAATGATAAAAATAGCAGAACAAGTCAAGACAACAACAGAAGAAATGGAACCATCAGCAGAAGCAACAGAAAAAACTGAAACAAAAAAGGAAAAGATAAAAGTAACAGCAGCATCAACAGACGCAACAGAAATAGTTAAAGAAGAAGAAGGAGAAGTGGAAGCAACAGAACAAGTTGAAACATCGACAGAAAGAATAAAAATAGTAAGAGAAAAAGTTGAAACAGCAGCAGAAAGAACAAAAGCGACAGAAGATGATGCAGCGAAAAAACCAACAAGTACAAAAGAAGAACTTGAAACAGCAACAGACAAATTTCAAGTAACAACGAAAGAAATAGAAACAACAATTGAAGCAACGACAGAAACAACTAAAGAAGCTGAAACGATGACAGAAACAATTAAAGAAGTTGAAACAACGACAGAAACAACAAAATCAAACTTAAGTATTGTAACGGAAGGAGGGACAATAAAAGTAGCACAAGAAGAAAGAGGAGATTATGAAACAAAAGCAGAAGAAGAAGTTGAAACAGCAACAGAAACATTAAATGGTACAGAAAATGAACAAGTTAATATAACAACAGAGGCAATAAAATCAGAAGAAGAAGAAGAAGAAGAAGAAGAAGAAGAAGAAGAAGAAGAAGGAGAAGGAGAAGGAGAAAATACTGGAACAACAGAGAAGGAAATAAAAATAACAGAAGAAGAACAGGGACAAAAAGCTGAAACAACGACAGAAGCAACAAAGACAAAAGAAGAAGAAGAAGAAGTTGAAACAACAATAGAAATGATAAATGAAGAAAAGGCAACAACAACAGTACCTGAAGTAACGGAAACAATAGAAGACATTGAAGCTCAAGTGAACAATGGGGCTACAAGTGTATCCCAAGAAAATGATGTTATAGAAACAACAACAAATGTTGATGCAACAAATACCAAAGAAGAAGTGAAAAATGATAAAGTGACAGAAGAATACAAATTATCGGATTTTAAAACTGAAAATTTTCACCACATTCCTACTGTGCAGGTATTCTTATATTTCATTTCTTCTTTCTTTCTCTTCTCTTCAAACGCATAAACGCTCTAACAATTGAATTTTACAGAATTATCAAAGCTAATTTTTTTCAAAGAATAAAATAAACAAAATTGTTTTCTTTTTTGCAGCAATCATCAGAAGTTGAAAGGAATGATGATAGAATAACAACCATTGAAATAGCAAAAAATCAAACAAAACTACCAAATGTTCGTTCAATTTCAAATTCAAAAAATCACGACATCGTCTCATGGCAAAAAATTGAAATGGACAAGAAAAATTCTGATAGTAAAAAATGGACATTTCCAATACGTATTATAATGAAAGCGCCACATTTGGATATTAATGAGAATTCTCTCGTGAAACATGATTATCTGATATTAAAAACAGACAATGAAAATTATCATCAACATTTTGATTCTGGAATTAAGATTGAATTGCCAAGGGGAAATTTTAATTTTTCCCATAATATTAATAATAGTAATAGTGAAAATAGTGATTTAAAAAAAATTATCGATATTTTAAACATTGAAAATCATCAACTTTTGAGTAACCAAAATTTCCCGCCAAATGAAAATGAGACAAATTTCAAAAATAAATTACAAACGAACGAATTAAAATTTTCCATTAATCATCATAATGTGAATCAAGAGACGGAGAAAATTGATCACACAATTTTTGGCAAAGACGAGAGTCCTGGAATTTTTGATACAATGGCGAGGGATGATTTTGATATTTTCCACACGGAGAAACCCGATTATGATCTCATTTACGAGGTAAGAAAATATTTCTTTAATGCAAACATTTTACTAATCATAATTTCTTCTTTGAAGAAGAATTTTATTAATTTTATTTTCGTATTTATTTTGGACAAAATTAAAAAATCTGACAATAATTATAAGGAATATTTTTATTTATTTTAATATATTATTAATGTCTCATTTTTAAATAAAAAAATAAATAATTTCAGATGGAGGAAATGGATAAAAATCTGGAAAATTACGAGGATGAAAAAAATCTCGAATATTCAGTAAGTGAAAAGGAGGAAAGAGCTAAAATAAAATTAATTGATCATTATAGTAAATTATTATCGTGGATTCATTACGTTCTAAATTAATCGAATTTTCATAAAATTCATTTTTATGCAAGGAAAAATTTTTTTTTTAAAATTATATAAATAGTTTTTATGTAATAATAACTTGTACATAAACAATTTTTTTACAGAGAAAAGTAACTTTTTTAAAAAATTTGTAACGAAAAAAATACATAATTTTTATAAAAAACTGTTTTAATAGAAAAATGTTTTTATTCAATTAATTATTATTATGCAAATTAAAAAATTTTTTGTTTTCAATAATAATCTTTGCAAGAATTCAATTATTTTTAAAAATTTTAATAAATTCTTCAAAAAATTCAATTATTTTCTAAAATTTTAATAAATCCTTCGAAATAATTCAATTATATTTATAAATAGTAAAATTCTTTACGGAAATTCAATTATTTTAAAAAAATTCAAAGAAATTATTCAAAAAGAATTTAATGAGAATTTTCAAAATTTTTTACAAATTTCTTCGCGAGAATTCAATTTTTTCCCTCAATAAATCAAATTCTTTAAAAGATTTCTATTATTATCGTATATTTTGATAAAATTCTTTGCAACAATTCGATAATTTTCAATACATTAGATAATTTTAAAATTGAAAGTATTTAAAAGTAAAACTTATTAATTATTAATAATTATCATTTATTAAAAAGCTTTTATTTCTTTTTGTTTTAGTTACAACAAAAAACGTGTTTTGATAAGAAGTAGATTTAAATTCAAAAGAAATTTCCCGCCCTCCGCTCAGCGAATCAGATTGCAACTAGCTTGAGGACGGACAAATGGCGCGCCTTTGTTGACGAATCAGAAACAAGTTTTAAAAGTAACAAAGATCTCTGATTCGTTGAAAAGTGATCTCTAATAATTTATTTTACGTTGACAGCGAATCAAAATCGCCTTAGAGATGTTTCCTTCATCTACCGCATCTACCATTGAAAGGTAAGTTTCCTCTCTTTATCAAAATTGATCAAAATGCAGTTCATGATTATGTGTCACTGTGTGTGTTAGTTGTTTCGACGTTTCTGTTTCGTTATGGCGAGACTCCCATTAAAAAGAATACAGTGTCCTCAATTGCATTGACATTTTATTTAAAAATCGCCAAATCACTAACACAAACAGCATCAGTTGCATTCTGTCTATTATCAATTTTGTGTCGCCAAAGTTTCGTTCCGGTTGTTTCCCTCATTACTCCCCTCGCAACCCCTCCGAATTCCCTCTATTTTTTTTTGACGATTTGTCAGTATTAGAAAATGATCCGGTAAATTTCTAAACGAGTGAAAAAAATTTAAAAAAACATCCCAAGGTTTTTGTTTAATAAAGTACAATTTCCACTTGTCCTATTCAAGTGTCTCTCTGTTTTATCAAAAAAGTGGAATTTATCGGATAAGAAAATTTTCGTGTCTTGTATATATATATACACATATATATGTACAGAAAGTGAGAACTCGCGATCAGCCATCTTTTTCGGCAATATTTTTTTGTTTTTTTGGGGGGGAAGGTGACAATTTTTGTATGTTTTGTGCTCCTATTTTGTGAATGAAGAAAGAAGAGATAATTTTTGACAAGTGGGGGAATAAAAATGAATTCGTGATATCTATTTTTCTGCCTATCTCTGATCATTTAATCGACGATCATGTTTGGTGAATAAAATCGCGAGTGTGTGAGTATTTTTTTGTACATATATATGTTTGTATGTATGTATGTACATATATATATAAAAGGTTATAAAATAAAAAAAGGGAACAAGCAGCTGTGTTTTAAAAAGTGAAATTTTCGAGTCCAATTGGATTTGAAGGGAGATAACGAATGATATTTTGGGAGTAATTATCGGGAATTATGTGTTTCAAGTGAAAAAAGACGAAAGAGATAAAAGTTAATTGTATTTTTTCTCCTCTCGTTTTAGTGGTGAGAGATTTCTTTTTTTTCGGTGGCGAGTGTCAAAAAAAGAGAAATAAAGGGAAAGATTCGCCGATCATTAGAATATGGCGGTGAATCCAAGGGACATGGATGGCTTTTTGCCACTCCTGTCGGAGACGGACATTAAAAAGAAACTCCACGTGGGTACACTCCTCTTCAATTACCTCGGGAATCCGCTGAAGAGTATTGAATGTCAGGACATTGGATTGTTTATTGACAATATCGTCCCGTGGCTCAACAATGGCAGTCCAAAAGTGAGTACATTTAATTTCTTTCCTGCTTTTTTATTTCTTTATTATTTCCCTTGTTTTTTAATCCTACGTTTTCTCCCTGTTCTTGTTCTTTTATCGAAATATCGATTACTTTTTCCCACTTGCTTTCGATTTCGTTTCGTTGCTGGGTGTTTCGTTTCTCCTTTTTTTCTTTTTATTTGACAGACGTTACAGTATTATTATTTCAAGAAGGGGGTAATTATTTACATGTATAAACATTTCAAGTTATTCTTCAATTGTTTTGCTTTTTAATCTCTTTACTCTTATTTAAATTGCTTATTTTATTTCTTATTTATTTCAATTGTTTTTCTTTTCATTTTTTTATTCTCAACTATTGTTATTGTTCGAGAGTTTTAATATAAATTTTACTAAATTCTATTTCAAAATATTTTAAATGTCATTTAATAAATCACTAGCAAATGTTACATTTCATGAACGAATTCAATTTTTAATAATATTTTTCGAAAAAATTCAATTATTTTCTAAACAAACCCGATTATTTTAAAAACTTGAAAGAAATTCTTCAAAAAGAATTTAATTAGAATTCTATTATTATCGAATATTTTGATAAAATTCTTTGCAACTATTCGATGATTGAAAATATTTAGAAAGAAAAATTATTAAGAAAGTTAGGAAACAAACAAGCAATGAATAACTTCAAACTACGAACTGATTACCGGAATAAAACGATTATTAATATAGTTTTTTTCGTATTAATTTTCAATTATTTCTGTAATCAAATAATTATTATCTCAGTGAAAAGAAATTAAAAACTACTTTTTTAGTCTAAAAAGTAAAGGAAGACTTTAAATTTAGAATACTTCTTATTTAAAAATTATAATTTTCAGTTTCATTTAAATATTTTTTGTTCTGTATTATTTTTTTTTGTATTTGTAAAATTATTTGTTTCACTTTATTTTTCATTTCTGGATTCGTATAAGAATTATTTTTTTTTGTGTATATTTTTTTTTCATTGAAGTTATTATTGTTTTTATTTCCTTTACATTGAAATGATGAAAAGTTGAAGTATATAAAAATGAAAAAAAAAAAGATGTAAAGGAAAAATGCATTGCGTAGGAAAGAATTGCTTCAGAGAGAAGGAATAATAAACCGTCCGGTCCCTTACACGGTTTGACACTGTGACTAATCAAATGATTAAATTAATCCCATTTTATGCACAGGGAATATTAAAAGATTTATTTTTTTCTGTTATTATTATATAATTTTCAGTGATCAATTACTATTTCTTCTCCTTTTTGTATATTATTGTTTATGATTTTTGTATTTTTAAAGTTTTGAGAAATAAAATTGTATTTATAAAATAAATTGTACGTCTTGTTGAGAGATGAAATGCCAAGTTTGGCGACACGTTTTGTTCAAATAAGGAAAGACTTTCACACCTTTTACGTATAAAAGCATACGACCATTTCGAGAATATTGAACATGACTAGGCCAATAAAATGTCTCGTATATCGAATTGAATTTTTTTCCATTTAATATTTATTATATTAATATTATTTTATTTATAAATTTTCCTGTGAATAAATAATATTAATGTTTTGAAGTTGAGAGTGTAAAAGTTGTTGTTTAATACGCTCACTTCTGTGTAGATTGATTAAAAAATATTTAAACTTGAAATTTTAATAAGGGGGGAATATTGAAATATGCAATTTTTATGTTTATAATTTATTCAACATATGCTCGAATCCGAAGGAATATATCTCAGTAGATATATGTAAAGGTGATGTTATATGCCCGACCCGTTCACTACTATATTTAGAATAGGCCTTTTTTATTGCACTTATTACCTTCCTGTTTGTAATTGCTTCTCTCTGGGACTTCTCTCTCTCTCTCTCCTTCTCTCCCTTCCTACTTCTAGAAAAAAATAACAAGTCAATTATTATTTAGTTGTATTCATTATCGCAAATTGCATTATTAATTAATTATTGGTATTCCTAATTAATAAAAGGATTAATAATAATAAGAAAATTGAAATAATTATTTTTTTCGCAGGTTGTACAAAATGGATTGGAAATACTAACATTCCTCGCTGATCGAATGGGAACTGATTTTAAACCTTACATTTCATCAGTAATACCGGCGACAATTGATAAATTGGGTGAGTCCAGAAATTGCAAAAATGTTACATTTCTATTTAAAAATAGAAAGATCGTAATGATCGTTATTTTTTATTGTCTTGCTTCTAGGCGATAGCAAAGATCAAACTAGAGAAAAAGCTCAATTGGTAATTTTGAAAATATTGGAAAAAGGAAGTATGACACCACAACAATTAGTCGATCGGCTGCAACCAGCATTTGGTCACAAAAATGCGAAATTAAGAGAAGATGCGATGATTCTCTTAACAACTGCACTCAACGAGTGAGATATATATTTTCTTCATTATTTTTTATTCTTTTCTTTTGTTTTCTTATTGGAGAAAGAAAACTATTTTTCAATTTCAATCGTAAAACATTTTTCTAATTAAATTTTCGAAATATGTGACGCGCTCCCAAGAAAGGTACCTAAGAAGCAAACGAATTATATAGGTTGGGTTCGAGTTAGATTTATCTTGATTAAAAGTTCATTTTTAATTATTTGAATTTGAAACCATTATTCAATGAATATTTTGAATATAGTGAAGTGACTTGAAGACCAACAATTTTTAATTAATAATTGATTCTCTTTCTGTATTTTTACTTAGAAAATTTAAAACATAACCTCAAATTTTTTGCTTCTTAAGTACCTTTCTTGGGAGCCTTGGTAGCGCGTCACATATATACAATTAAAAATGTTATCAAATTTTAATTATTTTCAAAGAGTTTATCAAGTTTCAATTATTTTTAAAAGTTTTTACCAAATTATTATTATTATTATTATTATTATTATTTCAATTTAAATTATTTTAAAATATTTTCAAAAAATTAATTTTAATAATTTCTTGGTAATAATTTTTTGAAAATATATTTCGTACATTAATAACTTTTAAAAGAATCGTGAATAGTTACAATTGTTATAAAAAAATTAAATTTTTGCATTTAAAGAATTTAATTCTTGACGAACTTTCGTAAAATTATTAAAAATACTTTATTTAGAGATGAAGTTAAAAATTGTAGAAAATAATTGACTTTTGGAAGGGTTATAGTCATAATTTTCAGAAAGATTATTAAATTGAAATTTTTTAAATTTTATTTCCCATGGGAAAACAAGTAAAAAGTATTTGAATATTTATTTAACAAAATTATTAAAGTTTTGAATAATTGAATTCAGAAATTAGTAAAAGGGAAAAATCAGGGAAATACAAAATAAAATTGTTGTCACAATTAAAAAATAAAAGTTTGAAAATAAACTTTATTCTTATATTAGTTTTGAAATTGTTTTTGTTGAATTAATTGTACTTTGTTCCTTCACAGACATGGTGCAGATGAAATGGCACTTGCCGGGGTGATACCAAGTATGGTGAAATTGTTATCAGATCCAACGGAAAAAGTCAGGGAAACAGCATTAAATACGTTGACAGATTTTTATCGACACGTTGGCGAACGTTTGCGAGCTGATCTTCAAAGGAAACACAACGTACCACCATCTAAGTGTGTTCTTTCTCCTTACTGTTTTTTCTTTTGCCAGAAATATTTTTCACATTTTTGACTAGTTTTCCTCTCTCAAAAACCATTTTTTCGTTAATTTTCTATCAAATCCACAACATTATGATCAACGAAAACAAATTTTTAAGAAGTAGATGTTTATAAATAAAAGATAGCACAACTAAAAATATAATAAAATAAATAAATAATAAATAAAATAGAATTTGTATTGATGTTTTAACGACAAATCTTGAATATTTTTCAAAAGAAATATTCGAATACATTATTTAATAAATTTTTTCGTTGATCAATGTTGTAAACTTGAGCTTTTTTCTTTGAGTTATTTTATATTTTTCAAATGTTGAATACTTTATCTCTATAAAAGCCCATTTTTTCAGCCAATGTCTGAGAAAAAATGACTAAATATTGAATTAATTGTAAGGAAAAGGAAATTTTTGAAGGGCGGTAATGAAAAAAATGTATTTCACAAGGAAATCAGTAAACGGGTTTAATTTTGAAAATTTTGACTTTTCCGTTAATAATTTTTATAATTTAATGTTTATTTATTTAACACACAAATAATTGTAATTACAATTTTATTATAAATTATAATACTAATATAATTATTTATAATATCTTTTACAATTTCTATTTTTGGTAATAATTTATAACTTTAAATTAAACTTCAATTAAAATAAGCTATTATTAAGTATTAAATATTAACAATTTTTGAACTTTCAGATGGGCCCTGCTGGCAGAAAGATTCGATCAACTGAAAGCCGCTGGCGATCTGCTACCTTCGGCAATGTCTGCAGACGGTGAGTCAATTTTCTTAAAGAAAATATAATTCAAAAAGCAATACTATTTTTCGAGCAATAACAGGTTGCCATTATTTTTTCTTTATCTGTTTATTAATCTAAGAACAGAATTTATTGTTTTCGCCGCCAATTAAAAAATTGTAAACTCAATTTTTTTAATTAAAATTATTTTCTTTCTCTTTTTTTTTACATTTTCATGAAATGAGAATTCTATTGAGTCTATACTATTGAGTAACGAAGAAAGATTGTTGCGCGCGACAAAATTTTCGGCCGAAAGTCATCGGTTAAAAAGAAACGTCGAGCGTAATATTATATCCGGATTTTTTGATACAAAATACTTGTTCCGATATACGTATCTCAATGTGAGATTTTGTTACAAACGCGAGATATGTAATTGAAGCTGAAATATTGTCGTCTTGCTTCAAGTACTTGGCCTTGTTTTCCACATATTTTTCAATATTGCATGACAAACGTGTATTACATTCCATTGATTCCTTAAATTTATCGAATTCCAATCGTCTTGTGTTGATTATTATTATTATTTTCATAAGTTTCGATTTCTCATTATTTTTCTTCAATTTCAATTGTACCTTCATTATTTCAATTTTTGTTTGGAATTAAAAATCGAAATGGTGTTTTTTCAAAATTTGCCTCTCACTACTCTCAATTTTTGTTTGCGCGTATCCTTTTGCTTTTGGATATGTTTTACCGACAGAGCATAGATTAGAAACACTCGTGCATATTTTTTTATGTTTTGTACAGTAGTGTACAAAATAGATTGATTACAATTTTTTCAAAGGGTTTTAATTCATTATTAACTATATGTTTAAATTAATTGATGCTAATCGTTGTTAAAATGGCAATATTAACTTTATTTACTAAATAATGGAATTGGTATTTATTTATGTAATGAGTTTCATTTCATAATGACTACATTAACGGAGAACTTTTTCGTGATTAATTCACTAGTTCGTGCTAAAAAATATTTTTAAATCTCGAAACCGGCGTCGTCATCAAAACCGTTGAAATTTACGACTCTCTAATGAATACGTAACAAAGTTAACACGGTTAACACCTTCGAGACGATAATTGAGGCAAAATTTCGTAAGAAAATAATACAATATTCTCTAACAATAATTATTATTATTAATTATTAATAGGGTATAATTATATTATATTATCTCTAATATAAAACAAAAATTTTTATTTTTTTCTTCATTTTTAAATATTGTTGAAATAAAAAAGAAGTTTCTTCTGATTTATTGGGAAATTATTATTGGTCCCATTAATCAGTATTGGTTTCTTTTCTTTTATTTTCAGACATAATGTTACATAATTATATTATGAACATTTTGAATATTATGTGCCAATTTTGGGGAATTTTCCCCCCACTTATTGTCTGGACATTTTGTTCCACTAATAATAATTTAACAAATTTTCTTAAGTGCATTTAAGATAAAGTCGAAGGTACTTAAAGTGATATTAGGCCAAGCCCTCATCATGACCTAATGATGATTATAATGGGTGCGTTTGGAACAATATAAAAAAGTGAACCATTTTTTTTTAATCAAGTCAACTGTGCAAATCTTTTTTGCGTTTAATGCGCTGTGGATATAACAATTTAAGTTGCTAAAATTCTCTAGACATATTAATAGCGTCTGATCACTAGATAAAATGTTTCTATCCAATAATAATAATAATAATAATAATGTCCAAGTGGTAAATTTTTATTTTATAATAAAATAAAAAATAATATTATAAATAGATGAAAAATTGGATAGTCAATATTACGCTCAATTAGGCTCGTCCATCGATCTGATCTAATTGCCTAATTGAGCTAATCATTTTAATTGAAAATAGAGTTTTTATTCGTTTTAGTTAATTATTCCATTAAAGGTCCTCCGCGATTTCTTGTTAACTGTGCTCTAATTTTTATTAATGAAAATTTATTTGTTTAAGATTAAACTAAATTTATTCTTTTTACTTCAATTATTATTTTCTTATCATATAAGTTTCATCGATTTCTTTTTGTCAAGAAAAATAAAATTTATTATTTGGAGTCATTGTTTTCCTAATTTGTTTGAATAAAATAAAATTAAAGCAATTTGAAAGCTTGATTTTAAGGTCAAATTATTTTTATTTTCATGAGACGTGTTCTTGAACTGATTATAAAGTACATTACTGCTGCTCATGTTTTTTTTAAGCCTCTAGAATGTAAAATCATTTCTATTAGATATAAAAGTCACGAAGAGCCTCGAATTCGAAATATAACTTTTTTTTGTTTTGCGGGTAAAGGTTGAAACATCTTAAATATCTTCTCTCTTGTGATGCAATTTAAAAAAACATTTTAAAAAAAGTTTCATAATAAATTGAGTGTACTTACAATAAAAAAATCTTTTCCGTGATTTTACAAAGAATTTTCAATTATTTTCAAAAATTGTTATAAAATTTTTTAATGAAATAAATTTCAGTAAAATTTTAATTAAATTCCTTTAAAGAAATTATTGAATACGTTATTTATTTTTGTATTGAATTTTCGTAGAATTTTCCAATAAAAATTGATTTAAAAATGAGTTCCAGTTAAAATTTTAGATAATTATTGAATATTAACATTATTATACTTACCAGGAATTTTTAGAAATATATAATTGAATTTTGAAATTACCAATTATTTTGTAAAAGTTTAATTGAATTTTTAAAAAAAGTTTGAAGTTGTTATTTTCTAATATTTATTTAGTTGAAGAATTTACAAATAATTGAAATTTCGTAAAATTGAATATTGTAAAGAAAAGAAATGGATTTGAAAATTTTCAAAGAACTTTTTCGAAAATTATTAAAAACAATGGATTTATAGAAGAATTTTAGTTAAAAATTCTTGAAAGTAATAATTGAATTGATAATGATTTTATCACTCGGTCATCTTTAATTATTATAGAATATGAAGATATCGATGACTCCGAGTCGAAGAGTCATGTTTTATAGTTATGAAAAATTGAAATTTTTCGTAATTTTTAATTTTTGGTCCGTAAAGTCTCTATTTTTAAATACTTGAACTGGTTCGAGCCCTGTTATCTTTAAAAAATGATAAGGAAAATTAATTGCACATTAATCAAATATTAGATACATGTAAAATAAAAATTAAATGTTTCCCGTCAATTATATTATTATATAATAAAAAATCCATGTTGTGCGGTATGAATTAAGCTTTAAAATGAAATAGCTTCCCAGCCCTTTCTATATCTTGATTAAAATGATTAAAATGTGATTAAAATCATTAAAATCGTGTCGATTCGGCCAAATTTAACTAAAAATATTTTTTTGCACTCTTGTACTACAATTTTAAGGTTATGCCCGAAGACTCAGAAATTTCAATTTCACCGGGAAATTCAAAATAAGAAGAAATAAACTTTACATAATTTCTCAATTGAGTAGTATAGTTGTAGAAAGTATTATGTTTAAATAATTGGTTTATTTAAAAAATGGGAAAATTAATAATAAGTGGATTATTTGAAGAAAGAATAATTTTTTGAAATGTTTCTGAAAATATTGGATTGGAATTGACGAATGACGAATGACGAATGACGAATGACGAAATAGTGGCGGGTGTAGTGGAACTTGGATATGAAATGGTTTCATTACATATCTTTCAAGTGCGCAGAATAAAGTTTGCATTAATGCAGAGTTTATTGAGAGAGATGCAGGGAGACTTGTTTCTTCTTTGGGTGCCTTTCACTTTTCACACACGTGTGCTTGGCTGCTTGGCTGCTTGGCACTGCGGGGAAAATAATAGAGAGACTTCCACGAAACCACGTGGACATTATTATTATTACTAGTAGGTACTATGGAGGTGGCAATTTTAATTCATGAGTGAAGGGCGCTTCGTTTTACTTTGGAAACGTCCTTAATAAATCTACTGACCTATCCCACGAGAAAGTTACCAAGTCTCTTCCACACTCAAAATTTCAAAATTAAAGACCTAGCCGAAATTAAAAATTTTCCGACAAAATTCTAATACGAGAAGGAGGAAATAAATAAAATTAAATAATATTAATAAATTTGAAAAAATTAAATTGATAAAAATCCATACAGTAAATTGAAAAAATGGAAAAAATTCAAATCTGACTCTGTTTTACCGACTGAGTATAGATGCGAAACTCGAGGGAAAAAACAAATTTAAACCATTTTGTCAAAAACCTTTTCTAAAATTTGAAATATATTTGCAAATAAGCAAATGGTCTCGAGTATACAAAGTATTCCAAAAAAATGGTAAATTATACAGTCGAGTTGAAACTGACGTTTCTCTATTTTTATTGTTCTGCCATTAGTGCGAGAAATAATTGTTTCTAGGTTATAGTGAACAAAAAATGGTGAATAATTTTTTCCAATGACTTTGCCGGCGGCAAGAGTTAATTGTTTCTTTTACATTATACGATGCGAGTGAGTTGAAAGAAGAAGGAAAAATAAAATATTGCGTGTTATGTAAGAGGTGTATCATCTGCTTATAGCAGAGAAAGAGAGAGAAAGAGAGAGAGAGAGAGACAGTGTGTAATCTTCGCGTAAAGCGAGTGGGCGCGCTTTTATCTTTGTCAATAATATTTAACGGCAACTTAACGCCGTACCGCGGCAATCGACGAACAATTTTTCCCGATTATAAACTTTATGAATAGATTGTCGTCGACTTAAATCATCATCGTTTATTCATTTTTACACTTTGCCATTAGCGATGACATTTTTCTTCCTTTCATTTCAGTTGTATAACTTTTAAGACTTTAAGTAACTAAATATCTACTTGACTATTTCACAATTTTATTACTTTGTTTTGTTTAGAAAAAAGGATAAAAACCTATTTATTAAATGTTATTTAAAAATTAAAATTATTATTAATTTTATTTAAAAATGTTGTAATATTCAAAAGAATATTTTTTAACTGTTTCAAAAATGTTTAATTTAATTAAGAGTAGTGAATTTTGCGGTTTTCAAATTTCTTAAGGGGGTGTCAA